GAGGTTTTCTCACCTTCTTCCCACTTGCAGACCTCGGCTGCATCATCGGATGCTTCGTTGGCGGATGGGTCGCCGACCGCTTCGGCCGCATCAATGGCATCTTGGGCGCAGCGATCTTCGCCATGATCGGTGGAGCTCTCCAAGCGGCGACCCAAAACTCCGCCTTCATCCTCGGCGCTCGCGTTGTCACCGGCCTCGGAACGGGCGCACTCACGGGCATCGTCCCCGTCTACTGCTCGGAGGTCAGTGGTAAGGAGCACCGCGGCCGGATGCTAGGTTATGTGTTCATTGCGAACTATCGTAAGCCGTCCTCGCTCTCCTCCCTCGCTTCTCCCTCCCTCGTCCCTTCCCGGGGCAGAAAACGTACTGATCCCTGACGCGCACACAGTGGGTATCTCGATTGCCTACTGGCTATCGTTTGGACTCGCCTTTGTCGACCACGGTCTTTCTGCCGTGCGGTGGCGATTCCTCCTCGCCTTCCAATGCATTCCCGCCATCCTTCTCGTCGCCGGCATCCGCCTCCTTCCCGACTCGCCGCGTTATCTTGCTTCCGTTGGTCGTCACAGCGAAGCTCGCGAGGTCCTCGAGCACATCCGTGGTGGCAGCTCGGCAGAAACCGATGCGGAACTGCTCGCCATGGCCGAGGAGGCGCAGTACAACAAGGGCACATCGGTCGTCGAGTTCTTCAAGATCCTCGTCGGCAAAGGCAGCACCTCGCTCCACCACAACGTCGCTCGCCGCGCCTGGCTTTGCATCTGGCTCCAGATCATGGGTAAGTTGCGACCGTATCTTCGCTCCTCCCACTCACCGTCTATCAAAGGACTATCTGCGCCTATCTCCTTCTTCTCGCAGACGACGCTGACTCTTTCCTCTTCCTTTCCTGTGCCTGCCCTCAGCTTCATGGACTGGTATCACCGCTGTGACAGCGTGCGTTTCTGCCTAGCTTCGCCTCCGCTGTCTTGGACGTGACGCGACGCTGACAAGCATTGTGAACAGCTACTCGCCTGTCCTCCTCTCGCAAGCCGGCTACTCGAGCATCAAGCAGAACGGACTGGCGGGTGGCTTGAACACGATCGGCATCGTCGGGACCATCACCTCGGCCTACGTCGTCGACCGTTACGGACGTCGCTCGTGCCTTATGGTCGGCGCACTCGGACTCGCCATCGTCAACCTCGTCGCGGCCTCGCTGTACGAGGCGTCCCTGCACAATCCCTCGATCTCGGCGAGGATCGCCCCTGCCGCCGTTACAATGCTCTTCCTCTTCAACCTGGTCTACGCTTCGACCTGGGGAACCATCGCTGTGAGTCCTCGCCCCTTGTCTCGAGTCAAGAGTCCTCGCTTACGCTCGCTCTGCTGTCCAGTTCCTCATCCCAGCTGAAATCTTCCCCAGCGAGATGCGTTCGCAAGGAAACGGCTTCGGCATCTCTGGTTGGGGAAAGTCCGACTCATGTCGCTTCGTTCTTTCCCATCAGCTGACCTCCGGTTCGTCGCTCGCAGCCATCGGTGTCGGCTGGACCGTCCTGATCAACCCGATCATGTTCGGCAGCATTGGCGTGAGTCGTCTCCATCTTAAACACCTGCATCTATGCCACGAATCATAGACTGACGTCTTCTTCGCGCAGTCCCGCTCCTACTTCCTGTTCGCCGGCCTGAACTTCCTCTGGATCCCCATCATCTGGCTCTTCTACCCCGAGACCGGCTTTGGCCGCAATCTCGAGTCCCTCACGCACCTCTTCGACGGCGGCGCGTTCAATTGGCAGATGGAGGCAGCCTACCGTCGCGCCATCGAGGACCCCGACCGCCCGGTCGACGTCGCCAAGTACGAGGCGGCGGGCTCGCAGCGATTCGTCGAGGACGCGTCGACGGGAACGAGCGAGAAGGTTTGACAAGGAGGCGATGGAAGACAGTCTCTGTAATGGCGGGAAGGGGGATGGAGAGTGAACGAGGATATCGACGTCGGAGACTGCCCCTGTAACAACGCTCAGTGGTCATCCAGTCTTTTCCGCAGCGCCGATCAGAGTCGATTCTGGCTGGACTGTCGCGACAGCAAGCCCCACGACGCGGTTGCGCCGCTGTGAGAACGTCGGGACCCCAGCCGCATGGCTTGGCCATCACCCACAGCCTGCTGCCTCGCTGAACCAAGCTTGCGCTCGTTCTGGCTCCCAGAACAAGCTCAGAGTACGGCCTGCTACCACCGCCAAGCAGTCGCTCGCGCTCCTCCCGCCCCTCGACCTCTCATCAGCTGGGCGAAACGACGACGAGTCTGATAGCTCGATACCGCTCGAGGCGGCCCTTGAGCGATGGAGAAGAGTAGGAAGCGGGTCTCGAGGGCATGCGATTTCTGCCACAAGCGCGGGCTCAAGGTGTGCGCTGTCCTCTTCGTTCGCACCCTCTCCGCTGAATAGGCCGCTCTCGCAGTGCTCGGGCAAGCCAGAAGAGCCGGATGGAGCTTGTTCGTCCTGCCAGAAACATCACGTTGTATGCACCTTCGACAGGCCAGCGAAGAAGCGCGGCCCAGCACCACGACCCAGGCCCACGACGACGTCCGACTTCACTTTTGCCAGCTCATCCTCCGCGCTCTCGACTCCGACTCTATCGACCTACGCAGCGGCACCTTACCCTTCACCCGCGAATGGCTGGCGTCCTCCCGTCCTCGTGCCCGTCTACGCCCTGCTCAAGGTACTCGCTATCTACCACGAGACCGCCTACCCTATCTTCCCCTACTTCGTGTGGCCGGACTTCATCGTCAAGGTCTCGCACGAAGAGCACCTGAACAATCGCGCGTTTTACGGAACGGTTGTTGCTGCAACAGCGCTTGGGCTGGCCCGGATCCGCGACTCGGCTGCATCGACGAATCCTCTGTCGCCGCAAGAAGCCGCAGCCTTGCCGACTCCGGAGCAGCTCTTTGCCGCGGCGGAAGACGCCGTGCCCAAGGACCTCTCCGACGCCGAGGACTTCGATTTTGTCCGCACCACCGCTCTCCTCGCCCTCATCAGCATCCAGTTTGCTCGCCCGCGCAAGCTTCAGCAGCATCTCGGAACATTCTGGACGCTTTGCAGCATCAACCGGTTGCACGACGAGAAGCGATGGGGACAAGGACTATCTCGGATTGAGCGGGAGGAGCGGAGAAGAGTGATCTGGAGTATGTATACCCTCGATGTGCGCTGTCTGGAACTTCTCACCATACGACGAGCTTGCTGACGTTGGCCGCACAGCTGTTCTCGGCGCTATCGTTCGGCGGTGCTCTGCGAAGTCGAGAAGCTTCACTCCTCGTGTCCTTTCCGAGCGAAGCGGACGACGAGATCCTCGTCGGCGGCGACAATTCGGACCCACAGACGACGTCAACCGCCTCCTGGCTAACCGGCTGGAATTTTGTGACGGAGCTGTACAAGACCTTGGAGCACGCCCTCGACTCGCCGGGCAATCGCGACCTGCACATGGACAGCGGCACCGTCACCGCGTCAGCTTTCCTCGACTTCCTCGACACAGCCTACTCGTCACTCCCGCAGGCGTTCAAGGAGATCAGGCCCTTCAGCAAAGACGCGCGACAGGACCGCTTCGGCTACCAAAGCGCCAACATCCTCGTCACGCTGCAAACAATCAAGATGGTCGTCGTCTGTCGAGACCTCACTGACGCGCGACAACGGGATCATGCTGTCCAGATCGCCGAAGCTCTCCTTCGAGACGTCGGCGCCGTTCCGCTCGCCTACTTGCAGGCAATCAGCTCACCCTTGGTCAGCTGCGCATTCCTCCTGATCACGCCGAAATGCGGCTGAACCGTCATGGCGCAGATCCACCATCTTGTCGGCATCTACAAGCTCCTGTTCCCCGTCACGGAACACGCTTTGACGCCCGACCTCTTCATCCGCATCCGCCAGCTCCTGTACATCGTTGAACGATCTCTTCCTTGTTCAGGTGCAGAGCTGACCGCTTACGTCGCGCAGCATCGACATGACCTCTCTCCTGCAACGCCTCCAATCCCGCCTGACGTACACGACCGACGTCGTCCAGCGCTTCCAGTCGCAGATAGCTCGCATGGATGCCGCGCAAGCCATCGGTCTGTCTCGACCAGCTTCGCCTCGCCTCGCCCCTCCCGTCATCCCGTCCGCATCGACCGCGCCGACCGCATCTTTTGCTTCTACGTCCACCTCCGCGTCACATATTCCCTTGCCCTCCGTCCGCTCGCAGGACAACAACCCCGCCTTCAGCGTCGCGCCACCCTACGACACAGATCTCCTCGCAGCTCCCCTCGACGTCCCGTGGGAATCGGCGTTTGAGTTGCAAGACGTCTTTTCCGACTGGCCTTTCGACTTTGACACGAGCTGGATTGGCGTCGAGAACGGGTTGGAAGGGATGCACTTCGGCAGCATGCAGCAGCCGGTGGCGGGTCCAGTCTTCAGCGGGCAGCAGCAGCATGAGGGCGGGGACTGGCAGTAGTTTCTGCATCCTGCATTTCCATGCTTCGCACAATATAGTGGCAACAACACAAGCGCCTAGATAGTCTACGCTTCTAGCTCGACTTTCGCCTTTGCCTCCTCCGTTCTCACGAACCCTCTCCCCTTCAAATCCTCGTACCAGTCCTTGCCTAAGCCCGCCTTCTCCCGATCATCTTCGTTGAAGGGACCTCGGACGGCGCCGTAAAAGTGTTCGGCGACTTGAGCGCGGAAGAGGGCGACGGGGTCGGCGGGAGGGGAGAGGGCGGCGCAAAGCCGGGTGAAATGGCGGTGGCCTGGAGAGAGCAGATGGCGACATTGTCAGCGAAATTTCGGGACTCGAAGAGCTAGAAGGGCGTCAAGATAGTGCAAGGGCCAAACCCACCCGCTGCGACGTGCGTCAACTCGTCGGCGTGAATCACCTCCAACACCTCCGCCGTCCGTTCGTCTCCCGCGTTCCTACACCGCTTGATCTGCGTCGGATTTGTGTCGAGTCCGCGAGCTTCATGGACAAGGGCGACAATCGCGAGCCGCGCGAAAAGCGAGTGTGAGGTTTGGAGGGCGGATTCCCACAGGCCGGCGTGGACCGGAAGGGAGCCGTAGGGCGTGCCGAGTTCGTCGAGGCGCTCGGCAAGAAGGGAGAAGTGCCTGTCGAGAGCGAGTGTCAGCCTCTCATGTCGCGAAGACTCGAAGGTCAGCCTCTCAAGTCGCTAAGGCTCGAAGGAAGGCTCCGACGCACTTCGCCTCGTCCTCCGCAACCTTGAGAAAGTCCGCCACAAACTCCCAGCCCATCTTCTTCCCCTTCTTCCCCTCCGGATCGCCGAGTCTCCAGCCGTGAAAGCGCGCGATGTGGTCGACAGCAAGGTCGATCGCCCAAAGCTCGATGTTCGCCAGCGAATGCAGCATCCTCGCTCGACTCGCCACCGTACCGCCCTTTCCCAGCGTCTTGGTCTTGCCAGACGCGACCACTACCGTTGAAGGAGCGCGGTATGGCTCGTAAGGGTGAGGCGGGTCGGTCGAGGAGTCGGCGAGGCGGGTGAGCGAGCCTGAGCGGAAGAGCGAGACGAGTGTGCGGGTTAGGGAGACTTTGAGCGCGGGAGTGGGAGCGAGGAGGATGGCGCGACAGTAGGAGACGATGGTGAGCGGTTCTGAGACGGGATAGCCAGTGAGCGAGAGAGAGGAAAGGTCTGGTGTCGAGTCGAAAGATTTGGCGAAGCCTGCATGAAGGGCGGGTGAGCCAACGCTCGTACAAACGCAGAAAGAAGCACAGAGCTGGCGAGACAGTGCCGACTCACGCTCAGACACCGCTCGCAAGCCGATAACCCGGTAGTCGTCGCCTACGTCGCCTGGAGCCTCCATCCACAACTCTCCATTTTCGCGCACCTCTAACCGGTACGTGCAAGCCTTCATGCCGGTCGACGAGTGGCCGCCAAGGAGGTCGAAGTCGTATTCGTGGTGCGGGCAGAGGATGAGCGGCCCCCGTGATGGGTGGTTGTCTCCGTCCTCTCCATCTCGATCGTCTCCGTCATTGAACAAGTCCTCGATGTCGCCCTCTACGAAGCGACATGTCAGCCTGGAGCGTAATCGAGCTGCGAGGGAGGGAAAAGGCTGGAGGCGAGAGCAGGAGGAGGTCGAGGACGCACGTTCGAGCGGCAGTCCGAGATGCGGGCACTCATTGGCGATGCTGTACCACTTTTCCACGCCACTAATTGCGCCTGGAGGCCGTGGTTGGCGGTAAATCAATAAAGAGAGATGAAGTTCAGGTCGCGTCCAGCTGCGGAGAGTGACGACCCAGCGGTGCGAATCTTGCAGCTTGGCGGTGTCTCCAACATAGACGACGCCCTCTGGAGCTTGCACCATCTCCTGCGAAGCGTTGTCGGCGAAGTGGTCAAGTCCAACCTGCGACCACGTCTGTTCGAGTCCTCCACAACACCCGCTGTCCGCCTGCAGGCTCAGCTAGGGTACAGGCATTACGGTAGACACGCCATGAGCTACTACCAGCGCGGCCACTCGAAGCAGGACTCGTTTGCGGGAGGAGGAGGCGTGGTTCCGCCGCTGTCGGCGACCAACACGCTCGTCCTGCAGGCTGGGTTCGCGATACAGGGCATGGGAGACGCGATGAAGCTGCAGGTGGCTGGCGAGAAGCTCACGGGCGACCGGGTGCGTGTCGTCTGCTCGCTCGTTCCCCTCCTCGACGTGACGTCTCGCATCACTTCCGATGCACGCGCTGACCAGGCCCATGCGTGCGCACACAGATCGTTCAGGCCAACGTACTCAAGTCCAGCGTCATCCAGGGCATCGTCCTGTTCTCTGCGCTCGTCATCAAGCCCATCCTTCGGCGCGCAGTGGGGCTGCGAGCGGGCGAGGGAATCACCAGCAGTGTCATCCTCTTCGGCTTCCACGTGCGTGCCACACTTCTCCCGAGATGCCGTGGGAGCTGGCGACGCGAGCCGAGCTGACGAGGCTTGAACCGCCTTGTGTTCGCGTCCACAGCTCTTCTGGCTCTACCCTCTCGCCGCCGCCGCAACTTACTACTCTGGCCTGTTGCGTCCAACGCAAGAGACGGACAAGCGGAGCGTACGTGGGGGAGGAGGGATGGACAACAAGGGTATGGCGGTCAGGATCGTCTCCGAGGTGCGCTTCAGTCACGCGCTCGTTGCGCTTGAAACCGACTGAGCTGCGCACTCCCGCAGAGCTACCGCACGCTCGTCACCCTGAATTACTTCCTCTTCTTCTACGCCCTCCGCATGATCCCCTTGCTCGGCGCACCGCTCTCGTTCGCCTACGCCTCAACTGTCGACGCCTACTACTGCTTCGAGTGCGCGTATTCCCTCTCTGTCTGTGAACGAGATTTCTGACGTTGTGCCTATGCTTCAGAGGACATTGGGTCAAGCAAGGCTGGTCTTTCGGCGACCGCGTCCGGCAGGTTGAACAGCGCTGGGCGTACGCAGTCGGCTTTGGATTCCCCATCACGATTCTCTCATGGTGGTCGTGCGTCTCCTCCCCTCGTTACACTCTGCGTTCGTGGCTGACTCGTCTACTGCACAGCTCCGACCCGATTGTCAACCTCGCCGTCTTTGCCCTTCTCTACCCCCTCTTCTCCCTTACTTCGACCGTCGCCATCCCGCAGCCGCTCGACCCATCCTTCCCCGGTTCAGCGTCTTCCAAAGCTCCCTCTTTCCTTCACTCCGCCTCAGGCCTCGGCTACGGCTCGATCTCGATTGCTGCGGCTGAAGGAGGTGAAGAGTCACGCGGCAGGAAGGGCAGCGCTTACGTCCCTGTCAGGATCAGGGTACTCCTCGTGGCGGAGATGGTGTACGGCGCGCTGACGGCGGCTTTCGGCGCGGGAGGTGGAGCGGGAGGCGGGCGGAAGAAGGACGCAGGCATGGGACATGGCATGGGAAGGGGAACGCCGAGTCGAGGAGGAGCCAGCGCGTACGGCGCAGCGGCATCGAGCTTCGACTCGTCAGCATACGGCGGAAACGCGTCATCCTCACACGACACCTTCGCCTCCAACAACCCCTACGCCGCCACGACTCCCTCGCGGTACAGCGCCGAGTCGAACCCGTACGGCCCGCCCGCCGGGTCCGCATCCGCCTCGACTTACGCTCCGTCCCCCGCATCCGCCTACGGTACCCCCGGCGTGTCAGCAACTCCTCCTCGCCGAGGCTACGCCGCGGTCGACCCGAACTCGAATGTCGCTGAGCTGAGTCCCGGTGGCTCGATGTACCAGCAGCAGATGAGCCCCACACGTGGCGGTCAGGCTGGAATGGGAGGGTATGGCGGAGACAGGGCGCTCGACTCGTATATCCGGCAGGCTGGCTTGCGCGGCAAGAACAAGGGCGACTAGGCAGCAGCGTCACACGCATTTGTCGGCGCAGCTAAGAGCTGATCAACATCTAGAGACACTTTCCGAGATTGCAGCCCCGCCAGAAGGAGGGTGAGCACAGTCTCCCATCTATCGTACATCTCCTTCTCCCTCCTCTCTCCTTCGCGTAGCAGTAGCAGTGCAGCGCACGTATTCTCCACGTTCCGATGATCGAGAGACTACGCTTGCGAGATCTGCTCGATGTTGCAACGTCTACCCATTCAGCCAAACGCAGCCCACTCGAGACTCGCATAGACGACCTGCTGCTTGTCCGCATCCCAGCTCGCAAGGAGGTGCGCCTTCTTCACCGCTGTTGCAAGTCGGCCGTATGCGACGATGTCGAGCGGCATGATCGTAGTTGACGGAGTCGAGAGGACGGTGAGGGTGAAGTGCGAGTGGTAGCGCAGTTGATCGCCTGCGAGCGAGGAAGCGTGAGCGGCACATCGAGAACGAATACGAGTATCAGCGCGCACCTGGATAGACAAGGAAGTCGCCTCCGAACCGCAAGCCGCCGCCCATGTAGTATCCCTTGCGCCACAGGTCCTCAAATACCCTGCACCGGGATTCTTGCAGTGTCGTCTCAGGGTAATTCCACAGCCCACCCTCCTTTGCCTCGTCAAGAGTGGTGTAGGTGACGGAAGGCGAGGTCGGGTCGTACCAGGGAAAGGAGGCAGATCGGGGCTCGATGATGATGGTGTAGGGGACGTTCGAGATGTCGGGCTTCTGCGAGTCGACGTCTGAAGGCGAGGGAGCGGAGATGGGCGGATGAGGCGATGTCGAGCTTGTTGCAGCCGCTGGAGGGCCCGTATTCGCCTCTCCCTCCTTCAAGTCGGGCACAAAGACCTCCAGCCGTCCTTCCGCTTCTCCGCCTTCTTCTCGCCGCTTGGCTTGCGCCGCCTCCTTCCGTTTCCGTCGCAACTCCTCCTTCTCCCTACGCTTCTTCTCGATCTTGTCCCGGTGCAACGCCTCCATCTCTCGTTTCCGCTCCTGCTCTGCTGCGTAGGACGCTTCTTGTTGCGACTTGATCGCTGCTGTGCGAGAGGCGTGGTAGGAGGCGGATTGAGAGGCGGTGGGAGGGTGGTGAGCAGCGCGGTCGTCGACAAGGACGGCCAAGTCTGCGGAGCGAGCTCGTCAGGAAGGCCGGATTTGGAGGGAGACGTGTTACACTCACTGTTCCTGACTAGCAGGACGACCTCTTCCGGCAGCAAGACGAGAGGGAGGCCGAGAAAGACGTTCTGCTGGGTAACCTGAGGGAGGGTGCCGTGAAGCTGGCCGACGACATGGTGCTGCACTCGTAGTCGCTGGATGTCTGCGAAGGGAGTGTGCGTGTCCGCTGGTGAACCTACAAGTCCCCACGCCGCCTCGCAAGCCCGCCAGCTCCTTGAATGATGAGAAGGAGGAGACGGACCGTTCAAGTCCCACAAGTACGCGCGCTGGTTCGACACGAGCAGTCGGATAGGTTCTTCCGCAGCCATAGCGAGCACTCTAGCCAGTCACAACCGTCTCAAGCGGTATCAAGGGGAGTCGTCGGCAGCAGCTCATCTCTTTCGCGCATGCACTCTCCTCCATTCCGCTAAACTCGCTTGTGAGGGCTTGAGACGATGCCCACGACTCGCTCGAAGGGCTTGGAGCCCTACATCGACGTCCCAGCGCCGCGGCACTCGGCTCGCACCACTGGCATCGTCCCTCAACATCCGCCCAAGCCTGTACCCAAGAAGGTCAAGCGCAAGACGCTGGCTGCTGCTACTGCTCCGAAGAAGACTGCTCCGCGTACTGGCACCGCGGTTGAGGCTGCAGAGGCGGGAGGAACGGGCGGGACGAACGCAGACGGCGAGGAGGGTAATGGGAGCGAGGACGAGGAGGACTCCGGTTCCGAGGTTGAGCGCATGTTGACGTCGCCGGGCAAGACGCAGGATGGGAAGGGCAAGGCGTCGGAGAGGACGGCCAGGCGGGACACGACGGCCGTTCCAGAAACGGAGAATGAGGGTGAGGGCGCGGCTTTCGAGGAGCTGCACCGAAGTCAGCGGGCTGCGCGGACCTACGGGAAGAAGGGGGTCGCGGCAAAGGGCAAGGAGAAGGCGGTCGAGCCGGTGGAGGAACCTGAAGAAGTGAGCGAAGACGAGGAAGACCAGCTCGAATCCGACAATACCGCTCCTCCCGCCGCCGCCCAGAAGGAGAACGCCGCTCCAGCTACCGCCACATCAAAGCGCGGTGCCCGCGCTCCGCAAAAGAAGCGGAAGGCGTCACCGAAGAAGCGAGTCACACCTCGACGTCGCGAACCTTCGCAAACTCCGCCTTCCCCCAACACTCGTCGTACGCCCGCGCAGCGCGCCGCCTTCGACAGTCTCAGTGATTCGGGCGCTGGTGACGAGGAGGAGGAGATGAAGCAGGGATTCTCGAATCCACCGCAGATCTTCCAGCATCGCTCCGACGGAGGCTGGACGCCCGACAGGATCTGGCTGCATCACGAGTGGAAGAAGGAGGGCAAGCGGGACAGGATCGTCAAGTATATCAAGGTGCGTTCAGCGGTATCGGCTATTTGCGCTCGCAGCTGACTGGGCTCACTGCGGACGCAGGACCACGGCGGCAAGGTCGTAACGAAAATGCACAACGCCGACTTGGTGATACTGCCGCCGTACTACGAGGACTGCTACGCCCAGTTGTACTCCGACTCGCTTCGTTGCGGTGCGCATCACTGCACCGCCCGGTGTAACCGTGGTACTGACGCTTCCCGACTAGCAGATGCCGTCCCGATCACCTACCCGTGGCTGAAAGACTGCTCAGATCGCAGCTACGCCGAAGATCGCCCAACTCGCCTCGAGCCGCTGAAGTACGTCGCTTCTGCGCCAACCAAGCGCGACAATCGCTCGAGACGGTATCGCCGGCTCAACCAGGTCGAGAAGGACAAGATGGCCGAATTCTACGCGTTACTGCAGGCTGGCAAGATGGGTCGCCGCGAGTTGTCGGAGCGGATGGAGCGCCTTCTCTACGACCAGGTGCGCTCGCATCTGCTCGTCCTCGTCAGCCGGTGCTGACTCTTTCGCTACCTGCAGACCGGTCGCACGAGGTCAGAATACAGCGCGCTCCTCGACGAGTACGAACATCAGATCAAGGGGCTTGCCAAGCGTCTCCCGGATCAACGGCGAACCGACAGCCAGCTCTTCAACAACGACGCAACCGACTCCGACGCTCCATCTCCGCACGCACAACCTCCTCGCAAGCGCCGACGCACCTCTTCCGCCTCCGGCAACGTCGACCCGGCGCTCGACTACACGACCCTGCACACACAGCTCTCGCTCGCGTACAAGCGCCCTCTCCCGCTCGTCGAGGCGATCAGCCTCTCTTGCAGCCTCTTGATCGCCCGCGCCGAGAGGGTCCTTGCGGCGCTGGAGGAATGGGAGATGGCGACGATGGAGCTGCCCGTCGAGGAGGCCGTGGCGGGCGAGGCGGCGGACAGGTTGTTGGAAGAGGTCGGACCGATCTGTTGGGGCCCAAGGACGGACAAGGATATCGTCAAGGGGAAGAGGAGCTTGGAGGAGATTGCAGAGCGGCGCGGGAAGACAGTTGAGGAGGTCGAAGACAGGCGGGAATTTCTCGAGGCGCTTGGCGAGGATGACCGACTGGGATGGTTTCCGAACGAAGTGGGGCTCAACCGCGTACTGGAGGAACGTTTGGAGGAAGAGTCGGAAGGAGGCGGAGGGCAGTCTGGAGCGGAGGAAGGAGATGAGGAAGAGCTGTTCCCGCTTGTTGTTCCGGGCGCGATGTCTGCGTAGCGATTTCCGTACATGTTGTAGGCAGTCCTGTTGCATGTCTAATGTTCTTTCACGCCGCCGCTAGCCTACACCTGTGCGCCCGCCTCCTCCGCTGTAGCCTCGAAAGGCTTCCTCCACCTGCCCTGCATCCACACCCTGAACATCTTAAGCTGCCTCTTGCGGTTCAAAAGCAGCCGCCGGTCGACGCCAAGCTGGAGGAGGTCGAACCTGTACGGCGTGAGCGACTCGCCTGTGCGGGACGATGTTGGGGAGGTCGAGGGAAGCGCGGCGGAGGTTGTGGATGTAGAGATGGCGCCGGAAGCGTCTTCGGTCAATGTTGTAGTCGTGAGGAGACCTGTAGCGGCTTCGAGGGCGGCGTCGGTCGAGTCAGACTCGGGGAGAGACGTGTATGTGGAGTCGCGAGGTGTTGTATCTGTGCGTTCTGTATCTGTTGTTCGTGTTGTTCCTGTTGTCGATGTCGAACCGAAAGATGTAGCGTCACCCGGTGTAGCGCTGCTAGGTGTAGCGTCGGAGGGTGTAGCGGCGCCGGCTGTAGCCTCCTTCGCCTTCTGCCTGACCCCTCCAAACAGGTAAACCAGCTCGTCTGCGCGTTCAGGCTGTCAGTGCGCGTACTGAGCGCATGGACCGACACAACGCACCCCGCTCGAAGAAGTACACCCTCGTGTTGTCGCCGCGAACGTATAACCCGTCCTGCATTAACCGGTTCGCCTTGAACCGCAGCTGGGCGAGGTCGTTGCGGCCGTAGTCGCGGAAGAGGAGCACGCCTCCTGGCTTGAGCATCTGCGAGCCAACACATAACTCGCACATCAGCAACTGTTCCTCCAAAGAGGCGAGTGACTGAGGGAAGAACCGCAAAGCACCCGATAGGCATTCTCGACCGCCCTCGCCCACTCATCCGGGTGCAGCGCCGAAAAGACGAAAATCATGGTCAAGACGTCGACCGAATTTGGCTCGACAGTTGGAGGAGGACCGGCGGGGGACGAGAGGTCCCAGACCTCGCAGGTTAGGTGGGTTGGGTCGAAGGAGGGATGGTTCTGTGCGAGAGGAGTCAGCGAGAAGAAGGCGGGAAGAGATGGAGGGATGCGCACCTTGACAACCGAGACAGCCTCCTTCGAATAGTCGTAGCCGTGCAAGTCGAGCTTCGGGTTCTCGTTCGCCGCGAGGAGGGGGAAGAGCGTACTGCCGTTGCCGCATCCAAGCTCGACAATGCGTTTCGGGCCAGCCTGCGAGCGCAAAGATGAGGTCAGTTGGCAAGGCAAAGCATGGAAAGAAACGAGCGCGAACGCACATCCGCCTTGAGGCACTCTGCCAACTCAGGGAACTCGGTCCTGAGCCATGCACGGTCCTTGAAGAAGTTGTCCTTGTTGTGGCGGTAGAAGACGTCCCATTGCGCAGCGGGGTCGGCGTTGAACTTGTCCTGGAGGTGTTGCGGGACGGGCGAGTTGCGCTGCTTCTCGAGTGCCGACTGGGCGAAGCGCTCTTCCTCCTCTCCCCACTCGACCTGGTCCCTGTGTGTCATTCGAGCTGGTCAGCATGCTTCCTTCACGAATCAATCGCCTTTCTAGAGAGGGGGACAAGGTTGCTCACCATGCGTTGTGGGTCCACGGGTCCCTCCCTTCCTCCAGCCGACGCCCTCCGTTGCGCGACGGTGCTCCCTCGATTAGCTCCTCCGCCACGAGCTGGTCTGCGAGGAGCTGGGGCTGTTTGCGGCGCGCTGGTTGCGGTGCAGGAGAGGCGAGTGCAGTAGCAGGAGCAGGAGCTGCGGCGACCGCGTGTTCAGCTGGCATGGCTTTTTCGGTGTTTCTCGTGTCAGTCATAGCGTTTCTAGCGTTGCTCGAGCGGTGAGAGGGTGTAGACGAGGGCAAGGCCTCCTCGCCAACTTTCTGGGATCTCTCGACCTCGCTCGCATCGCTGTCTCTGCTCGAAGAGGGTCCTTGCTTGGCTAGATAGACTCATAGACGGTCTCTCAGCGTCCAGGTGAGCCGCACAGTCCGCACAACTCGCTGGATCTCGCCGTTGACCTCCTCATCAATTCTCATCACTCACAGATTCTCCCTCGCTCTCGAATGCTCGCACGGTCGCACCAGGTCGCACTCCGAGCAGCGCAGTCTTCCACACGCACCCTCGCACGCACCGCCGTCGCCAGCCTCTCCCAGCGCGCCTTCACCGCGGGCACCGCCTCGCTCTCGCCTTTGCCCCGTCGCTTGACTCCGCTTCGCTCCTCTCCTTCACCCTCTCGCTCGCTCGCTACCATGGCTGAACAGAACCAGGGCGCAAAGCTCATCGATGGAAACGCAATCGCAGCGTGCGCACCCGTCCCCGCCGTCCTGCGTGCCCGTGTTCGCTGACCGGTCACCTCGTGTCTTCTCCCCGCACCTGCCGAAATGTCGACTCGCCCTCCCTCTCACTCCCTCGCTGGCCTATGCACACATCTGAAACAGTTCCTTGCGGCAAGGAATCGCGGCTCGCATCGCAGAGACGCGCGCACGTTTCCCGCGCTTCGAGCCAACTCTCGTCATCGTCCAGCAAGGCGCGCGCCCCGACTCGTCCACCTATGTCAAGATGAAGCTCAAGGCTGCTGCCGAGGCGGGCATCAAGTGCACGCTCGTTCAGCTTGGTGGACCCGAGGATGGCGTTGGGGAGAACGAGGTCATGGCGGAGGTCGAGCGGTTGAACGCGGATGACAACGTCCACGGCATCATCGTCCAGCTTCCCCTGAGCGACGAGATTGGTCGTGACGGCGAGCGCAGGATCACCGAGGCCGTCTCGCCGGAGAAAGACGTCGACGGTTTCCACGCCTACAACATCGGTCTCCTCTCGTCCCGCGCGTCCGAGCCGCTCTTCGCCCCGTGCACCCCGGCAGGCGTCATGCTCCTCCTCGAGTCAACCGGCATCGAGATCAGCGGCAAGAACGCCGTCGTCCTCGGCCGCAGCGACATTGTCGGCTCACCTGTCTGCGCCCTCTTGCGCCGCAAGGACGCGACCGTCACTCAGTGCCACTCGCGCACCAAGAACCTCGCCGACATAGTCCGCCAGGCCGACATCGTCGTCGCGGCTATCGGACAGGCCCGTTTCGTCCAGGGCGACTGGATCAAGCCCGGCGCGGTCGTGATCGACGTCGGAACCAACTACATCGCCGACTCGACCCGCAAGTCGGGCTCGCGCCTTGTCGGCGACGTCGACTTTGACTCGGCTCGCCAGGTCGCGAGCTACATCACGCCGGTGCCCGGAGGAGTCGGACCGATGACTGTCGCAATGCTCATGGAGAACACGGTGCTCTCCGCCCAGCGTCTCCTCGAAAAGTCGCAACAGCGCCTCGTCAAGCCTCTCAAGCTCGTCTGCAAGGAGAAGGTCCCAAGCGACATTGAGATCGCCAAGAGCCAGGTCCCCAAGCCCATCGACGTCCTCGCCGCCGAGATCGGCATCCCCGCCAAGGACCTTGAGCTCTACGGCCGCAACAAGGTGCGCGGGATCGCTCCTTAGTCGCGGACTCGCTTGACTGACCGATTTCGCTCCTGCAGGCCAAGGTCAAGCTCGAGGTGCTCGACTCGCTCCGCCACCGCAAGGACGGCAAGTACATCGTCGTCGCGGGTATCACGCCCACCCCTCTCGGCGAGGGCAAGTCGACGACGACGATCGGTCTTGCGCAAGCGCTCGGCGCGCACCTTGGAAAGGCGGCGTACGCTTGCGTTCGTCAGCCTTCGCAGGGCCCGACATTCGGCATTAAGGGTGGTGCTGCGGGTGGTGGATACAGTCAGGTCATCCCGATGGACGAGTTCAACCTGCACTTGACCGGTGAGCGAACTTGCGAACCAGTTCAGGCCATCGCTGACTTCTCATCGTCCAGGCGACATCCACGCTACCACCGCCGCCAACAACCTCCTCGCTGCCGCTATCTCTGCGCGTTACTTCCACGAGTCGACGCAATCGGACAAGGCGCTGTTCAGCCGTCTCTGCCCGCCCAAGAAGGGCGTCCGCTCGTTCTCGCCTGTCATGATCAAGCGCCTCGAGAAGCTCGGCATCGACAAGCGCAACCCGGATGACCTCACCGAGGAGGAGCGCTCGGCCTTTGTCCGCCTCGACATCGACCCTGAGAAGATCTCGTGGCACCGCGTCCTCGACACCAACGACCGCTACCTCCGCAAGGTCATGACCGGTCTTGGTCCCGCCGAGCAGGGCAAGACGCTCGAGACGGGCTTCGACATTGCCGTCGCGTCTGAGTGCATGGCCGTCCTCGCGCTCGCCACCTCGCTCGGCGACATGCGCGACCGCCTCGGCCGCATGGTCGTCGCCGAGTCCAAGTCGGGCGTCCCAATCACCTGCGACGACATTGGCGCCACCAATTCGCTCGCCATCCTCATGAAGGACGCGATCAAGCCCAACATCATGCAGACGCTCGAGGGAACGCCCGTCTTCGTCCACGCCGGCCCGTTCGCCAACATCGCTCACGGCAACTCGTCTATCCTCGCCGACAAAATCGCGCTCAAGCTGGCGGGTATCGAAGAGGGTGAGGAGGAGGACAAGAATGGCTACGTGATCACCGAGGCTGGCTTCGGTGCCGACATTGGGTGCGTCGTCCGCCTCCTTGACTACTCACAGCCCGCATGTTGACACAGACCCGTCCCTCGCAGCATGGAGAAGTTCGTCAACATCAAGTGCAGGGCGTCGGGCCTCATCCCGAACGCCGTCGTCCTCGTCGCGACGATCCGCGCGCTCAAGATGCACGGCGGCGGACCCGAAGTCACGCCCGGCAAGCCTCTCCCCGAGGTCTACCTCAACGAGGACCTCGAAATCCTCAAATCCGGCTGCGCCAACCTCGCTCGCCATATCGAGAACGCCAAGAAGGTCGGCGTCAAGGTTATCGTCGCCGTCAACCGCTTCACGAGCGACACGCCCGCCGAGATCAAGCTCGTCCAGGAGCAGGCTCTCGCTGCTGGTGCCGACGCCGCCGTACCGTGCAACCACTGGGCCGAGGGTGGAAAGGGCGCGATCGAGCTCGGCGAGGCCGTCATCCAGGCTTGCAAGGAGCCCAACCCGTTCAAGTTCCTCTACGACGTCAACCTCCCGATCAAGGACAAGATCGAGATCATCGCCAAGGAGTTCTACGGCGCCGCCGCTGTCGAGTACTCGGAGCTCGCCGAGTCGCAGATTAAGTCGTTCGAGGAGACCGGCTACGGCAAGCTGCCAATCTGCATGGCCAAGGTGAGTCTGCTGTCGCGGTCTGAGCTCGCGAAGATAGGTTTGCTGACGACATCGCCCTTGCAGACGCACCTGTCATTCTCGGCGGACCCGAAGCTCAAGGGCGCACCCTCCGGTGAGTCTTCCGCTTCTTTCGCCTCGCGCCCCTTCAACGTGTGTACCGACCATCGCGTCGACGAGCTGGGTGCATGGGTAGGTGAAGAAAGCCGAGAGCGAGCGCTGACCTCTCCTCCTCCTTCGCAGGCTTCACCATCCCCATCCGCGAGGCTCGCCTCAGTGCCGGCTCCGGCTTCATCTACCCCCTCGTTGGCGAGATGAGCACCATGCCGTGAGTCCCGCGCTCCCCAGAAGTCGGCCAGTTGCGGCGGAACTTCTCGCCATCGACCGTCTCCTCCTCCTCTCGCCGCGCTCTCTTCTTTCGCTTCGCATCTGATCGTCTCACTGACATCACCAATCGCTCCCGATGCAGCGGCCTCGCCACGCGCCCGATCTTCTTCGACCACCGGCTGTTGGATGATGGGGAGATTATTGGTCTCTCCTAGTCCCGAATCAATCTCCGGCTTCTCCCACACGATATATCGCAACGCGCTTGTTATACCACCGGCCGTCGTCGACGACGGCCGTCCAGCACATCAACTGTCCCCCCCAACACACCTTGTACCCTATCGCATGATTCCCTTTTCCCCTCCGGTTTCCGAAATAGAGCTCAACCTCCTGCAAAGACAAAAGCGCTCTTGTCGTGGTTTCCATAGACTCTCACTCGGACGCGGCGGGAGACGTGCGAGAGGAAACGGAGTTGCAAAGCGAAAAGGCGAAGGGGTATCGACATCCGTTCAAGCGACCTTCACCCTCCACACCCTGCAACGCCTAGTCCTCGTCAAACGGATTCCTCTGATACTCAAGCTCATCATCCGAATCGTCCCCCAACGCATGGTTCGGCGCACTGAGCGGACTGCGGACGACTCCTGCTCCTGCTCCGCCTGCGCTGGGTGAAGTAGCTTCGTGTGAGGGTGATTTGGGAGAGGAAGAGGAGTCGAGGAGGGAGAAGGATTGGCGAGGGAGGAGGCCGGGGATCTTGGAGGCTGCTTGTAAGGGGAGGTCAGATCCGAAGAGCGAGATGAGCGCGAGGAGAGGCGACGTACTAAAGTCTTTCTTCGGCAGGTCTTTGGGCTTGTCGTCGGCCGGAGTCGCTGTAGAGAGGTTTGCAGAAGAGGGCCGCGCCACGCCGTCCTTGCTCGTGCTCGCCCCGAGCGAAGGCGAGACAGACCGGTTCGAGGTGGACGAAGAAGGACGAGGAAGGAGTTCAGGGACAACGGAAGAGGATGCGGTGGAAGAAGTGGAGGCGTTGGTGGTTGTGCGAAGGAGGTCGCGAGGCGACGAGGAGGAGGGGGCGGAAGAGTCGAGTTTGGGAGGGGGAGGAGGAGGGGGTTGGTCGCGTTGAGGTGGAGAGCTGCGAGACGGGTGTGTCAGCTATCGAGATGAATGGTGATGAAGCGCGAAGAGGGACTCACGCTGAGCGGACGATTGCCTCGTCGACTTTCGCAACCTGCTCCTTGACCTTTGTCAGGAAACTCCCGAACGTCTTCTTCCCCTGCTCTGCGAACTTCGAGCTGTGCGAGCAAGACGGGACATGATCCATCAGTCCGCTTGTCGGAACGGGAGAACGACGAGAATCTGTCACGCGCGACTCACAACTGCTCGCCCAACTCTGCCAACTCGTCCCTCTCCTGCACCGGCTGCTGCTGCTGCTGTCGCGACTGCTCCGCAGGGGGCTGCCAGCTCGACATGCTCGGATTCGGTGACGCAGGCTGCGCCGTCCTTCGAGATCTGGGGACATAAGGCTGGTACGCGAGCGGTTGAGGCGGTTGTTGCTGAGACGCAGGCATCGACGACGAGCGGCGGGGAGCGTTGGCACGCTGCTGCATCTGTGCGATTTCGTCTTCGCGGGCGAGTTGGCGGGCGTACTCTTCGTCTGCCTCAAGTTGAGAGAGCTGTCCGTCCAAGGAGGGTCAGCAGGGGGGGCTTTCGACGTGAAAGGGAAACGCTGCGAACCTCGACGGGGTCCGGCTTGTACTCTGGGTCGTTCATGACGAGCAGCTGCTCCGTCGCCTCGTCCAGCGACCCACCGCTCGCTGCAAGCACCGCCTCCAGGATCTCTATCTCGACCTGCGGGAACAGCGCACGCAGCTGGTCGACCTGCGGGTCCCTCGGCTCCTCTGTCCGTTCAGTCTCAGTCATTCCTGCGCCAGTCTCGTCCGTCTGTGTCGTGTGAGCAGGCGACGCTGATTCGGTGGTGACGGAGGGAGGTGGGGGAGTCTCGCTCGCTCCTCCTGGCGCAGGCGGTTCAGCAGCAGCATTGGTGGTTTCAGCAGCGTCGGTCGACATTGTTCAGCGTGCGCAATGAGTCAGGCGAGCGAGTTGGTCGTGGTCGAGGTTGTTCTCTTCCTCGACCACGACGACCTCTGCTCGCCAAGGTCATCCTGCTCGACCTTGTAGTACACAGCTTGCAGTGAGGAGTGCACTCCAATGCACTGTAACATTTTCCTTGCCCCCCCTGCGAATTTCACCTTTTCCCCGTGGACTTGGGCACGAAAGGCGGGGAGTTCAACACGTTCGACCTCGTCCACTCGCTCGACCCGCTCAGGCGACCGGCTCATTGCCCGAACCAGCCCGTGCGCTACTGTGCTCGCCGCTCACAGCTTGTCCCGGCTCGAATCCGCCCTCGCACGCCGACTCTCGCCCTTCCCATCCACTTCATCTCCTCGAGCGGTTCACGCCGACTCGACGCCCTCGCTCGACTCGCCAGCACCGTAGACGGTCCTCAGAAGCAGCTCTCGACGTGCAGTAGACGTGCAGGCATACGGGAGGCATCCGGCACGGTCAACTAGACGGTACGTTCGCTCCCCTCCCTCCCCGAGGAACGATTCCCGAGGCTTACCGCGCTCCTTTCCCAGCATCCTGTACACGGCCAGCGAATACAAGACGCCATGAAGTTCGGCAAGACGCTCCAGCAGCAGATCTTTGCGCAGAACGGATTCGAGGGATGGGCCGCGTACTTTTGCGACTACAAAGGGCTGAAAAAGGTGCGTCGGCTCGCCCTCCCGCATCTCCGAAAGCTCGCTGACGATGCGAGCACCCCGACAGATCATCAACTCGCTCGCGAAAGGCCGACCAGCCGATGCCGCCCTCCTCGCAGCCGGCGTACGCCCTCCCCGACCCGAAGCAGAGGAGCAGCTCCCCGTCGAGGCGACATCGACGGAGGCGCAGCTCTTTGCGCACGCGTCGACTGCGAACGGAGTTGTGGGAGGGGAAGGACCGACGACATTGTTGCAGGCTCACAAGGCGGCGTTCTTCTTCAAGCTTGAGCGCGAGCTTGAAAAGGTGCGTGCGCGAGGAACAGGTTCGCTCAGACTCGCACTGATTCTCGAGTCGCCCGCAGATCAACGACTTCTACTACCAGCGCGAGTCGGCGCTGAAAGTCCGCCTCCGCACCCTCATCGACAAGCGCAAGCTCCTTACCTCTTCGCTCTCCGAACCGAACGGCAAAGTCAAAGCCTTGAGTCGCGACAGCAGCAGCTTCCGAGCGCTGTACGAAGGTTTCCGGAACTTTGAGCGCGACCTCGGACGCCTGCAGACCTACATCGAGCTGAACGCGACTGCGTTCCGCAAGATCTGTAAGAAGTGGGACAAGGCGTGTAGGAGGCAGGCGGACCGGTTTGGCGATACGAGGCCGCAGCAAGGTCAGCCGGATGGACAGCTCTACCTCGCGCGACAAGTCGAAGTCCAGCCCGTCTTCAACCGCGAGTTCATCGCTCAACTCTCCGACGTCGCCTCGGCCAACCTCCTCTCGCTCGAGAACCTCGTCGGCGGAGAGGCGCAGCGTGGAGGTGCGGCGGCCCTCGCGGATGGGAGCAGCATCGACGGCACGGTTCGCTCGGCACCTCACCTCCCGACGCTGTTCGACCGCGCCGACCGCGCAGAGGCGCTCGAGGACCTCGAAACGGCCCTCGTGTCGGCTGTCAAGGCGGGTGACAAGACGGTTGTCGATGAGGTCCTCGGTCTGCTGTTGCCGAACGAGGGCGACTCGGCGGAGGGAAAGGGACCGGTGTCGAGGATCCTGTGGCGCGCAGCTTTGGAGGAGCCGGCAGTGCAGGCTGAAGCGGAAGTGACGCCGAACGGAGCGGAGCCCAAAACAGGCGGCGCCTTGATCGCTCAGGACCTGCTCGACTTCACCTTCGTCGATGACATCAACGGCCGAACGGCGCTCCACGAGTCAGCAAGCGCTGGACGGCTCGCGCTTGTCGTCGCATGCCTCGAGAAGGGTCTCTCGGTCGCACAGGCAGACGTCTACGGCCGACAACCGTTGCATTACGCGGCGATGAACGGCCACGCCGGTGTCTGCCGAACACTCCTCGGCGCACAAGCGAGCCCGACGACGGCAGACCTCGACGGCTACTCGCCCATCATCTATTCGATCACGAACGGCTGGACGTCGGTCGTCGAGACCTTCCTCGCGGCCGGCGTCAGCTTCGAGTCGCCCGCTCCCGGAGGCGCAGACCAGCTCAATGCGCTCTCGCTCGCGTGCCAGTACGGCCACGAGGCAATCGCGCGACTGCTGCTCGAGCGCGGCGCGCAGATCGTCCCGAACCCGGCAGGGTATTGGCCGCAACACCTCGCAGCACGGGAGGGCCACGCAGGCGTGCTCAAGCTCCTCGTCGACGCGCTCAAGAGCGACGGCTTGTCGGTGCAGGACAAGTACTCGCAGGCGACGCCGCTGCATCATGCGGCGAGCGAGGGTCATGCGGAGTCGGTGAAAATCCTCCTTGCGGCGGGTGCGGACGTCCACGCGGTCGACGAGTTCAAGCGGACGCCGATCCACTACGCCGCTTGGCAGGGTCACATCGAGTGCGTCAACCTGCTCATTGACCACGGCGCGACGAAGGCGTCCGCGGCGGCGACGGCTGAGCAGGAGGAGCGGGAGGGTGCTCGCGCGACGGCTTCGACGTCAACGATGGACATGGACCCTCTCGCCGACGAGCTCGAAGCCGACTTGATCCCCTCGCTCTCCCTCCCTCCGCCCATCATCCCCTTCCGCATCTACGGCCACAACTACCTCGGCGACGCCAAGTGCCTCGTCCACATCACACTCGGCCACCCCAACACCACTCTCGCTCCTTACCCTCCGCCTGTCCGACTCATCGACCAACCCGGACACGGCCATCCCGCCTCGCTCAAGCTCGTCATCACGCCCAAACCCGATTCTTCCGGCACCTCGATCCCTCACTCCGTCATCCTCCCGCTCTCAGACGACCGCGAGGTCTTCTCGTTCCAGGTCGACACGCTCGCCGACTTTTCGCTCGAGTTCGACCTCTTCCCGACTTTCGGCTCGAAGATGATCGGCAAGGCCGTTGCGGTCCCTGCGACCTTTGACGACCTGAAGAGCCAGGGCTCGTACGTCGTCCCGATTGTCGACCCGCATCTCAAGGTCGTCGGCGACATTCCGTTCGAAATGAACGTCGTAAAGCCTTTCGGCCGCGCGCAGCTGCAGATCGGCGGGCAGTTCGAGGTCTACTGGAAGACGACGACCTCGCTGCAGACTGTTCCTGTGCCCGGCGACGCGGGTCAGAACACGTCGTCAGTCGTCACTGCGTCGTCGCTGTCGGGCGAGCACGTCCGCATCGTCGTCCAAGTCACCAAGGACGGCCACCCCGTCGCTTACCCGCTGTGGAAGCTGCCAGTCGACGGGCTGGACATTCACGTCGCGGATGTCACGCTCGAGCAGTTTGAGGCGCTCGCGCGGAGACTCGGCAAAACGCTCGACCCGGCAAAGGTCAAGAACCAGGAGGACCCGTCGGCTTGGCATCGGGCTATTGCGGACGCACTGATACCGCTCGAGGAGCTGCTGACGGTGCGTGCGGATGTCTCCCGGTGAGAAGCTTCTCCGCTGACTCGCTGTGCTCACAGGTCCTGCCCGCCTCACTCGGCGTCAACCTCGAGCTGCGGTATCCGACCCGATCAGATGTCCGCCGACTCGCCCTCGCACGCACGCTCGAGGTCAACGAGTTCGTCGACTCGGTCCTCACGACCGTGTACAAGTCGATTCAGACCAGCCCATCCTCTTCCGAACCCGAATCTTCGACTGCTCACCGCCGAGTCGTCCTCTCGTCCTTCAACCCCGTCGTCTGCACCGCACTCAACTGGAAGCAGCCGAACTTCTCCGTCTTCTTCGCCTCGTACTGCGGCCTCTCTCGGACAGGCAACGCGGGCGGCGGCGTTGCAGGCGACATCACCCAGCCCGGCCGACTCGTGCCGGCGAACCGCGTCGAGGAGGACAGGCGGTGTACAAGCATTCGCGAGGCGGTCAAGTTCGCGCGGGCGAACAACTTGCTCGGCATCATGCTCGACGCGACGATGCTGGTGCGCTCACTCTCATCCTCTTCATAGTCTCTCGCATCTCACCCTGTCGCTTTCGCAGGTCCAAATACCCAGTCTCATCCAGTCTGCGCGCGAACACGGTCTACTCATCACGACCTTCGGTACCGCAAGTCGCGTTGTCCACGCCGACGCCCACATGGCCGATGGAGTGTGCGCTCTACTCTCCGCCTCTCGCGTCTCTTCCACATGCTGACGCTTCCCGACCTCCCACAGCCTCTCGTACGCGACGAGCGACTTCCTCAAGCAGACTATGGCGAACTGAGCGCAACACGACGACGAATGAATAGAAGTGAACCTCCGTCTACGAGTTATCTCTGCAAAGCGCAAACCCTGTTGTTACCCAGTCTATGCCAAGTCTCTTCCGAATCGAAGCGAAAGAGGGAGAGAACGAGCTACTAGAAGAGACGAAGGCGAGGCGCCGACTTCGTGCCGCGAGAAGGCCGTGAAGGCGCTTTGATGACGAAGACGGGTGGCGGCTCGCTTTTCTTGTACTGGCCCTGTAGACGCAGCAAGTCAGTCGCCGTCGGAACCGAACAGCAAAGGGAATTGGAGCGTACTGTCAGAATCTCCGTCGCTCGGTTCTTGTCCTTGTCATGTAACAGCGCCTGGATCTCCCGCTTCTCCGAATTGGCGGCGTTCTCGGCCATCTGCCGCGCGGTGGTTTTGCCCGTCCGGACGAACTTCAGGAAAGGCGAGCGACCGAAGGTCAGGAAGGTCAGAATCGAGGAGAGGAAGAGCTGCCTGTCTCACCGAACCACTGATAGTCCCCGATCCGGCATAGATCATAGCCAGCGCATCACCGCTCTGCGAAGCAAGGATGCCCGTATCAGCGTCGTCGTCGTCGTCGTCGAGAGGAGCGAGAGAAGGACGCACGTCCGCGAAGAGCTTGCGATGCAGCGTCTCGAGTGCGCTGCCACGGAAAGACGGCAGACCGAGCTTCTGACACTGCTGTGCGAGCATGGCGGTAGAGATGCTGAACTCGCCGAGGTTCGAGCGGTCGAGGCAGCTAGGGAAGCAGGTTTGGTCAGACCTCGCACTCGCGACTATCAAGCCTGAGAACTCACTCGCGACAGTTGACGCGGAAGGTACCCTTTTGAGGCGCGAGCAGGCTGTACTTGCCCGTAAGGGCGTCGACTCGTGCGATGGTCGCGCCGAACTCGGTGACATGCGGCTCGAGATCCTGCGCAATGATATCGGGGACCCTCGCAAGTCCTCCCGACACCATCTCGTCCTTGTGGATCGAATGCGCCTCGTAGATAACCTTGTCGGCGAGGTTCGGGTCTTTCGCTTGTGCGAGACTAAGGATGGCGCTGTAGGCTTGCCCAAGCAAAGCTTCGGCGGCGAGCGAGCCTGTCGGCAAGTCGGAGAGGAGATTGTAGATGTGGACTTCGGAGTACTCCTTCACGAGCCAGCGGAAGTGGGAGAGGAGGGGAGGAAGGGAGACGGCGTCGACCGGTTCGGTTAGGTGGACTTCGACAGGCCCATGCCAATGTGGAACTTCAGTCCAGATGACTGTGAGCAGAGCGTGAAATTAGTCCCTCCGTAAAGACCCTCCAGTCGCGCGGAAAACTCACGTGGCACGCTGCCGCGAACCTGGACGAACGAGAGCGTCTTGTCGCGAGTCTGTAGGATCGTCTCAGTCTGCAAAGGACCTCGTGAGCACTCGTGTTAGCGTTTCGAGAGCTTGCGCGGGATGATGAACGGACCTCAGCGAAGTTGGCGACATTCCCAGCATCGTCGATTCCTCGTTTCAAGAACCTCGTGCCCGCTCGCGCCCAACCTCGCCGACTGATGACCGCCAGCATGACCTTCTCCGCTCCAAGCGTTACCTCCGAAGCGCCGTAGAAGCCCTGGATGACCGGCAGGATGAACGAGCGCGAGTCGAAGGCGGACTGGACTTGCGGGTCGAGCGAGTCTCGGAGCGCTCGAAGGGGTCGGAGGATGTGCGTGTTCCAGACGAACTCCCGTGTCCCTTCGTGATAAGAAGGCGTCGGCGCTGGTTCGGGTGCGTCGGCGCGAGCGATGGGCGTGCACGCTTCTGCAAGCTGATTCTGCGCCTTGATCCTTGTTGCGAGTCGGCTCGTGAGGTCGAACGTCTTGGAGTAGTAGAACGAACCGTCGGTGAGGATTTTGCGGAGGTGATAGCAGGGATGGGCGGGCGTGCGAGCGAGGGGAAGGTGGCCACCTTCGAGGCAATAGAAGAGAACCTCGCGGACCTGCTCGACGTCCTCGTCTTCACAGCCGATGCTATCGACGGGCGGGACGACGATGGCGAGGAAGGTGCCTGTTCGAGTCGCTGGTCAGCTGGAGAGAGCAGATTCGGAGGAAATTGGCACTCACAGCCCTTCATCCGCACCGCACCCAAGCATCCCCTCGCATCGACACGAACACCTACGTCAAAAGTCGGCGGCGGCGTCCCAGGCGGCCGAACGTCGACCTCGATCCTCCCTGGTTCACCCTCGACAGGACTGAAGTCGAGGAAGAAGCCGGTATCCTCGATCGTGATCCGGTTCTCAGGGCCGGTCACATAGACGAGCATGGCTTGGAGGGCAGGTAATGCGTGTAGAAGAGCAGGAGAAAAAGCTGAGAGGGAGAAGGGAGGTCGCCCGGAAGGTCCGAGGAGTTGGCGAGGAGAAGGGAGGGAGCGCAGAGCGCGGCAAGGCCGCGAGCTGGCGCAGCGCCAATGAGAGCAGCTTCGTGAACCATTTGCGACTACCGCGTTGCCACGCAACGCCGCCCTTGACCCGTGCCATCCTCATCAGTTGCAAGCGGAGAGATGAGGACAAGGTCGACCACAACGCCGTCGGTACGGTCCTGCTGGGTCGGGTGGCGATCTCAGTACCAGTAAGGGCAGCTCGCACTCCTCAGACCAAGCAAAAAAGTAATGAGGCGAGCAGGACGAGGACAAAGCGGCGAGGGGGGTCCTCGCGACGGCTTGACCTGCTACCACAACCTCGCAAACTTGCTCGAGGCGCGATTCGCCTGAAGAGCCCTCTTTTCTGGCTCTTGCGAAGCCCTTGGACTGCCCGCACAGCCCGCCAGCGCCAGTCCCGCGCTCCTCCTCTCCCTCCCCACCGCCAGTCCCGCACCATGTCCCTCCCTCACGAACTGCTCGTCCGGGTCATCCACCTCGCCACCCCTCCGCCTGGACCGTCGACGAAGGACGAGCGCAAGCGGCGCCGTCACCTGCGACGCTAAGCCCTCGTCTCGTCCGCCTGGCACGCCGCCGCTCTCGACGAAGCCGCGCCGCACTTCTTCGTCAACACGTTCAGCGCAGGATGGTCTCAGAGCGACGATGTCGCGTTCGAGCGCATCATGCATGCGAAGCGGCGTGCGGACGAGCGAACCAAGTCGGTCAGGACGCTGACGATTTTCGGCGACAAGCACTTACCGGCCAAGAGCGCGAGGACGCTGCTGTCCATCTTTGAGAGGGCGACGGAGATGTCGTTGATGCAGATGCGCAAGCCGGACGAGCTGCTCAAGGGATCGCCATGTGCGTTGCGGTCCTTGACTTCGCTTGGAGAATTGCTTCCGACTTGTTCTCCGTTCCGCGCAGACGTCCACACTCTCCGTTTGATCGAGGTCCAGCGCGCGAACTTTGGCGGCTGCTACAGCGCCCTCACCCGCCTCGTCCTCGACCACTGCTGCGCCGAGTACCTCCCGCTCACCCTCACCGCCGAAAACTTCCCAGTCCTCGACACGCTCATTCTCGACCTCAAGCGCGTCCGCCATCGCGAACAGCCCGTCCGGGACTGGCAAGACGGTACTCGTCCGCCCCAGGTCCGCGCGCTGTGCTTGACGGGACAAGCGTTCGGCTGGTTCTCCGCCTTCTTCGCCAACTCCCGTCTCGAGCACCTCCACATGGGCGGAAGTTCGATTGAGCACGGTTACTTGTCGCTGCTGGCGTTCCTCACCAAGCCACTCGTCAGCTTCTCCGCCGACTGGAATCCCGAACTCCTCTTCACTACCGCGGGCATCCCGCTGGACGCCGCCGCCTGCGCCGGCCTGCCCGCCTTCAAGCGCCTCGTCGACTTGCGCCTCTACCAGCACGAGGCCGAGCCGCACCGCGAGGACTGGTTCGCCCACTTTGCGGACGAGATGGAGCGGGCGCTTTTGAGCGAGGGGAGGGACTTGCGCATTCGCATGATTGGCGAGAAGCTTGAGGCTGCGGAGTGGGATCCTCGTGAGCAACATGTCCCGTGGTTCCCCGTGCTTACCGTCGCTGACGAGCTGTTGCGGCGCAGTTCACGACCCGACCCTCGTCGCTCCCGCTCGTCGCCTATCCTAAGTCAATCGTCGCTCGTCTCGCTTGTACTGTACACCTAGTCACGTCGCTTCCTGCAAAGCATTCCCATCGTCAAGAGATTATCCGATTACACTTCGCTTGTAATGGCCCTGTAATACGCCTCCCCTCGAGTCGAGCTGGTCCTCCCCTCGCCTCGTCGCTCTCGCTGCTTGTCCTTCAACCAAACTGCACCTTTAAATTCGCGGTTCGCTCAGCGGTCCCGCTTGCTTGCTGTCCTTCGGGACTCTCGCGCTTGTGGACGACACAGCAGCCACGCCAGACAGGGTGCCAGACCCGACTCCGACGCCTCGTCGCCGGCAGCTCGAAAGAGCTCTGTCCGCCTTCAAAACAGTCGCTCTAGCTCTGTCCCGGTCGATGGGGAGGCCCGGAAACCGGTTGATGTGCTTTATGCGACTACCTGGAAGGCTGTACATTCCCCTCCCCTTCCTCCCTCGTCGACGCCCGTGCAATCTTTCACTTCACCCCGTCACTCGCGCATCCGGTCGGTCGCGTACAGAGAGGCAGGAGTGTGCAGAGAGGGCCTGAGCGGGAGCTACGGAACGGCGGCGCAAAGCTGGACTTGCGGCGTGCGGGAGGAACGGGTTCGAGCGGGAAGAGAGGGAGGCGGAGGGAGCGAGGGCAGGTGCTGTTCACGCTGGGTGGAGTGTTCGCAGGGTGCCGGTGCCTCCTCACACTCTACGCCACACGGCGCAGGCCTTATGACGGGAGCGGCTGTTCGTTGTGGCCGTCAGTCTCCCCTTCCAAGGTAAGCCCCTTCCTTTCCTTTCCTTCCCCTCGCCCGACCGCCACCGCCCGACGATTAGATATTAAGTAAACCGAAGCAACCGGAGAACCCGTCCTCACGGCCCGGCTCTTCCCCTCAGTCGGGCCCGGCAAGTCCTCGACCGTCTTTAAGGATCCTCGGTCCTTGCGGGCTGGGGAGCCAAGAAGCGGTCGTGGCGCTGGAGCGTGTTGCGCATGGGGCCGTTAAGGCGTATATGATGGGCGAGGCGGACGCGCGGACGACGTTGGCGGCGAGCAGGACGAGGAACTGTTGGTGCCAATGAGGAACTGACCTTACCTCACCGCTTCGCAGGGCACGACCAGCCTGCGTTCTCGCTCCAGTAAGACGACTAGATGCACTTGTCCCTGTCGACTGCCTGCAAAGCATCGTCCATCACCCTCGTGTCGTTGCAGCCTTTCTCGAGAGCTGCTCCTCCTCCTCTCGCCCGCTTTCCCTCTTGCTTCGGTTCGCCCCGCTCGGTTCGTGTCCTGCGCCATCTGCTCGAGCTCTCCTAGGCTTCAGCCAGCATAGCAAGCGACTTCACCTGCCATCTCCTCCGCCCCCACCTCTTCCCCTCGTCTGCCTCGCTCACAACGCTCACTCTGCTTGTCTGGCTGCTTTGCTTGCTTGGTCCTGCTCAACAAAGCGCGCTTGACCTATGGCGGACCTGAATCTCCCGCCGCAGTCCTTCTTCGCGGCGCCTGAAGGCGAGTCCTCGCTCTCCTCATTCTCCGGTCCTCTCCCTCGCTGACCAGCTCTAATGAACTCTTGCAGGCGTTTACACCCTCGTCTCACAACAAAGCATCGTCCCAAACTCGAACACCATCGGCTCGAGCACCGCACACTTCACTCCAGCCCTCGGTATCGCCCCGCCCGTCTCTGTCGGCCTCAACGGTGCCCCTGCACAACCTGACCAGACTCAACCGGCTGCTCCTCCGCTTTATCCGTCGAGGTTGGCGGCTGTATCGGTGCGACTGCCGCTGAAGGAGGGAGGGGCGGGATTGGCGGGACTAGGGATGTCGATCGGTCGAGGGAGGGGGAGGGACCAGGATGGAGGATCGTCTGCTGGGATGACTGCGTCGTTCACGAGCGACGGAAGCGCCGAACGAGATGGAGCGAACGGAGCAGGAGGAAGCGGTGCGGGCGGTTCGAACAATCCGCCTCCCAGCAGCCCTCCCCTGAAGCGCAAACCGCTCACGAGCTCATTCTCGATGCTCGGCGGGCTTTCACTCGCAGCGAGCGACGGATCAGGCGGAGCAGTACCGACGAGTCGACCCGCAAGACCGTTCAAAGGCTCGAGTTCGTCGTTCATTCGCAGTTGGGAGGGGTTGCCGATTAGTCAGGTGCAGCTGAGGGCTATTGCGGAGGCGAACGCAGGGAGGGACACGATTTTTGGGTTCCAGACGCTTGGGAAGGCGGTTGTGTGGACGGAGATTGGGAAGGGGAAGAAGGTGCGTCCGATTTCTCGCTTTCCATCTTTCTAGTCGGACTGACGATTCATCCTGCAGGACTCGCTGAGCCGCGTCATCTTTGCCAATTTTCCGACTTGCATCGACGCGAACCAGCATACCGCCTCGCACACGCAGGTCGACGTTCTGATCGGCTTCAACTCGGGCGACATCGTCTGGATGGGTGCGCCGCGTTCTTTCATTTGCCTGGCCTCTGAAGCTGACTGCTCTCGTCTCTTGCAGACCCGCTCACGGCCCGCTACTCGCGATTCAACAAATCCGGCTGCATCACCTCTTCCGCCGTCACCTCGATCCTCTGGCTCCCTCCCGCTCCTCCCAAGTCCCCCTCCTCACCCTCAATCGACCCCTCCTCTCCCTCGACCACAATCCGCTCAAACCTCTTCGTCACCTCCCACGCCGACGGGTCCATCATCCTCTGGGACAAAGACAAAGAAGACTGGAGCGGATTCGTGCCGCAGCCTTATCCCCCGATCAGATCCGCCTCCTCGCCTGCGACGGGTCAGAAGGAGAACGAGTGGCCTCTCGCTGGTGCGGGAGCAGCGACGATGGGCGCGGGAAAGATCGCAGATGGGCAGGAGGATATGGTCGTGAGCAAGTTGCCGCCGACGGATCGGAAGGGTCAGAGTACGGCGAGGTTCAATCCGGTGTCGCATTGGCGGGTCAGCAAGAAGCCGATCAATGGTGCGTGCCGTCTCGGGGGGTTCTTCAGTCTTGCTCGTTTTCTGACTTGTGCGTACGTAGCGCTTGCCTTCTCGCCGGACCTTGCGTTGTGCGCTGCAGCAGGAGAAGACGGATGCCTGCGGATCATCGACGCGGTGGAGGAGAAGTGCGTCCCCCCAACCTTCCTCGCAAGCTGCCGGTGAAGCTGACCTTTCCACTGCGCAGGCTGCTCGACTGCTTCTCGAGCTACTTCGGCGCGCTTCTCTGCGTTGCATGGAGTCCTGATGGTCGCTTTGTGGTGGTGCGTCGCTCATACTCGCCTAGTTCGTAGCGCCGTAGCTGACTACTTCCCTCGTGCAGACCGGCGGACAAGACGACCTCGTCACGGTCTATGCCCCGCTAGAACAACACATCGTTGCTCACTGCCAAGGCCACGCTTCCTGGGTGACAAGCGTTGCGTGGGACGCATGGCGGAGCGAGGACAGGACGTTGCGGATCGCGTCGGTCGGCGAGGACTGCAAGTTGATCTTGTGGGACTTGTCGAGCGCATCGTTGACGAGGCCGAAGGCGCATGTCAGTCGTGTCCGTGAGTACCTGCGCTGAAGTTCCGAGCTGACCCTCGCTCCGCAGGCCCACCCGCACGTCCGGCGACACTCTGCCTCGTCGCAAGTCTCGCTCAACCGGCGCTCGAACAGCGAGTCCGCATGGCACCTCCCTCTCGACCGCACCGAACGATCCGCCGGTCCCGCCTTCCACCCTGCACCCCGACGAGACGACGTCTCGCTCCTTCAACCTGTCGCCGTCAAAGTCCTCTCGACCGACCTGTTCAGCGGCGTCCAGATCCTCCCCGACTACGTCTTGCTGGCGACGAGGGGCGGACAGGTCAAGCAGTACGACCGTCCGCCCATCCACGAGTCGTTGCTCGGCGGGCTGAGCAGCGAGTTTGCGGCGTCGGTTGTGCGGCTCGATGCGCGCGCGCGCGGGTGAACGGTTCACTGTTACGTCGTATGTTCCTGGCTGTGCTTTGTTGCAATACTTTTCCACAGTCGCGAGTGACCGACCTTGGGCGGCGCGGATTGACGTCGGTTGGCTTCTGCTCGTTCACTCTACTTTCGCTGGGAATGGCTCCCGTAGACAACAGGTCGCCCATCTCTGGGCAGCCAGTGCCGCCACACTACGTCCATGCGAGCGACTGCCACTTCCGCCTCACCGACGGCCGCACCATCCTCCTCCGAGGAATCAACCTCGCCGCCTCTACCAAGACGCCGCGCGGGCAGCCTGGGGCCAAGCTGGAGGGTTTCTGGGAGTCGGCCAAGTCGGGCGAGATGAGCTTTGTCGGCAGGGTGCTCGAGCTGGACGAGGCAGACGAGCATCTCGAGCGGTTGCGGAGGTGGGGGTTCAACTGCTTGCGCTTTGTGACGACCTGGGAGCAGATCGAGCACGCTGGACCGTGAGTGCTCTCCCTTCTTATGCTACTCTCGAAGCGCTGACCGACGTTCGTCCACTCAGCGGCAAGTACGACCAGGACTTCCTCGATTACGTCGTTGCGCTCCTGCGAAAGTGTAGGGAGTATGGCTTCCGCGTCTACATGGACCCCCATCAAGACCTCGTGCGTCTAAACCCCTTCTCCCTGACGCGAAGCCGCTGACCAGATCGTCGGCGTAAAGTGGTCTCGCTTCTCTGGCGGTTCAGGCGCTCCTTACTGGACCCTCCTCGCCTGCGGCCTCGAACCGCAGAACTTTACTCGCACTCGTGCTGCCGTCATCGAGTGCGAGTGGCCCGACCCCGCCTCGCCTGACCCTTCCGCCTTTCCTCCGATGATCTGGGCGACGAACTACTCGCGCCTCGCCTGCCAAACCGTCTTCACCATGTTCTTCGCCGGCCGCGACTACGCTCCAAAGTGCATCATCGACGGCGTCAACATCCAGGACTGGCTGCAGTCTCACTACTTCAACGCCTACCGCAAACTCGGCCAGGCTATCGCGCAGGCGGGCGACCTTCTCGACGAGACGGTCATCGGCTGGGACTCGATCAACGAGCCGAACGCAGGCTACCTCGGCGTCGAAGATCTTGGTCAGCACGGCAAGGACAGCGTCCTGCGAGTTGGGCCGATGCCGACTGGTTTCCAGGCGTTGCGGATGGGCATGGGCGAGAAGATGGAGGTCGAGAACTGGATGTCGGGTCCGCTGGGACCGAAGCGGGACGGATCAGTCGTCGTCGACCCGCAGGGGACGGTCGCTTGGCTGTCGCCCGAGGCTGAACCGAACGGCAAGTCGCCCTGGGGATGGCAGCGAGATCCAGGCTGGAAGCTCGGCACCTGCATCTGGGCGCAGCACGGCGTCTGGGACGTCGAGTCGAAGACGCTGCTCAAGCCCGACTACTTCAACGTCTACCGCGGCGATGGCGGAGCGTCGGGTCGCCACGTCGAATTTGGCGCCGACTACTGGCTGCCGCATTGGCGAGCGTGGGCGCCGGTCGTCCGCAGCTTCCACCCCGAGGCGATTCACTTCATCCACAGCCCCGTCTTCCAGGTCCCGCCCAAAATCGACGGACCCGAGATCCAGAACCGCGCCGCACACTCGAGCCACTTCTACGACGGCTTGACGCTCGTCACGAAGCATTGGGTCCGCCGCCTGCGCTGCTTCTCTTCTCATCGTGACTGATCAGATGCCGTTCCCACAGAACTGGTTCAACGCCGACGCAATCGGCATCTTGCGAGGGTGAGCCTTCATCTCGCCGCGCAGCTCGCTCTCCAAAGCTGACGCTGCTTCTCCGTCGAACAGGAAGTACCCGTCGGTCGTCTTCGGTGTCAAGGTCGGCGAGGCTGCGATCCGAAGATGCCTGCGCTCGCAGCTCGGCGTCCTCCGGCAGGACTGCTTCGACGCGCTCGGCAAGTTTCCGACGATGATGGGCGAGATCGGCATTCCCTACGACCTCGACAAGAAGAAGGCGTACAAGGACGGCAACTACGCCACGCAGGTTCGCGCGCTCGACGCCAGCCTCAACGCCTGCGATGGCAAGAACATGCTCAACTATACCGTCTGGAACTACTGTCCCGATAACTCACACGAGTGGGGCGACAAGTGGAACGGCGAGGACTTGAGCGTGTGGAGTCCGGACGACGCCGTACAAATGGTCAATGCGCGCACCGCCGTCGGTCGACGAGCGCGAGCACTCGGCAACGTCAACCCCGGCGAGGGCGGCATCAAGGCGAAGCGTGACTCTTCCAGGTCTTCGTCAGGCTCGTCGGGCACGGTGACGCCGCTGGACGACCCGCTGCACCCGATCAACCTCAACGACGGGTCTCGCGCCCTTCCCGCTTTCGTCCGCCCTTACCCGGTCAAGACCGTCGGCACTCCCGTCTCGCTCGATTTTGACATCCGCTCGTCGAAGCTCACGCTCGAGATCCGCGTCGACGCGAACGACGTTGCCGACCCGGACCTTCCTACCGAAATCTACATCCCGCTCGCCCACTACGCCGCGCACCCCCAAAAGGTCAGCTACCACGTCAAGGCCGCTTCACAGGCGCATCACCCCGGCGGTGCCGTCCGTCATGCCGCAGCTGGCAACGTCTCCCCTAACGACCTCGGCAAGTCGAGCGACGAAGCGACCGACCTCGCTGTCAAAGTCAAGGTCTCCGCTGGGCGGTACGAGGTTGACCGCGACGCTCAGGTTCTCAAGTGGTACTACCCGCGCCCCGCTTCGGGCTCGATGACCGTCAAGCTCGAGCTTCAGCGAGACGGAGGTCCCATCCCGCTGTGGGTAACGCAGTGGTACCGCAGCGGGTCGGAGCGCGCTGGGCTGCAAGAATGGAACGGCAACACCTGTTCGCTCGTCGGCGTCACCCTCCTCGGCGCCGTTGGAGTCGCCTACACGGCCGTCTCGTTCTGCAGGAGTTGGTGATCCCGCTCGCATAGACAATCTGTTCGTTCTCCGTTGTAGAAATGTGTCAATAAGTCTGTTGCATCTCGTAACAGTGCGAAACTGGCTTGTCCGTCGGGTTGCTCGCCAGCGAGGGTGAGGGTTGCCCTCCTCGCTCACGCTTGCCTCGGCTCACCACGCTCAACCCTTGCGCAGTATTGCTCAGTCTGCTGCTGTGCACTCATTAGGACGCCATGACGACTCGCAACCCGCCAACCGCCGACGCCGTCGAGAAGAACCCATCCCCACCCGGCCAAACTGATGAGGATGTACAGCGGGACAGACAGGGTGAGCGAGCGTGCGAGCTTCGTGGGGCGCTCTTAAGCTGACTAATCTACCTACAGCCTCGAACGGCAGCTGCCCGAGGGACGTTGTCGGCCATTCTTCCCTCTCTCGCCTCGTGGGTACACCTTCGCTCCCGCCTGATCGCGCTCGGCTCAAGCGGCGTCTTTATCTGCAGGAACGCTTGCCCACCGAGCTCCTGTCCCACATCCTCTCTTACGACTACCTCACTTGGAAAGACCTCGACGCCTGCTCGCAAACTTGCGATCGACTTCGCGCTATCACCCGACCAGAGCGAGGGCTGGTGTGCGTGGTACGATTATTTGAGCACAACAACGGAGAGAGCAACTGGGTCGTCGAGGAACCCAATTCGCGGCGAATGTATTACCGATCACTGCAGAACCAGCATTTCTGTGCTGAGGTGCACCGGGTCGAGATCTACAGTCGTCAACTATACACCGACGGAGACCAAAATTACATCGACGAGTTGGAACCCGAGTTCTGGACGTTTGGCGGGGTCGACTGGCGCGACCAACTCAACTCGTCGAACCTGGACCAGCTTGCCACGCAGCGGGTCGAGGAGCTGGTCGCAAACTATGGGTTCGATCCCGGCGACGACAGCATCCCCACGATCCTGCGTGCGTACCCGAACACTCGGAGCGTCCTCCTAGCCGACGTCGAGCACTTCACTAGGCCAGATGAGCTGCTCGAAGCAGTGCCGGACTTGCGGGAACTTGAGTTGGTGGAGGATGAATACGAAGTTTCAGACGAGGAGATATGGATTGAGACACTGGCGGAGGCCGGTGTACGGTACATAGCTTAGTTGTCGTGCAGCCTTGGTGCAGCCAACAATACACTCTCGACCAATCTGGCGTCCGAGACTTGCTGCAAGGCGTGCTCGATTGCGTGATGATGAATGGGCTACAAGAACAGAGAGGAAGAGAAACGGCGAAGGGTAAGCACAGGCGGGAGGAATCATGCGAGTGTAGGCAAGTTTGGACGAGTAGAGACAATGCGATGTAGGATGCGAGTGAAAGCGAGCTATCGACGTGAGAGAGAGATAAGCGGGCGAGAGGGCGCTAGCCTGTTGAGCGGAAGAAGCGTCAGTATCGTCGCCGAGGAGAAGCCGGCGGAACGCTGGACTCGCCATTGCCAGGCTTGTTTGCGTCGAACGGACCGCCGGGCGCTTCTTGCTGGGCAGCGAACGTACCGAAGCTGCCCATCGGGTAGAACGGCGGAGGCGGCGAGGCGAGAGGCGAGAAAGCCGGGTTGAAGTCGCTCGACGCGACGCGCAGCGCCTGGAACGGATCGGGACTGCTGATTGACGGGTATGCGCTGCCGGGCGGAAGACCGGGCGAGAAAGGCAGGCCAGGGTGCGCCATCATCGGCGAGACGGCGGGGGACGAGGCGGAGGGCGCATGGCTGCTCGGCGGCGAAGTGTGGCCGAAGGGCGGCGAGAAGGGGCTGCCGAACTGCGAGGAAGGTGCGGGCCCGCCGTAGAAAGGCGGCGGAGGGTATAGCGGGTAAGGCGCGGCGCCAGAGTAGGCGGAAGGGTATGGGGATGCGGTGCCGTAACCTGGCGCCTGCGGGTAGGGGACCTGAGGAGTGACGAACTGCTGGTGGCCGGACGGGACGCGGCGAGAGGGAGCGTGCGAGTGAGGCGGACCGCCGAAGCCGTGCGTAGGCGAGCGAGCGGGACCGCGGCCGCCGTGGTGAGGTAGCGGACCTGGCGTGTAAGGCGGCGTATTGCCGGCGGGAGGTCCCAAGTAGGTTCCGCCGACCTCCTCGATCAGCTTGCGGTAGGCAGGGACGGCTTCGACCTTGAGCGAGGCGATCGCCTCCTTGATGCGGTCGAAGAGGTACTGGCGGCGCTCGACGGTGAGGTGCGTCGAGCTCGTGACCTTCTGGATGCAAGCCGTGCCGTGCATCTGGTCGCCGAGGATGTCCTCGAGCACTTTGGCGTTGGGATCGAGAAGGGCGTCCACCATGATGCGCTGCGCCTCGTCGTCCTCGTGCTGGTTGATGACGCGCATGATCGACTGCGACGCCAGCTTGTGCGTACAGAGATGCGAGAGGTGCGGGGCGAAACGAGGAGCGAGAAGCGAGTACCGGTTGGGAAGGTCGGAGGATTCGAGGAACCAGGTGATGAGGAGGGCGCCGTTCGAGCTGGTCGCGAGCGGGATGGCGTTGAGGACGATGCTGGCGGCGACCCGTTTGACGTGCAGGCGAGGCGACTCAGGATTCTCGAGCGTTTGGCGAGTGCTGCGAGCGCCGAAACGTCCAGAGCCAATCTCCCAGATCCGGTCGACCATGGCGTCGAAGACGAAGTCGGCGTAGGGCGAGCCGAACCGCAAGGCTCCTTGCACGACGTAGTTGCCGACTGCGCGAATCGACGTCAGCTACGATAGCTTTCGCAAGCTCGGTGCGGCACTCACAATCGTTGAGGAGGAGCGGCGGCGTGTACGGCGTCAAGCTCTGCTGGATCAGCGCATACTCGTCCTCGTCCTGCGCGCACTGGATGACCTTCTGCACAGCCCAGGTACCGTTCTTGTGCGTTCTGTGCGGGGTGGTGGGTAAGCTGCTGAAGCGGACGCGAAGGAAGAACGGGGACGCACCCAATTGGAGCGAGGTGAGGCGCGATGCGCTCGAGCATAGCCTTGCGGACAGGCGTCGACGTCTGCTCGAAGAGCTGTGGCGATGAGAGTGAGTCAGCGGGCAAGTCCTAGTGACGGGATGGATGGAGACGCGCACCTTCTGGACGAGCGTGTTGCCAAGGTAGTCGGACGCGAGCGGGACGATCTCATCCATCAGGTCATGAGCAATCTGTACGAAGCCGTGTCAGTAACCACTCGAGTTGAGTGAATAACGCTACGCACCTCGTCGACCTCGTCCATCGGCAACTCAGACTCGAGCCTCTTGCGTATCTCACGAAGGCGCGGCGCATCGTTGTTAGAGTAGCGGCGGGCAAAGCGAGGGTCGTTGAGCACGGCGAGTGGGATCGAGGTATAGTACATGATGGGCGGTCGCTCCTCTGCGAACGGCAACATTAGCGGAGTGTGCGGCGGAGGCGAGAGGCAAGCTCGACTCACCGCCGACAGCAGCGACGTGCTCCTCGAGATCCGGGTCGCCCTGGCTGAGCTCGCGCATAAGAAGCTGCATCTCGTTGATTGAACCCTTGTGCGTCTCGACGGGCTGACCATGCGGCGGAGACGGCTGCTGGAAGGCGTGCGCCGTGGCGTAGTGGCTGTTCCCGACGAGCCCGAGCACCATGTTGCTGCGATAGTCCTGCATCTGGCCGTCGGCGAGTTGGCGCTCGACAGGGATGTTCGACACGCCGCTGATCTGCGAGAGGGCGTTGTAGACGTGCGGGTACGAGCCGATGCCGTTCGCAGCCGCTGTAGCAGGCGTGCCGTCGCCGTTGACCTGGTTCGCGAAAGGCGCATTCGAGACCTTTGTCGGGACCTTGGCGAAGCCGATGCGAACAGGGCCGACTTCGGCGCCGAGGATCTCGCGGTTGTTGAGCGACTTGCGTGCGGCGACGGCGTCGTCGAGCCGCTCGAAGTTGACGAACTGCAGGGCGAGAGTATCGTCAGCCTCAAGCTAATCGGGAAACGAGAAGGCCGACGCACCCCGCAAGATTTGTGCGTGAGGACCCTCGCGCTCTCGATGGGACCGAACGACGAGAAGACGGCGAGCAGGTGGTTGGGTGTGGTCGTCGGCGGGATCGAACCGATCCAGAGCGCCCTCGTCGGCTGAGTCTGCAGGTTCATCTCGGCGGCAGAGACGGGGGCGGGACCGGCAGTCGAGCGAGGGTGGACGAGGCCGGGCGCGGTCGGAGCGGGAGTCGACTCGGCTGCGGAAGCGAACGTCAGTGAACCGCATCGTGAGTCGGGAGGTGAGCGCACCTTTGCCGTAGCCGATGCGAACGAGGCCGCTCGTCTTGGTGAGCTGGCCGCCGAGGCGGTTCAAAACGTCCTCCTTGGCGCGCATCGCGTCCGCAACCGAGACGAAGTTGACGAAGCCGCATTCCTGTGCGGGGACGACGTCCTCAGCAAGCCCTCCTACGAACGGAAAGAGGCCTGCAAGTTGCGAAGGTCGCGACGCACCTTTTCCGGGATCAACCGCAAGCTCTCGATGGCTCCGTACGGCGCAAAGACGTCCTGGAGCTCGGCGGGCGTCGTCTTAGGGTCGAGGTTGCCGACCCAGAGACTGCGCGTCGGTTGCTGCACGGGCGGCGAGAGCGAGACGGCTCCTTCGGACGTGCCCCAGCCTGAGCCCCCCTGCGACTGTGCGAGCGCGACGTCAGCATGGCGCCGAACGAGAGAGAGAAGGCGTGCGCACCGGGTCCTCGCTGATGCTGAGCCTGCCCATCCTCGAAGCCATCGCTGCAACCGGACCTTCTCCAGGACTCGTTGCGCCAATTCCGAGGTGTCGAGGAGGGATCCCAGCGGTCGTGCCAGCCCTGCGACGTGGGATCATCTCGCCCTTCGAGTCGTCGATGATGCCAATCGTTGCTGACCGTCCGCGATTTGGGTGGTCCGCGGCGGCAGAGGAGGAGGAGGGAGGCTGAGGCGGGAGGAGGCTGACGAGCGGCGGCGCGGGTGCAGGTACGCTCGCTTCGGCTTGTGCAGGCGGTGTGGTAGCGTCGGATAAACTGGCAGCTGTCGCGTACAGGAGGCGCGTATGGTCGGACGAGCTGCTTGGACGGTGGAGAGGGTGTGAGGGCAGGTGGTACGGCTGGGGCGGCGACGAGTTGAACGGGTCGTCGCGCGCGGCTGCCGGACTGTGTCCTGCAGCTGAGCTAGGGTACGAGGCGGACGGGTGCGGCGAGTGGAAGAGGGAGAGAGCGTCCGCATTGAAACGGGGCGGGAAGGCAGAGGCGACCGTGTGGCTTCGGAGGCGCTGGTGTGCAGCAAAGTCGCCCAGCGCGCTCGGAGCAGGCTGGATGCTGCCTGTAGATCCCAATCGCTGCATCGGAGGCGCCAGCGACCCCGACAGCGAGTTCGACCGGGCATTGACACCCGTCGCATGAAGAGGTGCACTCGTCAAGAGGCTTTCGTTCGTGCCGCCACCGCTCGAAGAGGTCTCTTCCGCCAGTCCGAGGTAGTCCAGTGTCCGCACATGCGAGTCGTCTCCGTATGAGCTCTCGTCCGGGCTTCGAGGATCGCTCGCGAGGGTCGAAAGCCGAGTTGTCGGGTCGCTTCCGCTGCGATCTGTCCGCGTCGTCCAGTCTGCGCTCGAGAAAACGCCTGGACCGAATGCACTCGACAGACTCGACGGTGGGAGGGTCAACGAGCCGGATCGCAGTCGATGTTGGGTTGCGGCAGCGGAAGAAGGTGGGAGGAGGGCCGAAGCGAAAGGCTGTTCGAGCGGGGTGGTCGGGCCTGAACCTGGTAGAGACGCTGTACCGTTGTGGAAGGCTGAAGGAGCCAGGAGGGCGTCGGGCGCGGCAAGAGCTGATCGCAGGCCTGCCGCGGATGAACGCAGGTGGAAAGTCGAAGGAAGGGTGCCGGCTCGAGGTCGTGCGGCTAGCGCGGACGTCGCACTTGCTGCGCTAATGCCGTTCGCATCGATAGGCGGGAAGAGAGAGGTCGAAGGGGAAGAGTCGGGACCGAGGAGGGAGACCTGGGGGGTTGTCGAGGAGGACGGTGTGAGGACCGATGAGCGTGGTGGGCCCAGTAGCGAGTCCTCGGCCTTGAGCTCGTTTGCTCGACTGCATAGGGCGAAAGAACGAGCAGTAAACAGTCAGTTCAGGGTGCTTGACTGTTCCCTCGAGAGTAGCTGCGACCGCTTCAGACGCTCTCGCCAAGTCCCGTGCGCCCTTCGCTCCCTTCGCTCATACATCCCCTTCATCCAAAGAGTCCTCCCGTAGTCGTCTACTCCCCGCAAAGCCTCTCGCTCTGTGAGCGAAGAACCCAATCGACGCACCCTTTCAACGACAACGTCGGGCTACTCGCGGCAGACCCGTTCTCGCCCACACTAGCCATATCCTGTCTCTCCACGAGCGGCTGTCTCAGCGTGTCGAGCAGCGTGTCGGGCGGGTTGAGGAGGGAGAAGGGGTACTGCGGGAGATGGGGGACGACGTCGATGGTGGATTGGAGGGGAGCGAACAAGGCTGGGGATTCGCGAGAGAGTGATAGGGTATCTAGGCGGTATAACCGGTCGTTTGCGGGCTGCTCGAGTCGCTCGTCGCTGTCGTGGGCGTGTCGTCGTCGAACGGGGAAGCCGAAGGAGGAGTAAACGAAAGGACGGCGGTCGCTGCTGTTGCTGGCGATTACTGTATCTGATAGTGCTCTTCAAAGCGAGCGTAGAGCGGGCAACAAGCAGCGCAGGCGAGATGAGCGACGACAAGGTCCGTGGGAGAAGTGCCGAAGGGACCCCTTTGTGCGAATAACTCCTCATCATCTCCTACCGCCTCCTTTGACTTGCAACAGTGTCCAGAGAGCTCATACAGACGCTGGCGAGCGCGAGCAACCGTCCGGAAGCGTCTCAAGTTGAGGACGGGGATTTTTCGCACGAAGGCACGCGCAGCAAGGACAGCGTCGAGGGAAGGAGCGGAGGAGTTGATGACCGTTTCCTAAGGCTGACATCATGGCAGTGGGAGCGCTGAGCGAGCTGAGCCGAGGGATGGTGCGCGACGGTCGTGAAGGTTGTCGAGAGTTGCGAAATGCGAGTTGTTGCGAGTTGCCCATTCATCCCTCCAAATCTATGCCGCCCCAGCACCTCCACAGCATCCGACCGGCACCGCTTCCGCCTCGTCCTCGCGCCGTCTTCGCCGCCGCCGCACGCCCTGGTTTCCAGAGGGAATGTCGAGCGGTTTGGGCTGCTTGACTGTGTCGTTGTCGCCTCGTTCTGTTTCGTCGTGGATGCGGAGGGCTGCAGTGTGAGTCGAGGTATCCGGAGAGTGGGCGGAGTGGCGACGAAATAAGGCGTTAGAGCGACCGAGGAAAGGGATTGAGGCGGAAAGACAATCAAATCGGGTCAGCTGGTTCTTCCCTGTCACGTAAGTCGATAACACCGCAGATAAGATGCTCCGACGCACCGTAGTTGCCCTCGTCTGTCCGCACGCCCTGCACGACGTTCGTCCTCAAGAACTTGGCAATCTCGAACGCGCCATCAATGTGCTCGTCGACCTTTTCCGGCGTCAACTCGTCCTTTGGCGCAAGCTGTGGAGGCGGTACGAGCGGGTTCTGCGCAGCGAAGGGCGAGCGGGAGGCGGAGGAAGAGGGGATGAAGCGGTTGAAGAGGATGCGGGTCTGCTGGTGAGCGGCTGCGGGCACACGGCGAGTCAGCGCGACTGCCAAGAATCCCGGGGTTCTCCACGCACCCTTCAAGGCCAGCTCGTCGCCCTTGAACGTGAGCCGTTGTGACCGGAGAAGCGCCTGTCCTCGGAAAGCGATGAAGTCGGTCAGCCCGCGCCCTCGCTCGTGTGAGACCAGCTGGACTGACTCGGTAGGCAGATGCAGCCCTTGCGCACTGCGCGGGCGTCAGAGTGAGCGACATGGCGAGAGGTGGCGGTCGTCGTCGAGCGAGACCAAGGGTTGCCCCTCTGCCGCTCACGAGCTGGTCAGCAGAACTCTCGCTGGCTCGCTTCGCTGCGTTCAGTGCGCTACTAGACGTCTGATCAGAGTGCGTGAATCGCTCTCCAGCTCACCCGCGCGGTTGCCGTGTTCCTCTCGCTCCTGCCTTGCTCTGCTCGCGACTTCCAACTGAGGGTGGGTCTCGCTCGAAGTTTTTGGCTTGGCTTGTCTTCTTGCTCTTCTTCCCTGCACACGACTAGCACTGCGAAGCTCGTGTCGATCTGTCGCGCGACAACACCCCTCTTCGCGCCTGTCCTCCTTCGAGCGTTCATTCGCAACTCCTCTCAGATCCGACGACGATGCTCCATGCCTTCCCACCCCCCCTCGTCTCCTTCCCACTCTCGAAGCCATCGCCAAACGAGGTCGCCGCCTTTGCACGCCACGAACTACTTCGCCCCTTCCTCCCTTCGACCGTCCTTCTCGCCGCTCTTTGGGACAGAAGGGACGACGATTCAGCGCCAAATCCGCCTTCTACACTCTACCTCCCTATCGGTCACTCGATGAAGAGGAAACGCAGCCTTAACGATGGCTCGAATCCCTGGACGATCTCTGGGACCCTCGCCAAACGCCCTCGAACCGTCTTGTCTCCCCCAGCTTCGGCTCCGCCACAATCGCCGGACCTCTCACCGTCACCGTCCCCGCGCCTGTCGCCAACAAGCTTCGAGTTGCCCGCACCTTCCGTCCCTCTTCCGTCCGACAGCCTCACCAACACAAACACACAGCAAGACCCCTTCACCTGGCCGCCGGTATCGGAGATTGGACTCGAGCCCGAAGACGAGGCAGTGATGCCGGAGCAAGAGGAGGGCGAAGTTGTTGTGGAGGAGGCAGAAGACAAGGGACTGGACGAAGTGCGGGTCTTGCGAGGCGCGTTGTGCTGAAGCGTCAAAGCAGTCGGTTTGTGCTGTACATAGCTGTGTATCCCATTGAAGTCCACTCTTTTCGGAGTGTGGTTCGAATGAGAGCGACGGGACTCGCAAGCGAGAACGGAGCCTTGCACAACGACACACAAGTCTATACACAAGCATACACATCGCTTCCTTCGTCCCCTCCTCACCGCAACGGTTGGCCCGCGTAGTCCTGGCGCATCCTGATGCGCGACTCGGGCGGGAGGTACTGCTCGAGGCGGCCGAACCAGTGGAAGTAGGTTTGGCCTGAGATCGCGCCTTGCCTGTGAACCTCGGCGTATTCCATCAGCGAGACAGCACGCACAACATGTGAATGCGCTTGCAGCGAGACGGCCCACGCACCTCCTCAGCGCATTCAGCGTCCTTTCCACCTCCCTCCCCAGCAACACCCGCGCATCCTTATTCTTCTTTGCCGCCTCCTCAAACGTGATCGCCCTCCACTGCAGCTGGTACCAGCACGACCGATCCCAGACTTGCTGGACTTCTTTTCGCAGGAGGGCGGAGAGAGGCGCGGCGTTTTCGGCGCGCCAGGCGGACGCGAGGCGCCGTTGTGCCGAGGCGGCGTCGGCGTGTTGCTTTGCGAGGTCGTCTGCAATCTTGTGCTTGGTGAGCGCAAGCACGAGATAGAGCTCCTAAGGGAGATACGCACCTTTGAGGGAGAGTTTGGCGGCGACGAAGTACTTGCCGACGTAAGCCGAGGTGTTGACGCCCTTCTCGAGGAGCGGCAGGGCGTCCTTGAGGTACCCTCGTTGCACTTCTTCCGCCGCGCGCTTGTCCTGTAGAGGTGCTCGGAGGTAGCCGTTCGCGACCTTGGCGGCTTCCTGTCCGCCTGGAGAAGGTGAGCACGCGAGAGCAGAAGCGGGAGACAGCAGTCGGACTCACGACAAAGTAGTGGTAGGTCCCCTCCATCATGCGCAAGACCGCCAGCACCGGCTCATACACCGCCTCGATCCACAGCCCGTTCGCTCCCCTCGCATCGTACAAGTCCCTCGGTCCAGGAAACCTCTCCTTCAGTAACCGCTCCGCTTCCCAAATCGACTGTTGCATCCTATACGCGAGCCCTTGCTCCCAGAACGCCATGGGAGAACGGATCTTGTTTCGGTACCGGCAGATGTTGCTCGAAGGAAGGGTCTCGCCTTCCTTTAGATTGAGGACGGGCGGCGGACGAGAGGGGTCGAAGAAGACGGAGAAGGTCATTGGAGGAATGGAGGCGGGGCGTGAAGGAGGCGGAGTCGGGAGAGTCGACGAACGCGAGCGAGAGAGCGGCGCTGGACTGGGCGTGCGAGGCTGCGAACGTTCGGCCGGCGGCAGGTTGAACGAGACATGCGGGCGCTCGGTGCGGGTTGACGAGGCCGAGCGAGAGAGGTAGGAAGGTCCTGCTGGAGAAGGAAGAGGCGGTCGAGCGGGCGGATAAGTGACGGCGCGCGCGGGCGAAGGGGCTCTAGGCGGAAGTTTGCTGGCGGTGAGGGATGACGGGCGAACGAGACTCGGCGGTCGTTCGCGAGACGAAGCTGAGAGCGAACGGGAGAGAGGGCGAGGCGGCGTGGGGGATGTGCGAGAGCTGGCGGGCGATGGTGGGCGAGCTGGTGGGCCGGGAGTCGGTTTTGAGGGCGTGCTGGGAGACCCTGGCCGTATTGGTATCGGTCGAATCTGGGCGAGGGAGGAAGGAGATGAGCGAGATTGAGGGAACAAGGCGAAAGGAGAGCTGCTCACGATGGGAGGATCAGGGCGGGTGATGGAGACTGAGCGGCGGCGTTCCATGGGCTTGGCGGGTAACCAGGAGTCTCTAGCACAGCGGTATGGCTCAGCAGGGCTGGCAGCGATAACGGAGCGGTGCAGAGAGAGGAAGCGGGGGCCCAAGGAGGAAGAGGAGGTCGAGGGGGCACGTGCAACGCCCGCCGCGGATCCACCGAAAGCTCGCCCGGTTGCGCGACCCCTTATGAGCCCGTTCCCTGTTCGTAAGCGCTTCTCCAAGCGTGTGTTGAGGCGAGAAAGCCATTCCGAGCGCTTCGAGCTGATGAAGTTGGCGAGTGACGGGGACGCCTCCTGCGGGCGCGGGAGTCGTCGTGCATGCTTCGTGACGGTCGTGAAGCCCAGTAATGGCAGAACGAAGTAGCCCGGAGCGGTGTGGGCGGGATGAGCGCGAGATGTCCTCGCCAGAAAGTCCAAGTTGCTCCTCGACCACGACTTGCTCGCCTCGTCGGCATGAACCGCTCGCTGAGGACGTGGCTGAGATGCTTCACACCGCTCGAGTCCCGTACAGCACCACCGGTCTTCCCCGCACTCTCCCGCGCCCCCGTCCGCCTCTTCCACACTGCCGCACCTGATCCTCCCCTCGAACTGCTGCCCACTCCCCCGCCAGCGTCCATTGCGCCCAGCAAAAGACGGAGGACACAGCCAGTCGTCCGCCTCCCCTTCCCGCCTACCCCGCGAGTCGACAGATGGTCCGCCACCAAGGCCATCGCGACAGTGCTGCAGGAAGCGCTCGCAACGGGGAGGGAACAGATTGCGCTGGAGCAATTCCAGGCGTTGATCAGGCGCGAAGGGACGGAGAGGCTGTCGGCGGAAGAAGTGGAGGGCTTCGTCTGGCTCTTCGTGCAGTACCGCCAGCCTGAGCTCGCGAGGACGGCGACGGCTGCGATGGAGGCGGCAGGCTATCCTGTCTCAACGAGGCTTGCGGGCAAGCTCCTGCGCAATTTCAAGAACAGGGTCATCGTCGACCTTGATGCCCTCGCAGCAATGCTGAGTTGGCTGTCGCATGCGATGGTGCGGGAGAAGGGCGAGGGAGGTCTGGTGGACGTCGAACTCGTCGACACCGTCCTGGACATGCTCAAGCGACTGGGCAAGACGGACTGGCTCCTGGAGGTCTTTCGGGCGTACCGCGATTGCCTCGACCCGGACGACATCGGTTCGCCTCGACTTTGGCAACTCGCCATCTCCGCCCACACGGCTGACGGCGATGAAGCAGCTGCTCGCGCCCTCTTCGACAGGTGGCGACGCCTCGATCAGCAGCGACGGCAGCGGCTCGCGACAGCCGAGACCCCGTCCGACGAGATCAAGGCCGAATTGCACTCTCCACCTCCCGAACAGCCCTACCTCGCCATGCTCGACTTCTATGCCGCGCATGGCCGAGGTCAGTCGTCGACGAGCGACCCGGCGTACCGCTTCGTCTCCCTGTGCACCAAGGACGGTCTTGCGCCGTCCACCAAGTTCCTCCACTCGCTCCTCCGCCTCGAGATGATGCGGCACCGATGGACGTCGTTCTGGGGCATCTGGAAGGCGTTCGACGAGCTGGGCGTCCAGCGGAACCACCTCACGTATTCGCTCGGCGCGAGGGCGAGTCTCTGGCGCCTCACGACGAAGCGGCGTCCGGAACCACAGTCTCGTTACAGCCCGCTGCACGACGTTGTTTCGTTCGGGTATACGCAAGTTGTCCCGCCGGACATGCGCCAGTTCCTCCGCACCGTCCTCTCCCTCCGCCTCGATGCGACCGGACACCGACCGCATCGCCGCCTTTCGACGAAGGAAAACGAGATCGTCACTGTCGACCTGCTCAACAAGCTCCTCGACTATTTCGTCAAGGACAACGACTGGCCGGCCGCAGCTATCGTCCTCGAGACGTTCAAGGTCCACCGGTTCGAGCCGAACCCTCACACGCATGCCGTCGTTGTCTGCGGCATCGTCAAGCAGTGGCAGCGCCGCCGACTCGACCACAAGCTCGACGGCTTGCTCGGCTCCGTCTCGGCTTTCGACGGTCCAGAGGCGGCGAACAGCAGGCGGTCTTGGCTCATCAGTCCGGCGACGACCGTTGACGCGGTTGCCAAGATTCTCGAGCTGCGCAAGATGCGTGTCTCGCTCTGGACGAAGCGCGATCCGTCGGAGTATGTCGAGGAGGACGACTCGGCGACGATCACGGTCGAGTACGTCCCGACCACGCCGACGCAGTCGCAGGCTGAGATCGAGGCGGAAGAGCGGAAGGACGAGCGTCGGAGGAAGAAGACGCAGTGGATGATTAGTCGCGAGTTGCGCGAGACGGGCTATCTCATGGAGCTGCTCAGGCGGTGCGAGGGGTCGAGCGAGGAGGACTGGAGGGCGTTGTTGGCTGAGACGAGGAAGGAGGTTCTTCCCACGCCAATCAAGCCGTCCAGCGCAGCTTTGCCGTCCGGTGGCGAGCCCGACAACGCCCACCCGACCTGGAGCAAGGGGAAGCGGTACTGGACGGCGGTCCGACTTGCGAAGCGGAGGACGGAAGCGAAGGAGCGGGCGCAGGAAGCGACGCCGACGGTCTCGACGCAGGAGCGGATCAGGCTGGAGCGTGAGAAGAGGCAGGCGCGGTGGCTCGCGAGGCAGGCTCGTCGTGCGAAGGAGCGAAGCATGGAGGACCAGGTGGAAGAACGACCTGTAGCATAGCTCTCGACCTGCCTCGCACTCATAGCCGCAATGGTAGTCTCGTCACTCAATTCGCCTTGCGTCGTTAAGCGGCACTTGCAGCGGAGTGTACACGAGATATGAATTCTACGACAGGGATTCTCAGGAATCTAGGACGGCACTGCAAAGACATGATACGGATGGAGAGGTCTATGTACAGTGAGCATGTCTGTCGGACAGACAGGATCGTCAGTAGGTGAAGCGAGAGGAAGAGGAGCGAGAACGTACTCGTCTCTCACGCCCTCGACGGCTTCATCGCCTTGGCAAGCTTCATCAACGACCACTCGCCCTCATCCTCGCACCCCTTCGCAGCGCACTTGGCAAAGTGCGTATAGATGCGCGCAGGGCGCCGCTTCTCGCCCTCCGTCTCGCCATCGTACCTCGCTGTCCATCCTCCGCTTCCGGGATAGCCAGCGTGCGAGTTGCGGCACTCTTGAACGCGCCACCAGTCGACGCTGCCGATTGGGTGCGAGGGCGAGACGACGATGTCGCCCGGGAGGAAGTGGAGGAAAGTGTAAGTTGGCTGCGAGGAAGGGTTCTTGACGGGCGAGGCCGGGAAGATGTTCGGTCCCGCAGGGGTGAAGGCGAGCGTCCAAGCTGCGCGGCAGGCGCTGTAGAAGGTGTAGACAGAGCAGAGCTCGCAGTCTTGGCGGAAGGAGGCGGAGGTGTAGGGCTCGCTGAAGAGGACGGCGCGTGCGATAGGCGAGGTCGGGAGCATCGCGGCCTGGTCGAGGTAAAGACGTGTGACGGGAGACTCGTCCCCTTTCGCAAGCGGGAGAGTGAGGACGGCGAAGATGTGCTCGGCGTTCTTGACGACGAGGAGGGAGTCGTCGGCCTTGAGAGTCCTCGTCGTTCTACCGCGCTTCGTTGAGCCCATGCGCTGGCCAAATGGCTTGAGCTGAGGCGAGGCCTGGAGAAGAAGCTTGAGGTCAGCGAAGAAGCTCGGGAGACAAGACCGCCTTCTCACGCACCAGAAGGCTCGAAGCGACGCTAGGCGACCTGTAACGGGACGAGCCGATAGGGTCGAACCTCAGCGTCGGGATGTCTTGCTGAGCCGGCGCCGGACTCTTGGCCTTGCCGAAGCTGGCGTCGACGGACGCGGCGAGAGGCGAGTTGAGGAGACCCGAAAACGGCTCGTCGAGGCTGAAGGAGGTCGACGTCGAGAAGGAGCGGTTTGAATCGGTCTGCGGAGTGCCCCAGGCGCCGAGGTTGGTGAAGTCCTCGAAAAGCGGCGAGTAGCCTATCGAAGCTGGTGAGGACGACCAGAGGGAGGCGGGCGGAACAGAGCCCGCGGGGTGTGAGACGCTCGTCGCAAGCGACAGCGTCGACGAGTTGACGGTGTGGAAGGGCTCGGCCGCGGATCCCTCGACGTTGCCCCAAAGCAGCGACGGAGGAAGGGAAGCGAGGGGGATGTCCTCGAGGGTCGAGATCGAAGCAGCCTCAGTCTCGAGAGGAGTAGGGCCGAAGGGAGGGCTCAAGTCGACGTTCGGCAAGCCTTCGTCGAGGTTGCCGCAGATCAAATCGGGAGACATGGTGAAGTCGAGAGGTGCGGAAGGTGTCGAGGCCGCCATCTCGGCCTGCAAGCGCGGAAGCAGAGTCGGGTCGGCTTGCATGGCTGTAAAAGGACAAGTTAGACCTCGTCTATCCGGGCTAGTCAGGGAAAGTGCGCACCCTGAGCGACCTGGTCGACGAATTCAAAGTACTCGCCGCGCAAGGCGGTCTGGCGCTGGTTCAACTGAATGTTCTCCTCGTTGAGCCTATGGAGGCGTTCGAGGAGTTCTGTATGCACGTTCGAATGTCCATCAGCACGTTCATCCCGCAGAGAGGAGGGAAGGAAGCGAACGAGCCGGGGTTATTGCGTTCGCATTGTTGCTCGTAAGGGCCGTAGACATGCGCAGGTGGACGTGGACACTGTGAAGAGCAGCAGGGAGGAAGAAGAGAGAGAAAGAGCGACTCCCGCCGAGGGCGAGTGACGGTCGTCGGGAGCAGCGGGTCGAACAAGAGCGGAACGATTTGACGAGCGTATCGCCAAGAAGCGGCGATAAACTCGGGCACTGCACCGCCGCACGGCAAGCCAGCTGACATCGCCCGAACTTGCTAAGTTGAGGAACGGCGAGCGAGCGGCAGGAAGCGGAGTCGCTCAGATTGGTGCAGCGTGAGATGCCGGCTTGTCGCGGTGTGTCGGGCGAAATACTCGCACAGCCAGAATCGGGCGGGAAAGAAGCGTTCGGCAGAAGCGCTCGAAGTGCTGGGAGGGCAACAGGCAACTCACGAGACTCGCAGGTCGTCCGCCGACGGATCCTCGTGAAAGAGAGGCAGTACAGCGCAAGTACAAAGCGGGAAGGACTCTACTAATGACGCAATGGACAGGGTATGCAAAGCGGGCAAATGCGGGAATGGGTGAAGCCAGGAGGAGAGAGGCGCCTGCTCCTCAGGCGCTGCTACTGATGCCGTACTGGGCCTGCAGTGAGGAGAAGTCAGTGATTGACTGTAGCGGCGGAAAGAAGGCGCAGGACGCACGAGGAGAGCGGCGTCGACAATGTTGGCGCCCTTGACCTTCTTGACGTCGAGCTCCTTCAGCTTGGCCTCGACCGTGTTCTTCTTGATAGGCGTGTTCTGCTCCTTCATCAAGCTGACAAACTCGTCGAGGAGGACCGGCCTCGTCTTGGTCGAGCCGTGGACGTGGCGAAGGAAGGCGGCGACCTGGTCTTCGGGGAACGGCTGCTTCGGACCCGCGCGCTTCGCCTTGAGCGTGTTGACCGTGCCGTTCGCGAGCGACGACGGGGCGACGATACCGACCTTGTCGGAGGGAACGGCGGCGGCAACAGCGCCGATGGCGACGTTCTCCTTGCCCTTCGAGGCGGACGAGGTAGCAGTCGCAGCGTGCACTGCCGGGATGATCCTCGGCTTCGAGACGAACGTGAACGGGTTGAGGCCGAACGAGGCGTCTGCGTAGAGCGAAACCGTGAGCGAGAGCCCAAAAAGAGGAGAACGAATGGGACGCACCGTTGAGGAAGTGAATCCTCATCGACTTGAACACCGGTTCCGCGACAGTGTCCACGTCCTCCTGCCAGATAAGGCCCTTGACGAGCGGGAGGATCGGTCCATCGAGGCCCTTCCTCTTCCTACGCTCCTTCTCAGCCTTCCTCTTCTTCGCCTCGCGCTCCTTCTCCGCCTGCGGGTCAGACATGACCACCACATCGTCATCCTCCTCACCAGGCAAGCGGCCTCCGTTCTCCGCAGCCTGCATGACCATATCGCCATCCGCGTCGTATCCCTCCTCGTACTCGATCTCGTCGTCCTCAGCAAGCCACGAATCCGCGTCACTGTTCTCGCCCGCCTCGCCATCGACGTCGTCTTCGCCGCCGTCCGAACCGATGTCTTCGGCGTCGGGGTCGTCAGGCTCTTCCTCCCACTCGGCCTCCGAGTCAACGTCGTAGTTGAGGTGGAAGGTCTCGCGGCCGAGCGGATTGCGAGCGCCGACCATCACCGACGTCTTAGTCCAGGTTCCTGCGCAGCGCAACTCGGACCGATCAGCACTTCGTCCTCCCGCGAGCTCGACAACGCAGAGCGAAGAAGCGCAGACCCACCAACATATCCCGGCCTCAAGTCCTCATGGAACTTGAGCAACTTGACCTTGATCTTCAACCTGTCGTTCAACAGATCATACAACTCGCTCGTGTCCTGCGTCGTGAGCGAAGCGTCGTTGATCTTCTGCACGGTATCGCGGACGATGTAGGGCGGCGAGGGGTAGAGGTTGTGCGTGTGGCTGCGGTAGCGGTGGGAGGTCGTCAGGGGAGCGAGGGCGGCTGCGGGACGACCGGATGTCAGGCTCAAGCGAAGGAGGAGGAAGGACAAAGCGAGACGCACCGTCCTTCGTCAACTCGGGCATGCTGTTGATCTTGACGTCGACCTTCTTGCCGTCGTGCAGGAAGCGGTTGACGGGCGCAACGGTGACGCGGTCGCGGACGGTGAAGGGGTGGAAGACACGGTCGAAGTCGCACGTCGAGGAGAACTTGGCCGGCGACGACGCTGTGTGTGTGAGGTGTCAGACGGTAACAACGGGAGCGAGCAGGCGCGACGCACAAGGACCAGCTTCGACAGGCGCAGGCGACGCCGACTTCTTGACGAAGAAGCTTGTGAACATGCTCTTTTGCTTCTTGGCAACCTGCGCAGTCGACGACACAGGTCAATACCCGCTGTCCGGCATCGTTGCGAGCACGAAGCGACTCACATCAGCCTTCTTCTTCTCCTCGGCCTCCTTCTCCGCCTTGATGCGAGCCTTCTCGTCCTCCTTCTCCGCCTTTGCGGCACGCTTCTCCTCGCGCTCCTTGCGCTTCGCCTCCTTCTCGGCCTCCTTCTCAGCCTTTACGCGGGCCTTCTCCTGTCGACAATTCCGAGGTCGAACCGACACCAAAGCTGTCAGTAATGCTTCGCAATGCCGGTTGGGCGGACAAACTCGAACGCACCTCGCGCTCCTTGATCTCCTCCTCCGTCAGCACCTTCTCCTTCTTCGGCTTCTTCTCCTTGACCGGCTTCTTCTCCTTCGCGCCGCCCTTCTTCTCCTTCTCCTCTCCCTCGTCGTCAGCGTCCGGAGCCTTGGCCTTGCCCTTCCCATTGCTCTTGGCGGTCGACGAGCTTGCCTTCGAGGAGGAGGAGGTGCCAAGGAGGAGAGCGTGTTGTTCTGCTTCTGGGAGGGCGAGGAAAAGCGAGAGGCAGGTCGACTTGATCTGCGAGAGACAACGGCGATGGTCAGCTTGCCTTGTACGCGCACCTGAACGTCACCGCGAACCGCAAGTCGAAATGCGCAGCAGACGAGCGCGGTTGACGAAGCTCACCTCCTCCCGCTCAGCCTTCCGTTTCTCCCACTTCCCCTTCATCTCCTGCACCCACATCTCCTCGTCCTCGACCTCCCAAACCCAATGCTGCAGGAGCGAAGGAACCTCGGAAAGCTCGGCTCCTTCGGCGTCTTTCGGAAGGGTGTAGTCGGAGGGAAGGGAGGAGAGGGAGAGGCCGTAGTTCATGCGGGTCGCAAGGGTGGAAATGAGGGTCTTGAGAGGGGCCACGGGGATGCGTTCTGTACATCAGCCCAAACTCGTCGATCAGTATACCTGTCGTAGAGGACGAGATGCAGAATGAGCATGGCCGGGCGACGTACCGGCTACTCCAGCCTCGTCCAGCTCGTTCCCGTCCTGCGAGTCCTCCGCCGTGGCCGTCAGGTGCGTAAAGATCCACTTCTTCAGATCGGCCTTAATCTTCAAAGCGAGACTGCCGAGAGTCTTGTCGCTGTACGAACAGCCACACGGTCGAGCGTCAGCGAAGCGGTTTCGAAGCGATCAAGACGCAGGAGTGGACGTCAGGACGCACGATTCGTGGATCAGCTTGGCGATGAACGGATGGTGTTCCTCGGGATAGTCGGAGAGCGTGTTCGACTTATCGTCGCGGAAGAGCTTGCATGCGTAGTCGATAAAGTCGGCTCGATCTGTACGTTACCAGCAGCACGTCAGTCAGCCATTGACGCGGACCGTGACCGGACGACCGAGATCAAGACGGGCGCGCTCTTACGTACCACGCAGGAAACTCGCCATGCTCTGGACGTCGATCGGCTTCTGCTTCACGACGAACTTGTTGCCCTTGAGCACGACGAGCTTCTTGTCGTCGTCGTCGGCCTTCTTCGACGTTGAGGACGACGCCTTTGCGGACTTGGACGTCGAGGGTTTCGACTTCTTGGCGGAGGGAGCAGAGGAGGAGGCTGCGATGCAACGCCAGACGGGTCAATTCGACGCGCAGCTGCCTCAAGTGTGGGTCTAGGGTCGCGAAACACGCTCTGCAGCGCATTTCGACCCCCAAACACCCTTCGAAGCGGACGAACGTACCTTCGCTCTTCCTCTTAGTCCCCTTTCCCGCGTCCTTCTCCTTTCCCTTGCCCGTCTTGCCCTTCGTCTCCTTAACCTCGCCCATCTCCGCGTCGCTGCTGTCATCCAGCGTAAGCACCTCCCCCTCCGCCTTCGAGCCCGACGCCTTCGAAGGAGTCGTCGCGTCGTCCACGTCCATCTTTGCCTCTGTCGCGTTCGAGACGCGTTCGGCTGTTGTTGCTGCGGTTGACTGGGAGGACGAGAGCGGCGAAGAGGAGGAAGCGGTGTCTGTGAGCGAAAGGGGAGAGTTGTCAGTGGGGACGCGTCGAGACGAGACGAGGCGAGAGTGTGAGGGCGTGGGAGCAACGCTGGCTGCGAGGACTGGTTACGCACGTTTGTCTGGAGTGGACGGTGCAGTCATCCTGCTCCTACGAGCGTGTGAGGGTGGTCTGTAAGAAGTCGAGAGGAGGACGCGACTGGTTTGGCCGGAACGACCTCTGGCAAAATGGCTTCCAAGCCTGCCAACGCTTTCGCCGCGCTCTTTGCGGGTGCCAAAGCCAAGCAAAGCGCGTCCAGCAAGGCCGCAGCGGCTCCGGACGATGCGGTGGACGACGACGACGAGTTGCCGATGGGCGACGACGCGACGACCAAGCCCAAGACGCCCGTGTTCAAGGGTTCGGGACTGGGAGCGGGTCCGCGACACTTTGTTGACCCTGGTGCGTCCTGCGCTGGCCCGTCCGAGCGTGTGTAGCGAGCTGACACTCCTCCTCGACTTGCTCCCACTGATGACGCTTTTGCTCCTGCTACGCCTGCTCGTTCGGCTGTCTGACTGCTCGCAGCGAACCAGCCATGGGTCGAGAAGTAGTGCGTCTGCTCCGTTCGACCCCTACGCGAGTTGCGACACCAACTCACCTCCTCCCCACTCGCCTCGCTTGCAGCCGTCCCAAGAACCTCGGCGAAGTCTCCGCGCAGGACCACACCGTCCAAGTCCTCCAGAAGACGCTCGGGTCCAGCAACGTGCGTCCCTGCCACTGCCTCGCCGCGAGGCGTGCTGACACCTTCATCCGTCCTCGACAGCTCCCTCACATGCTCTTCTACGGCCCTCCCGGGACAGGCAAGACCTCGACCATCCTCGCTTTGTGCAAACAGCTCTTCGGTCCGCAACTGTACCGCTCGCGCGTGCTCGAGCTCAACGCGTCGGACGAGCGTGGAATTTCGGTCGTGAGGGAGAAGATCAAGAACTTTGCCAAGACGACTGTGACGACGAACCATGACCCGTGCGTTTGCTCTGCTACACTCAAGCACGAGTCACGGACTGACGGAGGGTCTGCTCGCAGGACTTACCCCGCCCCGCCGTTCAAGATCATCATCCTCGACGAGGCAGACTCGATGACTCAGGACGCGCAGTCTGCCCTTCGCCGCATCATGGAGAACCACTCGAAGATCACGAGGTTCTGCTTGATCTGCAACTACGTGACTCGGTGCGTCCACTACCTTCTCATCCGCTCTCCGCCCTGCCCCGAGAGCGAGAGCTGATGAGTCGCATGGCGGTGGCACAGCATCATCGAGCCTATCGCGTCGAGGTGCAGCAAGTTCCGCTTCAAGCCTCTCGACACGGGCTCAACCGGGATGCGCCTCAAGGAGATCTGCCTCGCCGAGAAGGTCGACTGTCCCGAAGATGTGCGTCACGGCGTTTTCCTTCGCTCGCAGTCTGTTGTCCGACATGGAATAGAGACTGATCGGGATAGACCACGCGCTCGCACAGGCACTCAACGCGCTGATTCGCACCTCGGACGGCGACTTGCGCCGCGCGATCACGTACCTCCAATCCGCCTCTCGCCTCGCGTCCGCGACAAAAGAGCCCATCACCGCCGTGACAGTGCAAGAGATTGGCGGAGTCGTACCGGACGGGGTGATGCGGACTCTGGGACGGGCGTTGGGCGTGAGGGACGAGGAGGCAGAGGACGGGGACGTCGAGATGGGTGAGGCGAAGGGGGTGGGCAGGTTTGAGAGGGTCAGGATGGCGGTGGAGAAGGTGACGAGGGAGGGGTACTCGGCTGTTCAGGTGCTCTCGCAGGTGTGTCTTGGACTGCGCTCTCTCCTCACCTCGGTACTGACGGTCTTTCGTTCGGCTAGCTCCACGACCTGATCATCCTCGACCCGCTCGTCTCTCCTCGCGCCAAGGCGGCCGTCGCGCTCGACCTGGGCCAGGCGGACAAGGCGCTGACGGACGGTGCGGACGAGGAGTTGCAGCTGCTCAACTGCTGTGCGCGGATCGAGCGTGCAGTCCGGCGTGGGTGATGTCTCTCTGTCGCATGTGCTCGTTTGTTGTAACACAGTACGCCCCTTCTGCACTAGAAGGACTCGAGGGAGAGAGGGGGAACGTGGTCGTCGTCGCCACCTCTCCTGCGAGCGGTCCATGCTTTCGACGCACCACTCGCTTCGGCCCCGGACTGACGACGGAGCCAGACAAGCTCTCGGACTACTGCACACGAGCACGCTGCTGGACTTTGGCTCGAGCGCGCGCATCGAACCCACCCGCGACACACACCCACCTCGCCAGCCACTCTCTCTCATCGCTCGCTCAGCTTGTTGGACGACGGGCGGACGAAACAGCGGTGGGACAGTGACAGGGTGCTGGTCTGGGGCTGCTCAGTGAACCAACGGGGCATACACTCGCACTCGCACACTCGCTCAGCGTGCACACCTCGCCTGACACCCAACTCGGCCATCACCCTCACCTCGCTCGAACCTCCCACAACAACACCCTGAAGCGACACGACCATGTCTCTCGCCAACGCCTTCTCGACACGACGAGCATCCCGCGGACGCAGGCTCGCAGGCTCGCACGCCCGCGCGGCCTTGACGCCCCAAGCGGCCCAAACCATGTTGACCCCCTTCGCGGCAGCAACGTCGTCGACCATGGCGGCTGTCACGCTCGGTGGAGCGCAGGACGTCGATGCGGCGATGCTGGCCGGCACGGGGGCGAGTATCGGTGGATCGGGACAAGGAGCGGGAGGGGAAGGCGGAGGAGCACACCCGAGTTCGCAGGACGACGAGGTCGAGATGATGCGTTTCCTTGGCGGTGGACTCGGTGACGACTCGCCGGTGCTGTCGAGCGCGAGGAGCGGGAAACGAAAGGCCGGGACGGGAGAGGGAGGGCACGGGGCGAAGAAGCAGAAGGGAGGGATCGACGACGGGCTCGGACTGGGCAGTGAGGAAGGACTCGCATCCTTGCACGACGCGTTTGCGCTTACTGGGCCGAGCACGAGCGGGCAGGCGGGCGCGAGCGGAGGCGGGACAAGCGGCGCGGACCACTCGCTCTCGATGGGCGACTACAGCATCCCACTCGGCGACATGGGCGCGTACGGCGCAGGCGGCGACTTTTCCTTCGAGCACTTCCTCAATTCGACCGAGCCTGCTGCGCCCGCTCCCTCCGCCGCGACCTCGCAGGAACCCGAGTCTTCGCCTGCGACAACCGCCGGCAAGTCGCAGGACAAGGCCGAGGACCCGGCTGCCGTTGCTCCCGAGGTCGACTTGCCGCCCCTCGAAGATGCGATCGGACCGGACGTCGACATCGTCTCTGCCACCTCGGCCGCCAACACCCCCGAGGTCGGCGGACGCCTCGACCTCGCCTCGATCGACCCCGCTCTCCAGTCGCTCGCCGCTTCGGCGTCGCAGCAACACTCGCCTGTCGACGACGACGAGCAGCGCCAGCATGCGCAGTCGCAGTACGACGAGGTCAAGCGCTTGCTTGGGTTCAACGCGGCAGACATGTCGTTCCTCAACGCTCCGGCTCACGACGAGCCCTCCCCTCCGCCCGCCGACGAGCTCATGCATGCGACGACGGCAGCGCAGGGCTCGGGAAGCCCGCAACTCGACCCTGCGCTTGGCGACTCGCTCCCGCCGATCCCTCCGCCCACTCCGCCTTCGGGCCACGCGACGCGCAGGAGGCCCATCAAGTCCGCCAAGGCGCGTGACGCGTCCGACTCGCTCGTCGCGACCGCGATTCGCGCACCGGCGAAGAAGTCGGGCGGCGGGTCGAGGAAGAAGAAGCAGGCGCCGGCTGCTGCGGCTCAGCAGTCCCTCACGCCCGAGATCGTCCCCGCCACCATGGTCGACCCGACTGCCGGCTCAGCCGTCGCGTCGACGTCTGGATCGGTCGCAGGTTCGAGGCAGAACTCGCCCGCCTTGTCGGCCACCTCCGCCTCAGGCAAGCCCAAGCCCCCTCGACCCCGCACGCACACGCACATCCACCCGCCCGTCTTCAACCCCCAAGCACCAACCCCTCGCAACCCGAACGGCACCGCTCCAGGCGCGACGGACTTTGCCCCTCCCGGAGGCGGACCGACCGCGCGCGAGGCGGCGGCGGCGTTTGCGGGCGACGACGATAACCCTCATCCGTGTCCGATTCCGGGGTGCGACAAGAAGTTTGCGAGGAAGAGCGACTTCTTGCGTCACTATCGCATCCATACGGGCGAGAGGCCGTTCGTGTGCGAGTATCCTGGCTGTGGCAAGTCGTTCATCCAGGTGCGTTCCCTCCCGAGCTTCATTACGTGCACGTGCTTGGGTTCTGACACTGGCTATCGCTCGCAGCGCTCGGCTCTGACGGTCCACCAGCGCGTCCACACCGGCGACAAACCTCACGCCTGTCAAGACTGCGGTAGACTATTTAGCGACTCGTCCTCGCTCGCTCGCCACCGCCGCATCCACGCCGGCCTCAAACCCTTCGCATGCGAGATGTGCGGCACCAAGTCGTTCTCGCGCAAGGCGACTCTGACTCGCCACCAGAACATCTGTCCTGGTCGACCTGGAGGGAACGGGATTGAGGGCGTGCACCCGCTCGCGAATGGAGAGGCGTTTGATGAGGACGACGATGAGGGAGAGAGCGACGATGGAGGGATGACGCCGCAGCCTGTTGCGCCTCCGCCGCCCCCGAAGGGCAAGGGCAGGGCGTTGAAGCCCAAGGCGCCGCGCAAGCCGAGGATGACGAAGGCTCAGCAGCGCGCTGCGGCTGCTGCGGCGGCGCAAGAGGCGGCGGCGTTACAGGTCCAGCAGGCCATCGCCATCAACCCGCTCTACAACCTCGGCGGAGGTGGCGACTTCCCCTCGTCCGCCGCGACTTCGATCGCGTCGGCGTCCGCATCGCCCGAACCGGACATCCAGCTCAACGTCTCGGAACCGCTCCCGCCTTTCCCTGCTTTCGACCCGACCGCCGCCATCGTCGCCGGATTCCGCGGTTCGCCCTCGTCCGCCTTCCTCAACCTCGACCGCTCCTCTCCCGCCTCGACCGCGTCTCCGCGCCTCACGACGCACCGCCGCCTCTCGGCTGCCCCGCCCACTCCCATGTCGCCCGCCTCGCGCGAACTCGCAGCGAGCGCAACCCGCTCGACCGTCCAGCCCGTCCCTCGTCCCGGCGCAGTCAAGAACGAGCCGCAGCTCGATCCGATCCTGACGGGTTTGCGGCTCCAGCTCGGCGGGGTTGGCGCCAACTCGGATTCGGGGTGCGATGATTCCGAGTGCGATGGAGACTGCGAGTGCAGCAAGTCGGATCGCGAGGACGCGCCTGCCAAGGGCAAGAACGGCGAGGATGACATCGATGTGCCCGAGGAGCAGGCGGCGGCTGTTGCGGCGCTTGTGCAGGGGTTCATCCCGAACGCGAACGGCGAGGGTGCGGCCGAGGCGGCCTGAAGGCGAGGTCGCGACGCTTGATGGGTGGTTCGCTTGTGGTTCTGTGCTTCTCTCTGTGTTCCTCTCGTCTTGGTCTCCCCGCTTCGCCTTTCACACGTCGTTGTTCGTTCTCTTCCCTCCTGCGGAGATTTACCCGCGTCTCTCCTCTCTTCCTTTTGCCTGCGCCTGTCCATGTCGTCTCTTCTAGCAATAATAGACCCGCTTTGCAACACTTCCTCGCCTGGAGAGTCCGTCTAGTCGAGGCCATCCTCCTCCTTCACCTCCTCTCCTTATCACCTTGACACCGCTCGCCCGCTTCGAGTTCTGCTCCTTCGCTCGCTTGTACAGGCTCAACGCACGCTTTCATCGACGCCCCGCTCTGCGCACACGCGCCTCCTCGTCACGCTCGCTTCTCTCGCCGGCACCCCGCCTTCGCACTCCACGCCTCCTCACGACCTCAACACGGCCGCGATAAACCTGTGCGTGTCTTCGACGAGCTCATCGAGTGGTGTTGTGCTGACACTGTTGCGCGCAGGCCGCATGGTGGGCGAGTGGGTCGAGCGTGAGGCGCTCTCGACTGGGCTGGGAATAGCGAGCATCTGCGTCTGGCTGTTCGCTCAGTCGCCGCAGGTTATTCAGAACTGGCGGTCTGGGAGCGTGGAGGGTGCGTCTGTTGTTCACCGAGCGCCGGAAGAGCGGACTGACGGGTTGTTCACCTCGATTTGCAGGTCTTGCCCTCCCTTTCCTCGTCAGCTGGTTCGCAGGGGACTTTACGAACCTCCTCGGGTGAGCTGCTCTTAATCCACGAGCCCGGAACTGCAGCTAACCCGGAAGGACCGCCCCACAGCTGCATCCTCACCCACCAGCTCCCCTTCCAGACGTACCTCGCCGCCTACTTCATCCTCGTGGATGTCGTGCTCTGCGGCCAATTCGTCTACTACTCTCGACTACACCCCGCACCGTACCTCCCGCCTCTCTCGGAGGAGTACCCTCATGTTCACGCTCCTTCGCCTCACGCCTCCTTGATCCGCCAGGGCCGTCGCTCGACGTCGAGGAAGGGTCGCACGCGCGGCTCGAAGACGCGGTTATTGCGGTCCAGCTCACACGATGAGGAGAACGACCCGATGATGCTGAGCTGGACGAGCGACTCGTCCGCTCGAACGCCTACTTCGCCGCAGATGTCGACTCGACCTTTCCCCTCCCGCTCTTCGACCTCGCATTCCATTCCGTCTATTCCTTCGACTGCACCGCCGAGCGTCCCGCCTTCTCCCACCGCTCCCGAGCGAGGTCGGACTCTCCAGCGCTCCGCCTTGCGAACCTTCGACCCGACTCTCACGACAATCGCAGGTTCGCCCGCGTCGTACGGCGCCTACATGCCCCCGCAGAGCATTCACGCGAGTCACGTCTCGTTCAACCGCGAGCCAGAACCGCTCGGGCCGGCACGGGACGTCGAGGAGGAAGTGACGGAGGTGCCGCGGCATACTCGGCAGCGGACGTCGAGCAGCCGAAGTCGACCACCTGCGCCGTCCAGACGGAGCACGTCGGTGGTCTTCTTGTCCATCGGGGCGCTCGTGACGCTCGGGCAGATGGGCGGCGGTCCTGCGATCGGACCGATGGAAGTTGGCCAGGCGCGAGCGTGGAGTTCAGGCGCATCTCGTGCAGGGCGTAACAGTACTGTCGCGGCGGTCGATGAAGTCCGACGGAGCGAAGTGGGAGGTCTGCATCACCCCGCCTTCTTTTCGTCGCCACCTCCCCTCCCCTCGACTGCTGCTCCCGTCAACTCGCGCGCCCAACGTTCGACCTTCCCCCTCGACGTCTCCGCCCCGATGGCTTCTGCTGAGCCGCACATCTCGAATGCTCGACAGCTTCCGGACGACAACAACGACGAAGACTTGCCCCCGCCTCGCTCCCGGAACTGGGAACGCTTCATCGGCCGAGCCAGCGCATGGCTTTGTACGACAGCCTACCTTACGTCTCGCCTTCCGCAGATCTGGCAGAACGTGCGTTCTCATCCTCCTGGGAAGGGGATGACTTGCTCATTCGCTTCTTCCGCAGTTCCGCCGCCGCTCCGTCGAAGGCCTCGCCATGGCCCTCTTCCTCTTCGCCTTCGTGGGCAACTCACTCTACGTCGCTTCAATCCTTACCAACCCTCTCTCGTCCACCCCCGGCTTCCTCCTCGAGTCGATGCCTTACCTACTCGGCTCCGGCGGAACCCTCTGCTTCGACCTCGTCATCCTGACTCAGAGTCGACTGTACTCGGAGAAGCGGAAGGCTCGGCGCGAGCGGGATAGGAAGAGGCGGTTTGCGCGGACGCTAGAGGCGGAGGAAGAGGCGGCGCTCCTCCATGCAGACGAGGACGGCGAGACCGACACCGAGACGGGCTCTCGGCCACGGCGATCTGCGCACCAGAGTCGCTCGCTGAGCGGCAAGCGGAGCAGGAGCACCAGCACGCTCGGATACGGACGCTCGATGAGCTCGGGCGGGAGGAGCGGGCGGACGCTCTCGTCCTCTCGACGAAGCGACTCGACGGAGATGATCGCTGGCAGCAGGAGCCACCGAGCCCTCTCGCGGGCTGAGCAAGGCCTGCTCGACGACGATCCTTTCTCGTGGGACACCCGAGATGGAGAAGCGGGAGGAGGGCGGAGTCGCGGGACGTCGAGGTCGGCGTCGGTTCACGAGACGATAGATGAGGCGGGAGAGTCGAGCGTGACGATCGCAGACGTGTAGAAGAACCCAGTTGTAGCGCATACCCAGATCTCTTGATACCTTTTGCCTCCCACCCACGCGTACTTCTATCGCAACTCGCACTGGTTACTCTCGCATCGTGGGCTGAGTCCGCATCCATTGTTTGCAAGCATGCTCGACTACTCTGCTGACGGATCACAGCGGACCCTCGATGTCGAGGACGATCGGGACATGGTCGGATGCTCCCCCTGCAACGGGCGCCGTTAGTATCGGCGAGAGTGAAAGGCGGTGCGAAGGACGTACAGATCTCGGCGCGGATCTCGCAAGCCTTGACCTTCGGAAGAAGGCGCTCCGAAACCTGCGAAGACCGCCGTCAGCGATGAAAGAAGCCAGTCGAGCGAGACGTGCGACGCACCACCTGGTAGTCCAGCCTCCAGCCAATCCCCTTCTCGCGACACTGGAACTTGTACGAGTAGTAGGTGTAGTGACCCTCGAGGTCGGGGTGCTTCTCCCGCCAGACATCGACGAGCCGCTTGTGACCCGACCCCTCTTCCGGGTTGAGCTGCGCCTTGAAGCCGTTGATCTCGGCGTCCGTACAACCGGCGCTCTTGTTGTAGTTGGTCTTCCAGTTGCGGATGTCTGCGCCACGACGAGATCGGACATTAGTCGGGAACCGGCTGATCGGCTGCGCGAGTCGGAAACTGAACAGGCCGCAAACGCACCGGTAGGCGTCGGCACGACGTTGAGGTCTCCGCACCAGATGACGGGCTTCTTTGCGTCCAGCTCGCGTAGGTAAGTTTCGAACGCCCTGTTCCACTTCTCCTTCTCCGGCAGCGTCTTGAGCCCATTGCCTGCATTCGGCACGTCTGACCCGGGGACGAAAGTCAGTGAGCGGGCTCAGAGACATTGAAGCAGCTGACTCGGGCTGAAAGGGCGAGCTGGGAGGAGGTTGTGAGAACGAGGCAGGAGAAGGACGCACAGGTTCCGACAACATACGAGTTCTCGAACTCGAGCGTGATCATGCGCCCCTCCGAGTCGGCCGCCGTGACCTCTTCGCTCGCTTGGAATCCTTTCGACACGTTCAGAGGCTTGATCTTGGAGAAGATGGCTGTGCCGGCGTGACCTTTCTTCACGTGGTCGCCCCAGTATCGGTACTGCGGGCACAAGCGCATCAGAATATGGCGTGCAGCGTGGTCAGGAGGAACGGCTCACCTCGTAGCGGTCGTCGAGGGCAGGCAGGCTCAGCTCTGGCGTCTTGGTCTCCGTGACGACGAGGATGTCGGCGTCTTCGGCGTTCACGTATCGCGAGAAGCCTGTACGGACGAGAAGAAGGGTGTCAGAGAGGGTTGTACGGACGAGGAGAAGGGTGTCAGGGAGGATTCAGAAGACTCGCAAGCAGATTCTGGAGCAGCAAGGAGGATCAGCAACGCACCCTTCTTCTCGCTCGCCCTCAAACCCGCCACGTTCCACGCCGAGATCCGCACGCAACCCTCAGGAGGCCTCGGGAACGATGAAAGGTCCTCGGGAACCTCCTTGTTGGTCGGGACAGAGGGGTCGAGAGGAGTGACGGGCGGTTTCTTCGCGCGTTTCTTCTTCGGCGCCGCCTCTTTTTCCGATCCAGACAGTTCACTCAGCGGAGAGTCCTCCTCTGCCTTCGCCTGCACCTCCTTGTCCTCCTTGGCGGCCGTTGTCTCGTCGACGGCAGCTCGCTTTGATGAAGTGCGTTTGGGCGGCATGGCGAGCGGGGCAGCTGGGAGAGCGAAGCGGCGGACGGGAAGAGAGACTGTGCGAGCTTGAGCAGGCAGCCGCGAGCGTACGAGCGACGTGAAGCGGAGAATCGTGGCGGCGAGTGAAGTGGGGCTGTCGAAGCGGCGGCGAGGACGCGTTGCTCGTCGTGCACACTCCCGTGGGCAGTCCTGAGGGCGTGCAGTGACAAAGGAATGCAGTACTATGATGTAGCAACAACAACGAATGAAGGGGACGGCGAGACTACCGGACATAAGTCCTGCGAAACCACTCTGCCTCTCTCAAAACTGCGTTCGCTTGCGGGATGTCGTGCCGCCATGCTTCAGGAAAGCGGTAGTCGTAGTCGGCGTCTTCGGTGATGTGTGTGCGCCAGCAGATGCCGAGTTGCGACTCGCGGTCGCTGAAGCTGAGCTGGATCTTGCCGTTGTACTCCTTGATCGCGAGGTCTGCTTGTCAGCAGGTCAGTAGGCGAACACGTTGACAAATCTGGAGCACGCACTCTCGACAAAGATGACATCGCCGCGCTGGATGGCCCGCGCAATCTCGTCGCCAGACTCTTTCCACAGGACAAGCGTCGCAGTCTGCCCCGTACTGTCGACCAGCACGACCTCGGTGAGTGATCCAGCCTTGGTGTCGCGCTTGTCGAACGTGAGGACGCATGTGAGGACCGAGAACTTCGCGTATCGCTTCTTCTGGTTGGCGAGGCGGCCGCGAAGCTGGTCGAGGGGGACGAGTTGGTGGACGTGCCAGCTGAATTGCGGCGGCGGTCCGAGCGAAATGCCGCCAATTGATTGTGTTGCCGCGTACGAGTCGTCGCCGTAGCAGTTGGTTGAGGCGGCGGTGATGTCTGGCAGCGGAGCAGTCGGAGGGAGGGTTGAGGTCGTGATGTCGTTGGCAGTCTGCGTTGGCGGGAAAAGCGTAGACCGTCGGCGTCGCTGCGTTAGCGGAGGCAGCATGACGCCTGTGGAGGTCACTCAGTGCATGGAGACGACCGGAAGCGAGGGAACAACGCACTCATCCTCGACTCTCCCTCGAAATCGTCCCGCGCCTCCTCCTTGACCGGTTCCGACGACTCCTGCGACGGCGTTGACCGCCTTCTCGGTCGTTTGCGCACACGTAAGAGAGTGTCCTCGTCCGTTTCACTGGGAGGGACAGCCTCTGCCTCATCGCCTCGCCTCGAGATGTCCGCATCCGCGAACTGCGAGCTCGTCACGTCCCAGACCTGCGCCGGCTCGCCTGCACCCTGCTGCCCTCCTGTTCGTCCATCATCAGCCGTCCCGCGCCGTCCCTCGTCCTGCCCAGCGCGTACACCCTTGGAAGTTGAGCGAGGCGATGAAGGTGGGGCAAGGCGGAAAGTGAACGTTTGCCAGGCGCTGCAGGGCGAGCTCGTGGCGTCGACAGTCTCTAGCAGGAGCTTCACAGTGGGTGCGCCATCGAAAGCGATCCAGCGGGGCATCCAGCGGGTGGACGGCGGACGACAACCTTGCGCCACCCCCTCGAAGCCTCTTTGACCACCACCGACACACTCGCTTTCCTCGTTGTGCACTGCGAAGCATCGAACAGGCATCTATGGCTCAGCAGGTGCGGGTCGGAGTCGGCTGCTTCCTCGTCAACTCGCGGGGAGAGTTCGTCGTCGGCGTTCGCAAGGGCAGTCACGGAGCGGGTGACTTCGCTTGGTCCTGCAAGGCTGTCAAACTGCGCTGATCAGCTCTCGTGTGATGTCGCAGGCTGCCTCCAGCTTCCCGGCGGTCACCTTGACTTCAATGAGACGCCAGAAGCATGCGCCGTGCGGGAAGTCGCCGAAGAAACTGGCCTTGCGATGCGAGAAGAAGATGTACGCTTCGTGACAGCGACGAACGACATCTTCAAAGCGGACGGGAAGCATTACATCACGATATTCGTGGTATGTCGAGTCGCGGACGATGCGAATCCTCAGGTTCGTCGAGACTTGTCCACCCTCTTTTCGCAACCCTCCGAACGCGCTGGACCTCCATCCTCTCCGTCTGCAGGTCTTGGAGCCGGAGAAGTGCGAACGATGGGAGTGGCACACTTGGCCGCAGCTGAAGGAGCTGGCCTCTGATCCTCACAACCGGCTATTCCTCCCCCTCCGTAACCTGTTCCTCCAACGGCCAGATGCCGATCCTCGACGACTTGTCTTGTAGCTGGGATAACCGAGAACGGGTAGAAGGAGCGAGACGAGGCGTTCAATATGAAGGTGCGCGCGAGCGTCTCGACGCTGGCAATGCCACTTCACCTCATCCGGACAAGGACGAACGTTCCGCGAGGCTGTTGCAGCAGTTTCGCGTAGACTGATGGACCGCCTGAACCGCTGCGAGACGGCGCTGACGAAGTGCCGCTTCGCGATGATGAGGAAGTGAGATTCACGAATACGCGTCGGGAAGGGTTGTGGCTCGCTCGGGAAGTCCGCAAACCTTTGAAGAGCTGAGTACACGGCTCTGACAGTCACCTTCAGCCGTCGAGGCTGAGCTGGTGGAGCGAAAGGAAGCGCGTCCGCTTCTTCCCCTCAACCTCACGCTGCGAATCGCTTTGGACCTGTTCTGACTGTTTGAGCTCACTCTTCGAGTGCTCTAGGAGCTCCTGCTCGCTCCGTACGAATCCGCACGCGTCCGCCAGCCGTCTCGACCTCTTTGACCTCTTTTAAAGTTGACATCTCGCTTCAAGCCTCTGCCGCGCACCTGCCCGAGTGACGTACTCTCTACAAGCGCTGAGAAGCACCTGCACCATGGCCCGCAACCCGAAGAGCGGCGACTCGAGCGCCTCAACGTCTACTTCCGCCAAACCGAGGTCTTCGCGCGCCACCAACCCGCCTCGTGCCGCTGCTTCGAAGCGCACGAAGTACTTTGAGGACGACGGTGATGCTGAAGAGGGCGAACAGGCGACTCCGGCCGCTGGAGTGGGAGGTCTGCTTGCGCTTGAGCAGGAGGAGGAGGACGACGAGGACGAGCGGTCGAGGTGAGTCGCGCTTGATGCGCGCTGGCAGCTTGCAACGAGCAATCTGTGTTCGCAACACAAGCTGACACCGACATGTTTCATCGCGCAGCACCATCGAGATTGCCGAGCTCGTCAAGGTGAGGCTTCCCACGCCGCTCTCTTGCGCAGAGCACCGACGCTGACGTCTTTCCCCTTGCAGGCGTACGCCAAGAAGCGCGAGAAGAAGGAGAAGGCCGAGGCTGCCAAGCTCGAGAAGCAGCTCCACGACTTGCTTGCGAAAGGCCAGACTGACGCCGACGCAGCGATCGAAGCCGGTCGCAAGAAGTGGTGCGTTCTACCAGCCACTATCGCTAATTTGTCTGCTGACTGTCCTGGGTCGTCCTCACAGTGACGGGCTCACCTCCTCTCTTCCGCTTAACGAGACGCCCAAGTTTACGCAGATCGATTCCGCCAACTACCGCGATGCTTTCCAGAAGCACAAGCGCTGCTCCGAGCATCTTGCCGAGCGCATCGACGAGTACCTTTCTGACCTCCGCACCGGCGAGCACGAGCTGCTGCAGGATGCGAGCGAGCGGCGTGCGTCGAGTCCGCTCTCGTTGAGCCGCATCTGCTGAAATTCTTGTCCTGCAGTCGACGAGCGCGAACTCCTTGCGAAGCGCACTGCCAAGCAGCTGAGCAAGGCGACTGCGGCTGTCGTCGAGGAGAGGCATGTCATGAACCAGGTACGCTCCAATCCCGTTCATACTTGCTCGCGTGCTGACCCGCTCGTATCTTTAGATGCACCAAGAGGCTGCTGTCGCCGTCTATCGCCACCTCAAGGGCGTCGCTCGCGCCTGAAGACCAAGTTTCGCTGTCTTTCTCGCTTCTGTTCCGCTTCCATCGCTTGTTGCCGTACCTTTTTGCGCCGCTGCGCTCTCTTCTGACTGCGAAAGTGTAATGAGCTGTGCAAACCGAGTCATAAACGAGCCTTTGGCGAGATCAAGCCAACCTACTTTCGCTCGAGAGGGAAGTCGCTGCCTGGCATCCAACACTCCGCCTCGTCGGCTCGAGACAGCATGGGTCGCCTTCAGGTGAGTAGCTTCGAGCTCCGGGATATCCTGCGCTGCTCCACACGCGCTACGGAGGGCAGCGGCACGCCACCACTCCACCCGCTCGCCCGCAACGCGATGAAGTAGGTACAGGTACACGCACAGCGCGAGGGGCTGGGCGGCGAGGTCCAGCGATGTGCTGGACAGGATAGGAAGCAGGGACACGGAGCTCAGCTCCAGCGGGGTACGCTGGGCGTTTGAATACAGCAGCGGGATGAGGGGGAGGAAGGAGTGCTTCGCAGGGACTGCTCGCGCTGGGCTGCATGCTGACTTCCCGATCTCGCACACTCCCAGGAGCAACAGCGGAAGCTGCTCGAGCAGCTCATGGGCCCCGAGGCGCTCGGCATCGTCCAGCATGACATCTCCCTCTACGACCCGAAGCTGTGTCACCCGTTCGTTGCGGGAATCTGCCCGCACGACCTGTTCACAAACACGGTGCGTGCGGACTTGCGGCGAAGTGTGGACTGGAGAAGGGCGAGCTGACGGGCGAGCTGACGGTCCTTCCCTCCATGGTGTGCGCTCGCAGAAAATGGACCTTGGACCCTGCCCGAAGACGCACTCTGTCAAGCTGAAGAACGAGTACGAGGACTTGCTGAAGAAGGCGGAGACGGAGAAGGACGAGCATCAGCTGCGGATCTTCAACACCTTCAAGACGAACTACGAGCGCGAGGTGCGTAACTTGCTCTCGCTTGTGCTGATTTCTAGCTGACTGTTTGCATCGACAGATCATGAACTTCGTCGGCGAGTGCGACCGGAGGATCGCGGCGGCTCACCGTCGTCTCGAGAAGACCCCGGAGGAGAACAACCGCACGACGGCACTGGTGCGTTTCGTTCACCGTCTTCCAACGACATCGTGTGCTGACCAGGCTCTCCACAGATGCGTGAAGTCGGCGAGATCGAGGGAGCGTATCAGGCGGCGATGGCTGAAGTCGAGATGCTCGGTCCGTCCCCCTTCGTTGCACGCTTGTCCTCCACCCGCCTGACATCCTTTGCCCGTCGACAGGATCCCAGGGAAAGGTCGAGGAGTCGATGACGCAGCTTGCGAAGGCGGAGGCGCTGAAGGCGGAGAAGCAGGAGAAGGAGCGCGAGTTGCAGCAATTGACGGACACGGCGGGCGCGTCTGGCCACCAGAAGTTGCGCGTCTGCGACATCTGCGGTGCCTACCTCTCGATCCTCGACTCTGACCGTCGTCTTGCCGACCACTTCGGAGGAAAGGTGCGATGCCCGTCTTCGTTTGTCCACCCTTCTTCTCGGGACTGACAGCTGTCCCTTTCGCAGATGCACTTGGGATACCACCAGCTTCGCCTGCTCATCGACGAGTGGAAGGCTCGCGGTCCCCTCCCTACCGCTCCCTTGCCCGCCGTCACCGCCGCACCAGCAGCCGGTCCGAACGGCATGAACGGACCAGGCGGCTCCGGTCCCGCCGTCGCCGTTTCTGTCACCTTCCGCCCCATCCCTCCCGAGAAGCGTCTCCGCCGCCGCGAACCCTCCCGCGACCGCTCTGACCACGGCCGATCGGACCGCGACCGCTCCGACCGCGAACGAAGCAGTCGAGGCGATGGGCACAGTAGGTCGTCGCGGTATGACCGGGATGACAAGCGAGACGACCGAGACCGTTCGCCGAGGACGAGCAGGAGGAGCGACGACCACCGTTCGTCGAAGGACGATCGCGACCACCGCTCGTCGCGCGGCGAAGACGGGCACAGGTCGTCGCGGGACGACAGGGACCGTGAGCGGGACCGGGAGAGGGACAGCGACCGCAGGTCGTCGCGGTACGATGATGACAGGCGGTCCTCGCGGTATGACGACGACGACAGGCGGAGGGGACCGCCTCGGGGTTTCGAGGAGGAACGACGAACGAGGCGGGCGTACGACGACATCGATGAGGACCGGGTTGGAGCAGAAAAGCGTCGCAAGGTCGACGAGTAGCCGCGTCGACGAGCAATGTACTTTACTCTCTATCGCTGGAGCTGAGGTTGCGTAGCAAAGGATGATACAGCTCAAGGGGTATGACACGACAGGCGAGCTACGAGCTACTGCAAACCGGTGAACGAATGCTATGAGAGGGAGCCAGCGGCAAAACGGAGGAGCTACAAGAAGAGGTTTGGTCTACCAGCGTCCCCAGGGAGCCTGCGAGACGGGAGGAAGCGGCATTGAAGAGGGTCCGGGTCGAGGCGGCGAGAAGCGCAGCTGGGTCTGCTGGTAGGCGGAGGAGGCGTAGGAGGGGCCGGCTTGGGGCGACGGAGACCGCTGAGGTGTGTAGACACCGCTGTCGACGATGATGTCGCCGTTGGCGGCTGCAGCAACCGGCGGCGGCGCGGCGACAGGCGCAGGAGCAGGCGCAGCGAACGAGAGAGCCGGGTCGACTGCGATGTCGCCCTGTTCGATCGGCATGTCCTCCGCCTTGATGCCGTTCTCCTGAGCGCCAGCGTCTTCCGCCTGCTCCTCGTCGTCCTCGTCGCTCTCCTCCGACTCCTCGTGGATGACCTTGACGCGCTGCGCCGCCGGGAGAGCCATCTCGCCCGCTGCCTCGAGCAAAGCAGCCGAGGGCTTGCGCTTGCGACCTGACTGCCTCGGCGCGTCTGCAGCTTCTGGCGTGCCGGTTGTCGGTTCAGGGAGTCGGGAGGCTTTGAGCGCGCGGTTGTGAACGCGACTCGCGAGTTGCGAGAGCTCGGCGTCGGTGAAGCGGATGCGCAGGATCTTGGTCCCAGTCGGGAGGGTTGAGCCGTGGTCGAGACAGGCGATCGAACGTGCGTCTTCGGTGATAATCTGCGAGAGGTAGCACATCGTCTTGCAGTGCTCGCACTGGTACTCCTCCTCGACGCGGTCGAACGGCTCGACGAGCTCGTCCGGCGCCGACTCGCTGGCGCGGATGCGCTCGCGCAGTTCGAGTTCGCGGTCGACCATCTCGCGGATGTGCGGGCTGAGCCAGCTCGCCGTGCGAGGATCCCGCTCCCACTGCGCGATGGTGATGAGGAGCTCGTCGTGCGAGAAGACGGGATTTTTCTTGATCTCGCGGTAGCGCTCGATGCAGCGCAGGTCGTCCTCGAGCCAGTCGGGCAGGGCGAAGTTGACGGCCTCATTGAAGTTGAAGCCGTGGTTGAAGCCCGAGTGGTAGGCGCCGGGAAAGGTGATGATGAACTCGTTTGGGCGCTGATCGGCGGCGTAGACGCGCACGTCGTGCTTCTTGAGGCGCTCAGGGCTCATGAGGGTGACGAGCTGGAACATGAGGTCGGGCTGCTGATCGAAGAGCTCGGGCGCCGACTGCTTCATCGCCGCCTCGAGCTTCTCGTCGTCCGCGCCGGGCACGCCGTACCACGTCTTCGTGTCGCCGAGGTGGTGATAGTTGATGCTGTACGTGTAGTGGTCCTCCTGCAGACAACGTACTGGGTGAGCAAGGAGCAGGAGTGAGAGGACGGAGAGAACGCACCTTATGCCAAGCGAACGTCGAGAAGACCATGCCGACGTAGATCCACGGGATCGTCATGCCAGAGATGTCGGACTTGATGTAGCGGAGGAGCGAGCCGGCGAGGATCGGGAGGTTGTGCAGGTTCCAGCCGTCGCGCGAGTATGGGTCGAGAGGGTGGACCTCGATGTTGGGGAAGCCACTGCGCGGCGAATGTCAGCGGATCGTCGAAGCAGGGAGCAATGAGAGGAACGCACGCTCCATCCTTGGTCGAAGCGACGTCGGCGCCATACTCCACCTCGACCGTCTCCCTTGGCGACTCGACGAGGCGCCAGAACTCGCGCTCAAAGTGGTCCTCGATCGCGATCTGCTCCTTCCAGACATCGTCGCCGTTCTCCTCCGCAGCCGGCGCGTCGTCTTCGCGGCCCTTGCCCTTCGAAAGCGGGAGAGGATGATCCTGCAGCCACTTGCGCTTGAACGCATCGGCGCGGCGGCGGAAGCTGTACAAGCTGTGGTCCTGGCCCTCCTCGAAGCCGTAGTCGGCGCCGTTGTTCAAGAGGCACTTGTCGCAGTAGAACTGCGAGGTCGGGACCTGCTTGAGCGGCGGGGTGAGGCAGTGGAGGTGGTAGCCGCGGTCGCACTCGTCGCAGAGAACAATGCGATCCGGGTCGTGGTCGAGCGTACAGATCTCGCACGCCTCGCCGGGACGACGAGTCTTGTGGCGAGTGGTCGGCTTGAGCTCGAGAGCCTCGTTCAGCTTGTCCGACGCCGTTCGCACACGCTCGTTCGGCTCGAGCTGCGAGCGCCTCGACGGACCGGTCTCCGACATCGGTGTGAGGAGCTCCTCCGAGCCGTTCGGCTGCTGCTTCGGCGTGTCTGCCAACTTGCTCGCGAACGCCTTCATCGCGTCCGAAGTGTCACCAACGTGCGAGGCCTCTTTGACGGGGTCGGGCGGAGCCTGTCCACCGGCGAGCTTGACGCGCTTGACGTACTCCTCAAATGGGACGATGATGCGGTAGTACGACATCTTCAGCTGCGAGCAGATGCCGGTGTTGGAGGCGACGTTGTAGCCGAGCGCCTTGCCGACAGTCGTCCACTTGCGACCGTTCGTGACCTGCGAGAAAGATCAGGTCAATGCCAGCTCAATGCTGAGGAGGGAGCGAGGAACTCACAGCAGCGTATCCTCCGAGAGCGTTGACCTCGCGCTTAAGCTTCCACATGTCGACGGGCTTGCCGCCGATCGACGGGATGGTCATGCCCGTGCTTCCCTGCTGGCGGTGGAAGAGGTACAGCTGCTCGAGGAAGTTGAGACTGGCGCGAGCGGTCGCCTCCATCGAATTGAGCTGCTGCAAGCGAGTCTTGAAGCGGAAGGTCTGCGAGCGTCCTGTGAGTCAGTCCCGACGTGCGAGAGAGTGATCAAAGGGGGACGAACCTCGGTGTCGATGGCGAAGGTCGGACGCCAGCCTTCGGGCGGTACGATCTTGCAGATTCCGAACTGCCTCGCCTCGTGGGCGATAGACTCGATGTACTCCATAGGCTGCGCAAACTGTTCAATTGTAGGGTGATAGACGGGCGCCTCTTCGAGCTCGAACAGGCGAGGCTTTTGTCGGGGCGGAGGGTTGGGCAGGCGAGGTGCCTCTGTGCGGAGGGTCGAGAAGTCGAGCGGCGGCGCGCGCGGGAGCTTCATGGCCCGTCGAGCGCTGTTCTTGGAAGGGTGTGCGCCGAGCGGTTCCTCTTCGACAACGTATTCCGACTTGACCTCGGGCGTGAGTTCCGCAGAGGTCGAGGCGGCAGCGGCAGCGGCAGCCTGCTGCTTGTTCTTGAGCTGCAGGGCGGCGAGAGCGCTCGCCTTTGACGCCCTGACACTCATACGCCCGCCCGACGAAGCCATCATGCGCCCCTTGCTGGTCGACGCTGCGCTTTCTGTCTCGCCGGACATGCCCAGGCTCGAGGAGGGGGTCCCGTTGCGACTGCTCGACGCCGAGCTGGGTCCTGCGCCGCCCTCGTCGTCGCTGAAGACCAAGTCCATGGACGAGATGAACGTCGCAAGCGGCGGCGACGGGCTGGCCATCATCGGCGGGTCTCTGAGACGGAGGGCGGGACAGATGAGGGGAGAGAAGCGACGACAGCGCGCGGCGTGCAGTAGCTGGTCGGAAAAAGTCTGTCAAGCCTTGACTAGGACGCAGCGCAGTCGTCTGGTCCTCCACGAGCGACGAGAGCGAGTGCGAGAGGTAGACCCAGTCGTGGTCAGGCGGGGAGGAGGGAGGTCGACGGCGAACTCGGCGCTACAACGCTTACTGGGGTTCTGCGCTTGCTAGGCGTGGACTTGGCCTTCTGTTGAGGACTTGGCAGCCCGGACCACGCGCTTCGAGGGGAGATGACGGCGCTACAACGATTCTAAGTCGTCTCGACACCTCTCGCAGAGTCAGATTCAGCCATTCTCGACGTCCTTGGGGAACTTCTTGCCTCCGGTGCTGTCCAACACAGTCTACAAACGACGAAACCGACTCCTGCAGCCGCCCTTGACCGGTTTCTGTGAAGACCTCCTCTCGAGACCGCCGAAAATCGAGTTCCTCATGCCGTGCGTCGTCTTATTTGTAAGGCGCTAGCGCAGTAGTCGTGGGATAGAGCGTCAACATCAGCTGCGTTCGGCCATCAAGCGGGCACGAGCCGTGATAAGTGAGAAGAGCGAAGGAGCAGGCTAGGTTCAGGCCGTAGGACGAGGAAACGAGCGGGAAGCGAGGTCTCCACTAGGTCGACCCGCAAAGAGCAAGATCAATCCTAGGGTAGTCGGAAAGCCCGTGGCATCCGCTCGAGCTGTCCCAATGAGTGCAAGGCGAAGCTGGCGAGGGCGCCGTCGGATTGGCTGGCGACGAGGAGGACAGGGTCGCATGCGGTGTTCGCAAATCTGTCGGGCCTGCTGCTTCGCCCGTGGTCGTATAAAGGCGTCAGGAGTACCCTCGAGCCATTCGTTGCCCTTCCGAAGCGGTGAGACGGCGGGACAGAAAGGGAGGGCCTGGTCGAGTTGCAGGCGGTCGATGGCGGCGGCGACAGCGTGGGCGGGCGCGCGAGCAGCGTTGGCTGGCTTCTTGAGCAGTAATCAACAGTCTGAGCACGTCAAGCGGCGTCCCTAGCGATGGTCGACGAACGTCCGAGGCCAACTCTTTGGCGCCGCTTCCCTCGCTCTGACACCTCGGTACTACTCTCGCTGGGCGTGCTGCTGTGCTTTGGACGACGCTGTCAAAAGCTCGAGACTCTCGGCACCCTCGACAGGCGCACCATGCTCGCTTGCAGCGTCGCACGACTCGGTGGCCGGAGCTCGCTTGGAGCGGTGAAGACGGGTGCAAGGCGAACGAGACAGCGCGGGACGACCATCGACGTCGCACGTTGGTTCACGACGTCTGTCAGGTTGCAGCAGGACTCGAACAGCGAGACCGCCACCTGGCGACCGCCTCCTGCCGGCACCAAGGTCTTCGCGTGCATGTCGGGCGGCGTTGACAGCAGCGTAGCAGCTCGCTTGCTGCTCGAACAGGGTTACGACGTCGAACCAGTCTTCATGCGAAACTGGGACACGCTCGATGAGCAATCGGGATCTGGAGGATGCGAGTGGGAGCGGGATTGGGAGGACGTGCGGACGATTTGTCGGGAGAACTTGGGCGCGTTGAAGCCGAGACTCGTCGACTTGTCGCGCGAGTACTGGTCGCACGTGTTCGAGCCGGCGCTGGAGGGTTGGGCGGCGGGCGTAACCCCGAATCCAGACGTGACCTGCAACCAGTGCGCACTTTGCTTTGCCTGCGATTCCTTGGACCGTTCGTTGACGAGAGAAGCGCCGCAGACACATCAAGTTCCGAGTACTGCCGGAGCGACTGCTCGCGGAGGATCCGTCTGCTTGGATAGCCACAGGCCACTGGGCTCGACTCGGTCCTTCTCCCTTCGACCCCTCGCAACCTGCCCTCTTCCGCTCCTCCAACACCGGCAAGGACCAGTCTCACTATCTCTCGACATCTCCCATTGCGGCTCTACGACGAACGCTCTTCCCCCTCGGCGCGTACTCCTCGAAGGACGATGTGCGAGATCTCGCGCGGGAATGGGGCATGCACACGGGCGAGAAGAAGGACAGCATGGGGATCTGCTTCGTCGGAGTGCGCAAAGGCTTCAGCGGGTTCCTCGGTTTGTACTCCTCGTCCCTCCCCCTCTGGCACCAACGGCTGACCGCACCTTCTCAGACTCGTACCTCCCGCCTTCGCCCGGCAACATACTCGACGTAACCGGCAAAGTCGTCGGACGACACAACGGTCTCTGGCGATACACTGTCGGCGAGCGCGCCCGCATCGGAGGGCAGTCCGAAGCGATGTTCATCGCCAGCAAGGACGCCGAGTCGAACACCATCACCATCGTGCCCAAGAGGTGAATTCTATCATTTGTAACCAGGTCTGGTCACTGGCTGACCTGCTCTCTCGCAGCCATCCCATGCTTCGCTGCGTTTCGCTCCTCTCGAACGACTTCCGCTGGATTTCGCCCTCGCATCCTCCGCCCGAGGTGGGACCGCCGCAAGGCTTCGAATGCGAAGCGCAGACCCGCTCGCTTCCCTTCGGCGCCCTTGCGAAGTGTACCGTCAGGCGGTGGTTCGTTACGCTCTTCTCCTCCTTCACTGATCGCGCAGCTGACGCTTCGTCGGCACAGGGGCAAGCGCTCGCTCGACATCGACCTGCACGAACCACTCGTCGGCGTGTCACCCGGTCAGACCGTTGCGCTGTACAAGGGAGACTGGTGTCTCGGCGGCGGCACGATCCAGTCGACGTTGACTTTGGCCGATCGACCTGAAGTTGGGATTGCGGAGGTTGCAGAGAGTCGGTCGTCTGGGCTTGCTCGAGCTGTCTGAGCTGCGCTGACTTTCCATTCGTGCAGACCGTCCGCTGCGAAGCAAGGCTGTCGCAATTTAGTAGACTTCCACCCCACCTCCTTACGCAACCTGGCACATCGTCCACTCACAGCCGAGACAGATGGCGATGATGCTTCAGCCATGAGTTCAATGCAGGTTGCGAGCGGGAACGACGAGTTGAGGATATATATGGCGAGGCGAGCGTGCGTTAACGAGAGACGAGAGGGGAAGGGGGATGCTGCTACAACATTGTACTGTATGCATGTCCGACGAGGGGTATTTGGCGAGTCGAGATTCGTCGCTTGATGTCGGGATGTGGAAATCTACTCTATTCTTGCGTCGACGTCTTCGGGACCTGCTTTTCGAGCTATTGCGCTTCGGGTCTTCTCCAGAATCGTCCCTGAGCATTGAGACAGATGAGCTGACGGCTCGTGCCCGGAGAAACGGGGAGAGGCGACTCACACATTAGACCATGGGTGAAGACGCTTCGTCTGCACACGCTCAAGCTCGTCAGCGGACAACCCTTCGCCAACAAAGGGAAGCAACGCACCCTGCTGAGACGCCCAACCCGCGGTACAGCTTCGTCACTCCACCTGCCGATAGCCGCTTAAAGATTGAGACGGGTGACTCGTATGCCAAGTCGGCGAGTGCGTTCCGCTGAGTATGCGCCTTGACGAGGTCAACGGGGTAGATGGCTGCCCAACTCGAGACGCCGGCTGCATGAGAAGGTTGTCAGTCGAGGGTGTTGGATGGAAAAAAGGAGAATAGCAGGACGCACCGACTGAACCGCAAATGAAGGTGCTCAGCGTTGTTGGCACGTTCTCAAAGACGTCGGGGTTGTTTCGGATGACATGCTGTGCGCTGTCGTACATGCCGAAGTAGAGACCGGTTCCCTGCGAGTTATCGGGATTAGCGAGACCTCAGCAAGCGGGAGAAGAGCAAGACTGACGAGAGTGTCCCGCAGTGCGTGCAGTCGGAAACCGGTGTACAAACCGAGGATGCCTCCTGCGCGGTACAGGTCAAGGAATCCCTTGATCGTGCCGCGAGGAACGTAGGGAACGCCTTTCTTCATCCTGCGCGATGGGCGCGTCAGTACCACCTCTTCCAGCATTCGGGCAGTCGCTACCAGCTCACGCAATGAGGTATTCGAGCTCTGCGATTATTGGGAAGAAAGAGGCCGGTCAGAAGAAACGTTGCGAGGACGGCGGAAACGGCTGGACGCACGCAGCTTGATCTTCGTGTACTCGAACGCGGTTGTCCCTACGCTCAACAGCAAGCCAGAGGCTGCACCTCCCAGGAAGCCCGCCAATGCAGTCGAGCCGACCGTCTCGCCCGTCAGAACGTTCCGTCGCTGCAGGTCATCCTTCGTCCAAGTGTAGATGCTGAAGGAGGCGGTTCGGACGAGGGTGATGGTGACGAGTGGGATAGTTACTGCAAGAGCATCGAAGAATCAGATTCAGGCGCGCAACTGGTGTCCAAGCCGGAACGTACCTCCGCGAAAGAAGCCGCGAATACCCTCCTCCGCATACGTTCTCCGGGCGCAGTCCAGCACAGACGAGTACCGCTTGACCTGTAATCGTGATCTGCGAACAACGTGCAGCCGTCAGATTGCTTCGATCGGGCTGTAACGGCCAGAGAGTCAAGGACGCACTTGACGGAGTCCAAGGGGAAACCCGCAACAGTCGAGCAGAAGGACGCGGTGACGGCGGCGATCGTGTTGCGGTTCTCGTACGCAAACTCCCGCCACGTCTCATCGGATGCAGCGGCTGTCGAGGTCGACGAGTCGGATCGAAGATGGGGAGATGAGGAGTCGTCGACCGGCTCGCTCGCCGTTTGCGACTGCATGGTCGGTGCGGGCTATCGTCTGGACACCGTGGCTAGAGCGTGGACTGCACAGACGCGGCCAGAGCGAGGAGCGAGTGAAAGTCAACTCGTCAACTCTGTTCCGGCTCTCCAGAACTTTATGAAGTGTTCAAACAGCAACAAGATGCGAATGCAAAGGCGTGCGTAGGTCTATAGATGCAATGCGAAAGCCGGCGCGAGAATCAGAAGCCGGCGGTGCGCTTCTTTCCCTTCTTCTTGTCCTTCGCCTTCGCTCCGACGGCGAGGCGCGAGCCAAAGCTGCCCGGCACCACCTGCGATGCCGCTCCGCCGAAGCCCAAAGACTGCGTCTGCGAGTCGGACGGACCGTCGATCGAGATGGCGGGCTGCGTTGCGGCGAGTTGCGTCCAGTCCTGCGACGAGGCAGGAGGCCGCGGCTCCTCTGGGATGGTCGGTGGGACGCGCGGTGGGGCGAGGGAGGGGAAGTATGCTTGAGAAGATGCAGGTAAAGGCGAAGACGAAGGGAAGGCGGCGCCGAAATCGGCAGGGAAGGGTTGCGAGCTGGAGGGCGGGGCAGGGTCGAAAGCGGTTCCCTCGCGCTTGCGAGCCTTACGGCCGCGCTTCGACGGACTCCTTTGCGACTGCGAGTAGACGTCGTCCTTGTTCTTCTCGCCCTCGTACGGGTTGTGCCAGGCGTACGAGCGAGGATCGGCGCCGACATGCCATTCGCCAGCGAGAAGGCGCGCGCCGAGTGCTTCGAGAGACGGCGCAGCTCGACGCTTTCGAGGTTTCCTCTTGCGCCCTCGCCTCGGTGCAGGGGCGTCCTCGTCGGAGTCGGCATCGCCTTGACGGGGCCGGAGGTAGGAGAAGTGGAGGGGCGGCTGGTCTTCAGTCGCCGGCTGAGGCTGATTTGGGGCAAGTGTCGGCTCGTCGGGCTCGACTGAGCGAGGCAGCAGGACCTGCAAGCCCGTCCAGAGGTCTCGACGAAGGCTCGTCTCGTGACAGTCCGCCTTTCGCTCGCCATCCTCGTCTTCCTCCAATGCTAGCGAGGTTGTCGGGAGTTGACAGGAGAACTGCTGCTGGCGTCCTCGCTCGTGCAGGTCGATATGGGCTGTCGCGAGACTTGCGAGACTGTCGGCGAGCGGGAAGGGGTTGGCAGGGTTGCGAGCGGATGATGTGTAGGCGCTCTGGCGAGGAAGAGGTCCAACAGTCGGCGAGAGAGACTCGGACGATTGAGTTCGATTGGTTGAGTCGAGCTTGAGGCGCGCGAGGCGGATCAGTTCGAAGCTGGGAGGCGAAAGTCAGCGTCTACAAAGATGGCGAATGCTTGCGCACTACTCACCCTGTCAAGCCTCCGACGTCTCCTTCGACATTCGTTGCCATACAGTCACCTAAGAGTCGTCCAGCCTCGTCGAGCACCTTGTCAGGCGCCTCCTCCTCACCCTCCCTTTCGGCATGCGCAGAACCCCCGAGCACCGACGCCTGCAGCATGTCGCGAAGCTGAACGACGCGACAAGAGCGTAGCTGAGACTCGCTTGGTCGATCCTGAGGGAGCTGACGGCGCCGGGCCTCTTCCGCCTCGTCCGCGAGCATCTGCACATCCTCGCTCCAGACCCGTCTGACTTCCGCTTCGCCGTCGCCGGTAGTTTCAAACGCTGACGATAGCTCAAACGCATGGACATCGCCTCGAGTGCCGACCTCCAGAACCTGCCAGCTCCGTGGCGGGCGGGCGGAACCTTCGAGCCGACGTCTCTGTGCGGGCGCTTGCAGGTCTTCGTCATCCGAGTCGGAACCGTCGACGTCCATACAATCCTCCGCAGGCTGTGCGCCGTCATTGGCCGAAGCGGGACTTGGAGTCGGAGTCGGCAAGATGGACAGTCCGGCTCGAACGAAAGATGGCGAGGGCGGCGGGTTGTGGATGAAGTACGGGTCGAGCACCGAGCGTGGAGCATCGGTCGGACTGGCGTCGGTCGTCAAGACCTCAATTTGAGGATGAAGGCGAGAGTGTAGAGCGATTCGCTGGGTCGAGGGTGCGTCGTTGGCGTGAGGAGGAAACTCGAGGAGTGAGAGGGTATAGCCGGAACCCTTGCCCTCGATCCCCACGCGACCGTGCTGGCGTCGCAGGACCTCGCGACCAGGCATCCGCTCGTCGAGCCAGAGAAGGTCGCGGGTCGTGCAGATGACGTGAAGGCTGGTAGGCGGGGCGAAGGCTTCGGAGCGCGGGGAGGACTGTAGGAGGGAGGTGACGAGAGCGGGCGAGGTATCGCCGAAGGGAAGGTGAAGGGAGAGAAGGTCTTTGTCGAGCAGGGTGAGGGAAGCGGACGGGGACTGCGAGAGCAAGTACATCAGCGGATGCTTGCGTGCAATGATCCGCCCTGAACGCACTCGTAGATCATACAGCAGTACCTCATCCTGCAACGCAACGACCGCATCGCTCCCTCTCGCACCGCCCCATTCAACCCTCGCCATCCCGCTGTAATCGCCAATCCCCTTCTTCCTCCCACGCCGTAAACGAAAGACCTCTGGCCGTCCGCCGTTCCAATCCGTGTCACCTATCCGGCCGGACCCACGTACTCCCAAGCCCCAGCCAAACAGACTGCCTTCTGTATCGACGACGAGACCCGAACCGGGTCCGCCATCGTAAGGCGTATTCCCGCCGAAAGCGACGTCTGCAATCGGTCGACGGCCAAAGTCCAGGGCTGTGTAAGTGAAGCGTGAGAGGACGGGGGAAAGATGGGGAGAAGGTGGATCTGGCGGATGCGGATGAAGGTGGAGGAGGTCCAGGGAGGTGAGAGATCGGACAGCGAGCAATACTGTGGGTGTAGTCGAGAGTGGCGCGAGCTGAAGCTGTTGGATCGGCGAAGTTGCGGAGAAAAGCGGAGCATGCGAGGGAGCGAAGGCGATGCCAGCCGGTTCCGCATCCTCCGCATCACCGGCTCGTCCTTTCCCTTTCGCCGACTGCTGAGGTCGAGGTGCCGGGGTAAACGTGCCCCATCCAACTCCTGTAGCTCGACCGCCGGCCTTGTCGGCTGTCCGCCAGGCAACGCTTGTGCTCGTCCCGACACCTTGGTCGAGCGGAACCTCGAGTGCGGCGATCGCGTTACCCAAATTCGGGTTCGTCGGCTCGAAGGTGGAGAGGATGCGAGAAGTGGTGCGAGGTGGACGACTGCGCAGGACAGCGTTCAGGTGAATGGCGGGGTGGAGAGGGTCGTTCGGCAAGTTGGCGTGCTGCGACGGCAATGTCAGCGTGGACCCGTGCCAAGCTCACTGTGGAACGCACCAGTTGGCGGAGAATCGTTCCATCAGGATTGTAGCGAAAGGGATCGCCAGTGAGGTCGACCGTTTCTGCTTCGTCTCGGTCGTCCACAGTCGCGGGGAAAAGCTGCGACCCGCTGCCGCGTTTGACATGCAGCCTCAAGTCTGTCGGAGAGCTCGAGATCTCAGAATGTGAAGAATGCTCCGAACTGAGCGAGCTGGACAGACCTTCGTGCTGGGCAACCATCGTCTCGCCTCGAAACCCCGTCGACTCTCCTTCATCGTCTCGCTGGACACTCAGGCGCAATTCGACATCCATCCCAGGGACCAGCGTCATCGATTCCGACCACCTCTGCACCGTGTCGTCCGCCGCGCTCGTCCAAGCTGAGTTGAGGGAAGGAGGAGGAGGGTAGCGGCAAGGTGAGCCGGTCTGGGCGCAGGCCAAGCAAGGGTACTCTCCATCGCACGTCTGCGCCGTCAATGGGTCCTGCGAGCCTGTGTTGCGAGCCCAATGCCTTCATCAGCAAGTTGAGAGAAGGATCGGGGAAAGTGAGGGAGACTCACATCTACCGCACGCTGGACGGCTTGCACTGGCGCCAGATGCAAACATACGGCATCACGCAGCCTTCGAGCTCAAGCAGGACCAGTCACGAGCAGTCGAAAGCGGAGACGAGGATGAGGAGGAAGCGAACCCGCGCTGCTTGCCCTCGTACCGCTCGCCGCCGTACACTAGATGCGCTGATGGAGACGCAGAATGGCTTGAAGCAGTACTCTGACAAGACGCGAAGGTACTTCGACCTGCTCGACCCGCCCGCTCCCTCGCCAGACCCGCCCTCGACGCGACTCTCTCAACTTCGCAAGGTCCGTCGCGCGGCTCTCTTGCGTCGGGACGATGGCTTGACTGAGTTGCTCGCCTACACAGCTTATCTTGCTAGAGGGCTTGCCGCAGGGAGACGAAGGCGTCGAGGTCAGGCCTCTCGTCTGGAAGCTGCTTCTTCAGCTGCACGAGCTCCCTGCTGGCTATGGCGGGGATCTGCATCCTCTACTCGACTGCGACGGCTACCAGGACCTGATGTGCGTCCAGCTTCGGCGCTCTCTGGCATGCAGCTCGAACTGAATGCGCTCGCGCCGTTCCCTCGCCCAGCTCCCGCGACCCGTCGCCCATGTTCTCCAAGATCCGCAACGACACGTTCCGGACTCTTGCAACCGACAAAGAGTTCATGGAGAAGGTCGGGGAGGAGAAGCTCGTCCGGTGTCTCGAGGCTTTCGTTTGGCGGCAACTAGGTGGGCCGACTCACTCGCTCATCTAATGCAAAGTGACTGACCGGTCTGACTGGCAGATAACGCTGAGCATGTCGAGCACGATGCGGGCGAGCCGCAAGTACCCTACGTCCAAGGCCAGAACGTCCTCGCCGCGCCATTCCTCTACGTCTTGCCCTCGCAACTCGAGGCTTTCGCTTGCTTCACGACCTTCATCGAAACGCAAGTCCCGCGATATGTCCAGCCCACGCTTGTAGGCGTGCACGACGGCCTTCAGGCGAGTCTTCCAGCCGTGGCTTGAAACGCACTTCTAGCCTGACCTCCGTCACCCGAGCAGCTCGTCGACCTCTGCCTTGAAGCGATCGACCCAGTTCTCTTCAAGCACCTTCTCTCTTTCAATCTTAGCGCCGAGATCTACGCCTTCCCCTCGATCCTGACATTCTGCGCCGCGACTCCACCTCTCCGCGAAGTCCTCGAACTGTGGGACTTCTTGCTCGCCTGGGGCGTCGGCTTGAACGTCTTGTGTGTCGTGGCCCAGCTGTATGTCATGCGGGATGACTTGATGCAGAGCAAGGCGTGAGTCGTCGTTTGCGACCATTTCGCGCCGTTTCCTGTCTCCCTCAGAGTCTCCCGCTGATTTGATGGCTCTACAGGCCCATGAAGATGCTCCGAACGTTCCCGCCGCTCAAGAGCAGCGAAATCATCCCACTCGTCGTCCAGTTCATCGGAACTCTTCGCGCCGACCTCTACGACGCGATTGTCCGCCATCCTTGGGACGCTACCCTTCGCCTGCCTGATCACTGAGATTCCTACAGCGCTCAAGCAGCATTGAAGACCCGCAGGCAGCCAGTCTACGATGCCCTTTGATCCCCTTCTTTCGTTTCCTCATTTCGTCCCGCAACCTTCGCGCCTTTCGCCGTCTTCGTCCTGTTGCTGTCATTTCTACTGCATTGCAAGCCCTCCGAAGCGTTACTAGCCTGCCTTGAGGCCAATGACCGAATCCAACACTGGACACCGCCTCTCTTGCTCTTGCCACCCGCTCGCTCGCTCACACACAACGATGGGGCTGCACTTCAAAGGCGAGAAGCCTATGAAGAAGACAAAGAGCAAGTCGCGCTCGACTGGCGGGCCCGCAAAGGATGACCCGGACGCCCACCTCGAAGGATGGATCCCCGCTCCTTCGCCTGCTCTCCTGCTCGGCCCGTCGTATTTGACGCTGCCAGCGACCGACCTGACGCCCGCTGTGTGCGTCGCACTCAACCCGACCACCGGCAAAGTCTACCCGCACGTCCTCCCGTCCGCTGGAACCGAATCCTCCGCCGCCGCCCTCTCTCGCGCAACCTCCTCAGCCGCCCAGCTCGCCTCGCTCGACCCGGAGGAACTCGAAGCGCTCGTTGACCCAACAGACGCGGCCGCTCTTGGTCTCTCGGCGACGGAGCACTCGGAACCGAGCGATGTCAACCATGTCTGGGTGTGCGCACGCATCCCCGACACGAACGACAAGGTCACGTTCAGGTCGGGAGGAGGGAAATTTCTGGCTTGCGACGAATACGGGAGGGTTAGTGCCGAGAGGGAGGCGCGAGGAATGCAGGAGGAGTGGACTCTCGAGGAACCCGCTAGCGGGAAGGACGGCGCCGGCTCGGGCAGGATGGTCATCAAGAGCGCTTACGGGAAGTACTTGAGCGTCGACATTGTCGCGGGAGGCAAGGTGGAACTGCGAGGAGACGAGGAAAAGGAGAGTTCGACGGAACGGTGGAGGTTGATGATGCAGGGAGAGTACGTCGTCAAGGCGAAGAAGCAGTACAACGACCGGAACGGCATCAAGACGGTCGCCGACACGGGCTACACTGTCGTGACGGACCTCGCCGGAGCCGAAATCGACGCGATGTGCGTTGGCATCCTTTCCTCTTCAGAGAGCCAGGGTGCTGACTGGGCCCGCGTTTACAGCAAGAAGTACCACCACCACGGTCGCGGGTCAGACGCAGTTGGGACGGAGGAGGACAAGCGCGCACTCAAGAAGGCGAGGAAGGAAGGGAAGCTTGCGGAGGCGATGCTTGACCGGCGTGCCAAGCTCAAGAGGTGCGTCGGACCAATTCTTTCAGCTGTCGAGGCGATACTGACTGCTCTGGTACTCGCAGCGATCGATACTGCTGAATCGAAGATGAGTTCTGTGCTACCCTGTTGTCCTTGTACCTGCAAAGCAGCCATGTTGTTACGCTTCCCGCGCAGTTCTGCCCCTCAAGGAGCTCACGAGAGTCTGCGACGGAAGCTGCGAACTTTTGGCCTGCAGCGAGCGAGGATGAAGTACAACATGCGCCTTCGCCCCGAACGCGTTCACACCAAACCCTGCCGCTTGAGGTCCTCGTACGTCTGCGAGTGGAAGCGCGCAATCAGCAGAGTGTTAAGGAGGAGGAGAGTGAAAGAAGCGCACCTTGCGGTTGTAGACGTTGCCCTCCTCGTCCTCGAGCTCCTCCGTGAGCTCCGCCTGCGACAACTCGGCGCGGCCCTCCTGCTTGAGCTTCTCCGCCACTGCAACGAGCAAGTGAGCACAGTCGAACAGACAAGCAAGCCGGGAGTGGCGTGAGGGACTCACAAGCAATCGCATCCTCGATCTTGGTGATCTCGTGGAAGTGCTTCGTGTTGGGCAAGCCCAACGCGCGCATGCCGAACGCATGCCGGGATTCCTGGAAGTGACGCTCGAAGTTCTTGCTGCAGTCGAGAAAAGGCGGAAGTGTCAGTCATCTCGCTGGACGGCGGAACAAGGGATCGCTTTCACGCACCGGCCCTGGTAGACGTGGTCGGAGCAGATCTCGCACTTGTACTCGACGCCAAGTCCGTGCAGCTTGTACAGCCAGTACGGGATGGGCTTGCCGTCCCAACCGAGCGGGAGCTTGAGCGGATTGTAGATCCGGCCTTCGTCCTCATCCTCGTCGTCTCCTGCTCCATTCGCCGGGCCGTTCTTCGACTGCGCCGCAGCGGCGGCAGCTGCTGCCTCAGCCGCCTCGCGAGCCTCCAGCTCCTCGATTTCGGCAGCGCGCTCCTTGTCGGTGAGGGCTGCTCGTCGCTCGGTGTTGGCGAGCGTGTCGGTGAGGATTTGTGCGAGAGGTCCGGGAGGCGTGGCAGTCGAAGAGAGGAGTGAAGTGATGAGAGATTCCTTCAGCGCGATCGCGCGGTTCTTTTGGTGCCGCAGGGCGGCGAGGCTCGAGGAGGAAGGCGCGGGAGAGGCAGAATCGGCGGAAGAGTCGGCGGCAAGCTTGGCAGCTGCCTTGACATGCTTCTTGCCCGTCAAGTGCGCCGTGTAGACCGACTCCTTGGTAAACGACTTTTGGCCTGTGCGCGGAGTGAGGAGTCAATACTAGAAGATAACGGGCAAGAAAGAGCCCGGACGCACATGCTGCACACCAGATGCCCTCGCTCTCCTTCTGCTGCTCGTCCTCCTCCGCTGGCTGCGCCCAGCCTGGCACCTGGCCCGCCTCCCATCGCCGCGCAAAGTCATCGTCCGCCGCCTTGAGAACGGTGTCGAGGTCGCCGAGCGGGAGCACGCGCTCGTAGAAGTTCGAGAGGTAGGAGAGGAGATTGGTGAGGTATTTGGCATAGGCGGGAGATGACTTGAGCTGAGGGGAGAGGGAGAAGTTGGTGACGGCGCCGAGGTACTGGAGGTAGGTGTAGCGTTTCCACCCGCCTGCGCTCGCCTGCCCGCTCGAGGAGGGAGGCGCCAAGTTGTTCCACTCGTCGTGCAGCTCATGCAAGTCGAGGTACCGGCCGAGCGCCTCCTCGCCCGTGAACTTCTTGTCGAGCCATTCCGCGTCTCCGCCCTCGAGCGCCGCAAAGTCAACCTCGCGGTCTCCTCCCACGCGCACGTTCGTCGCAGTCGGGTACTTGCGGTGGTAGTCCTTGACCTTGGCGAGGCGCTGGTAGAACTCCGCGAGGTCTCCGCCCTGTGCACCTCCGCCCGACAGCGCGTCAATTTCGCGGTTCCGCTCCTCGTTCGACGGCTGCAGTGAGCCGTAGAGCGCGTCTGACCGGTCGACGATGCGGGTGAGGAGGTCGGATGCGCGGTGCGTTGTTGCGAGACGGTCGCGGTGGGTGATGACGGGCGCTTGGAGGGTGAGGAGGAGAGATGTGAGAGACCGCTCGAACAGATCTGCGTCCTCTGCCAGCCCGCGCGCGTCCTCAATCACCGACGAGGCCATCCTGGCGGTGTGTCGGGCGAGTCGAGGAGGAGGACGTCAAGCAGCGGGATTCGCGCGGCGGGGCAAATCCGAGTGGATGTGTTGGGGTCGAAGGTAGCCTGTGAGCCCCTAGCAGCAGTTCCTGGCCTCAGCAAGCGAGTTGGCCGGTGTTGTCCTGGTCGAAGGTGGCGAGGTGAAGGTCTGCTTCCTGCACCACCGCTTCGCTCGCTCCAGGCTTGCTTGTGCTGCTAGAACTTTTGTACAAAGCAGCAAACACACGCAGCCATGTCGGTGAGTCGCTTGCGCCGGTCGAACTGGTGGACTCCTTCCCCCCGCCCATCCCATCACCGCCAGCTTCTCCGCCGCCTCGACACAGCGCTGCGGGACGATTTACGCTCGTGAAGGTGGTTTAAATGGGTTAAGGAGGCTGCTGCCCGGCTGCGGGGCCTTTTGGCGCGGTCTTCAGTGGATTCTGCACCTCATCAGGCGACTGCAAGGACGAGGACTGACACACTTGCCGCGCTCGCAGATCGACGCAGCAAAAGACTCTAAGCTCGTGTTTGAGACGTCCGAGTCGGTCACGGTTGTGCGTATTGTCCCCTGCCGTGGTACACAGCGGATCAGCCTCACCATCCCCCTCGTGCAGGCGCCGACTTTCGATGCGCTCGGCTTGAAGGAGGACCTGTTGCGCGGTATTTACGCATACGGTGAGTCGGGGCAGGCTTTGCCGGTCAGTCCGTCGAAGCTGACCTACGTTTTCCTGCAGGATTCGAGAAGCCTTCCGCCATCCAGCAGCGTGCCATTGCGCCCGTGATCAAGGGTCGCGATGTCATTGCGCAGGTGTGTAGGGGTGTTGCAGACGTCCCAGAACTTCGGCTAACCACTTCTTCGCAGGCGCAATCCGGAACCGGTAAAACCGCCACCTTCTCGATCTCTATGCTCCAGTCCATCGACTCGTCCGTCCGCGATACCCAAGCCCTCGTTCTCTCTCCAACGCGCGAGTTGGCGACGCAGATCCAGAGCGTCGTCCTCGCCCTCGGCGGTGAGTTTGCGTGCCCTGGAAGGTTTCCCTAGCCTGTCTGACTTTCGCCCCGCGCAGACTACATGAACGTCTCCTGCCACGCCTGCATCGGTGGAACGTCGATCGGCGAGGACATCCGCAAGCTCGAGCACGGTCAGCAGATCGTCTCAGGCACGCCTGGTCGCGTCTTTGACATGATCAAGCGCCGGCATCTCCGCACCCGCAACATCAAGATGCTCGTTCTCGACGAGGCCGACGAGCTCTTGAACCGCGGCTTCATGGACCAGATCTACGACGTCTATCGCTACCTTCCTCCCCAGACCCAGGTCGTCGTCCTCTCCGCCACCCTCCCTCACGACGTCCTCGAGATGACGACCAAGTTCATGACTGACCCCATCCGCATCCTCGTCAAGCGTGACGAGTTGACGCTCGAAGGCATCAAGCAGTTCTTCGTCGCCGTCGAGAAGGAGGACTGGAAGTTTGACACCCTGTGCGACCTCTACGACACGCTCACCATCACCCAGGCCGTCATCTTTTGCAACACGCGCCGAAAGGTCGACTGGCTGACGGAGAAGATGCGCGAGGCCAACTTTACCGTCTCGTCGATGCACGGCGAGATGCCTCAGAAGGAGCGCGATTCGATCATGTCCGAGTTCCGCTCTGGCTCGTCGCGCGTCCTCATCACGACGGACGTCTGGGCGCGCGGTATCGATGTGCAGCAGGTGTCGCTCGTCATCAACTACGACCTTCCCAGCAACGTAAGTCCGGGCGCGGGGGCCTTCCTTCCTTCTTCCTCCTTCTTCTTTGTGTTGACTCTCCTTTACATTCACAGCGTGAAAACTACATCCACCGCATTGGCAGGTCGGGCAGGTTCGGCCGCAAGGGTGTCGCGATCAACGTGCGTCGGCTCGTCTTGCTCCTGCCTGTCCTCGACTTGCGCTGACTTTCTTCACATCCAGTTCGTTACCAACGATGATCTCAAAGTGCGTACACTGCTCTCTGCTCACTCAAGGGCATACTGACGTTCTCTGCACCGAACTTCCTCGAAACCCGCCCAAATTCGCCCTCCTCGACGTCTCCCTCTCTCCAAACGCCGCGCGCTTTCTTCTACCACGTGCTAACTGCGCTATAAGGTGCTCCGCGATATCGAGCAATTCTATGCAACACAGGTACGATCGTTAATCTGCCTCCTCGACGCTCTCGAAGCGTTTCCTGCCGCTTGGGCGGCGTCCAGGGCCCTCATCGCGCTTCTTCTGGTCTGAGACGCCATACTGACGTTCTCTCGTGCTCTACAGATCGACGAGATGCCCGTCAACGTGCAGGAGGCGCTTTAGGGGTGCGCAGAAAAGGCCTCGTTGGTCAAGGTCGTCGAAGGGAGTCGTCCTTTCGCTCGGATATCGTGCTGTCGCTTCTCCCCGTTCTCTTCCGTTTCACTACTGTTTGTAAAGTATAGCTTCGCGTACTCTGCGGGTGTGATACGAAAAGCGCGAGAGGCGTTGGCTTGCGAGGCGGCTGAGCGGTGGAAAGGAAGCCGTTGACTTGGCGTTGCATCGCTTCGTAGTGCCTCGCACATGATTTAGACGCAATCGTAACGTTGACAATGCACCGAGGGCGAAGAACAACACCCGCAAACGCTACGAACGCTAGAACTCCGACTCGTACCGGATCCCGATCCTCGCGAACGCCTCCCTCACGTCCGCCTGACTGCCTTCATCAAGACCGTCAACAACTTCGAACTCGCGAAGGAATGGCGCCAGTTTGACGAGTTCCTCGTAGTCGTTCAGGGACTGGTACTCCCACAACCGTCGAACTTGAGGCTCGTGAGGTTCGGGTACGTCGTCAGGATATTCTCGAGGAACTGCGTGCTTTGTACGTAGTCCCAATGCGTACCTACCGTTTCCCAGCCTCCTCCTCCTCCGACGCCGTACTCAGCGATCAATTCGTCGGCCCGAGCGTCAGCGAGGTATTCGTACATGTCCTTCTCGTGCGAGGCAATGCCACGCAGCTCGAAGAATGTTGGGTCCCATTCCTCAAGGAGCTCGATGCTGTTTTCAGGCCCCCGCACCTTGTAGATCTCAACCCTCCGGATTTCCTCGCACAGATCATCGTCATTCAGCGAACGCTTGTAGTGGCACGCAGAGGTGGGCACTTCGACGATTTCCGACTCGTCATGTTCGGTGCGGGCTAGTATAATGGGAAGCGCAGGCAGGCTGCCACGTTCGGGAAGAGCGATCTGGCGAATTCGGCGAGAAACTCGAGAACAGGCGTCGAAGTCGTTCCAGCTGAGGTGGTCGTAAGAGATGATGGCAGTGAGAATCTCGGTAGGAAGACGTTCCTGCACGACGCACGCGTAAGCGGGGTGAGGCAGAACAAGGTCAGTAGAGAGCGGGCGTACGAGGCGAGAGAGCGCAGCGAGGTCGATAACGTCGTCAGTCGGGATCGCCTGTGAACCTGCGTCATCTTCGATCAGTACTGAGCAGCCTTGGAAGCCTCGCGAGGGCGCGCACCTTGGTCAACGGGCTCCTCCCCCTCATCAACCGAACGAGGCGAAGGCCAGTCTTGCTCGGTGAGAACACTCGAAGACGCGTCGCGAGCAGCCATGGCGTGTCAAAAAAGATCAAGGGACAGTGTAGCGAGGTCAAACAAGCGTGCGAGCGGGAAGAGGTGAGCGGGAGGAGGCGAACCAGCGTTCCGACTTTGCGAAATGCGAAAGGCTCCCTCGCTTTGCGCTGTCCGCTCTCTAGAAGTTAGACTTACAGACGAAGTGTGCTGCGATACAGGCGAGGGAAGAAGCGCATTGCAGACAGGCCAACGCCGTCTCAGTACTTCAGCGGAATGAAGCGAATGCCCTCCTCCTCCAGCGCTTGTCCCAGCTCCTCCTCGGCAGACTGGTCGGAAGAGTCCTTGCCATCTTCGGGTCCGCGTCCGCGCTCGGCTCTGGTTGCAATGGTCATCACCTCGCGAAGATTCGGCAGACACTCGACCAAGTATTCGACGCTGTCTGCGGTAGAGAAGTACTCGCACCCCTCAAGGCGGAGGCTGCGGACATTCGGAAAGGCGTTGAGGATGTCGGGCAAGTAGTCGGCTTCGTCCTCACCGAGCGACTCCTCGCAGAGCAGGTCCTCGGCAAGCTGCTCGTACGCGTGTATCGGGGCCCTGTCCTCGTCCTCGTCGTCTTCCTCTTCGTCGTCGTAGCCACGCCAGGCGAAAGTGCTTCGCCACGGCCCAACTCGAGCCCCTGGCCGGTCCAAGGGAGATCTCCAGGCGACGGACCTTGGCGCCGTACGCGCGATGCCTTCGAGCGTGCGCCCAGCAGCCGCGCGAGGATGGCGCCTCGACCGTCCAGCTATACCGTCCCGAACCAGATATAATTGATATCTCAACGGGTGGTGCCGCGCCGCGCTCAGGAAGAGCGATCTGGCGAAGGCGGCGAGAGACTGGAGAACAGACGTCGAGGGCTGGCCAGGTGAGGTAGTCGAACGAGATGATGGCAGAGAGAATCTCGGTAGGAAGGCGTTCCTGCAAACGGGGAGTAGGCATGAACGCCGCAACGGCCGCGACAATAACGAGAGAGCACGAAGGGGGGGCGTACGAGGCGAGAGAGCGGAGAGCGGCTAACAGGTTCGCGATTAGCGCTCGCATGTGGATCTGCGTCATCTATGATCAGTGCTGAGAAGCTTTGGAAGCCTCGCGAGGGCGCGCACCTTGGTCAACGGGCTCCTCCTCCTCATCAACCGAACGAGGCGAAGGCGAGTCTTGCTCGGTGAGAACACTCGAAGACGCAGCGCGAGCAGCCATGGCGTGTCAACAAAAGATTAGAGACCCGTGTAGCGAGGTCAAGCAAGCGTGCGAGCGGGAAGAGGCGAGTGGGAGGAGGCGAACGAAAGAGACGGGTCCTGGCGAAGACCTTCACGCTCTGCGCGCTTGACGGCACTGCGAGAAGAGAACGAGCGCTGCACGTCTGCTGGAGGTCTGTCAGGCCCTCTCTGTCGATGTTCAGACCCGAGAAGCGTGGACGAGTGGCTCCCCAAAGCGAAGAGGAGGAGAAAAGGAATGCTACGTTGCGAGATGTCGTATAAGGCTGCTGCAATAGTACGAGGGAGGCAAGAAAAAGAGGAAGAAGACGAAGCGAACAGGACGAGACAATGAGAAGAAACGAGGAAAGGCAGGTGAAAGGAGGGTGGATCCCGCGCTGCGAGCCTGAGCCGCGCGCTGGGTTTGGCGAAAGTGAAGGCAAGGTCGATGGAGGGCAATACGGGCTAGGGATGGGGGTATCGAGGGCGCCTTGGCGGGCGGAAACGGGCACAGCTCGTTCCAAGAGGTATCTAGACGGGTATCGAGAGGTCGTGAAGTCGAGCTAAGGGGCTCATTGCGCGGCGTGAGCGGCGGCGCCGATGACGTTGCCCATCGCGAGGACGAGCTGCGAGATGTTGTCGAGGTTGCCGCCGACTGCGGTCGCGGGCATCGAGGGCGAGGCGGCCGCAACGCTGGCCGACTCGGAGGCCGACGCCGAGTGCGACGCGGTCGAGAGCGCCGACGAGGTCGAGTTGGACGATGACGAGAGCACCGAGGAGGAGGACGAGGCGCTGCTCGTCGTGCTGCTGAAGCGAAAAAGGGTCAGTTGCGGGGACGAGCGCTCCCCGAAAATGCGAGACTCGCCTGGTGGTCGTCGTCGTGGTGGTTGTGGTAGTAGTAGTCGTGGTCGTAGTTGTGGTAGTCGTCGTCGTCGGGCTGGGCGACCACGTCGTCGGAGGCGGCGTCCAAGTCGTCGTCGGCTTGTCCGAAGTTGTCGTCGGAGGCGGCGGCGGCTTGGTCGTCGTAGTCTGCTGGTCTCCGCCACCGCTCCCCGGCGACCAGGTCATGTAGAAGACGCCGACGCTCGGGCTGGCGAAGTACTGGAAGAGCGCGGGCGACATGTCGAGGCCGCCGTAGGGGCATCCTGCGGGGCACAGGCGAGGTCAGCGAGAGGTTCTACGAAGACGAAGACGAGCAGGCGAGACGCACCTGGGCAAGCGTCGAGGATTTGGGCCTGTGGGAGAGAAGGTCAGCGAGAGTCGAGCCAAAAGTCTGTGAAGCGTGCTCACCTGTGCGCTCTTGCCGCCTACAGGAGACGTCGAAGCACACAGCAGAGTGCGTCAGCGCTGCAAGTACAGCGGGTAGAGGAGAGACGACGGCGCACCGTACGAAATGGTGATCGTCTGGAAGCACCACTTTGAGACGGCGCCCAGGTCTCCGTACTGCGCCTCATTCAGCGCCACCATCTGCACAGCGTAGGGTTAGCCTCTTGTGCCCCAGATGACGCCGCAAAGCCCGCCAGCTCTCCAAGAAGGTCGAGGCGTCTCGGCGCGTCCCAGAGTTGCGGGTTCGTCCAACATGCGAGAAAGTGTCGGACGCACAAAGTCTGACGACGAGCTGTGTGTCCCGCAAGCGCCCAGTCCCGGGTCAAAGAACGTCGCCCGGCCGCTGTAACCCCCACGCTTGACGAGCGTCTTGTTGCCCCCCTCGACGAGGTCGCCGTCGAGAGTGGAATTGCGGACGACAAACTCGCCGTCGCGGAAGTCGAGGTCAATGACGGGCTGTGCGTCGGGTTGTTCGGCAGGCGTGCGCATCACCCGGTCGAAGCGGCGGTGGTGTGCGACGCTGCCGAGCCCGTGGGAGGAGGACCCGACTGAGGCGGCTGCTGGCGTCGACCCGAGCGAGAGGGCGGCAGCGGCGATGAGAGGGAGGGTCAAGGAGCGCATGGTGGGTGTCTGTGTCCCTCGAAGGAGGCTGGCGAGGCTGCTGTCGAGGTGTCGAGGCGGGGTGGGCGATGAGGACGTCGAGAGGAGTGTGTGTCGTCCGTCACTCGCTGGGAGTTGGCCTGGGTTGTCGGACTGTCCTGTGTGAGTCTAAACGAGTGTACGGAACTGCAGCAGCGTCCAAGCAAGAGAGCCAGCGGGTGGCAGCGAGTCGGGGACAAACAAGAGGAGGCCTTGTGCTCCTCGCTGACGACCCTCGCCTCGACTGCACCCTTGCACCCACTCAGGAGCTCAGTTGAGGACCCGCAGATGCCGCTCCAGTGTCGGCTAGCCGCTGCGTCCAAGTCTCGCTCGCTGGCGACCTCTGCTCGACGCGCTACACGGCCTCCTCTTCGCATGTTGAAGGACGTTCCCTCGCTCTTCAACGGCTTTGGGCGGACTGATGATTGGCTTATCGGGGTCAGAAGGGCTTACAGGACATTCTGAGAAGAAGGCGTGCGAGTCGCACTGCTGAGGAGCACACAAGGTGGTCCGCTCTCCTCGAACCTGTTCCTCCCTTCCCTACTGCTCCGCTCGTTTGCTGCGCGGCACTGCCTTGACCATGAACGAAACGAGCGGCTGCAACGTCGGCAGTCGGCCAAGAGCCCCAGAGAGGCTCATTCGCCTCCTGACAAGACTCGCCTTCGAACGCACAACGAGCTCTGTTGCTTGACGCGCCGCAGCTACTCCTCCATCGCCCCGCCGTCCTCCTCATCCTCCTCGTCCTCGTCGCCCTCCGCATCCCCCTCGTCCTCCACCTCCGCCTCAGCCTCCGCATCCTCCTGCTCCAACTGCTGCTGAATCCCCGCAACAGCATGGTGCACGTCCCGCCCGCCTTGGTCCCATTGAGATTCGATGGTGGAGGCGAAGAGTGAGCCGTAGCGGTCGGTCAGGTCGGAGAGCGGCGGGCGAGGCGCGGACGAGTCGGCAGAGGAGGGGAGCGAGAGGACGGATTCCTTCAGGACGTTCTGTTGCAACGTTGGTCAGACCTCGTCGACAAAGGGTATGCAGACGCGCCGCTCGAGAGCGATGGATCCACAGTCACTCCAGGGAGGACAAGAAGCGGACTCACAAAGATCTCCCGCACGACGTCCTGCCTCTCTCCCTCGTACGTCTCGTCCTCCCGCTCAATCATCTCTCCCAGGGGCTTCAACCCTCCACCAATCCACTCCCTAACCGCCTTGTTCCCGCCCCCGGTCCCACCCGTCGCCGGCTCCGCTCCAACACCAACCACAATCCCGCTCAGTCCACGCGCAGCGCCCCACCGCGCTCCCAGTCCGCGATTCTCGCCTGCCAGACCGCGGAGGAGAGTCTTCGTCACGCGCGGGAGGAGAGAAGGGTAAGCGTAGGCGTGACGTTCGAGGAGGAGGTGGAGGAGCGAAGCGGCGAGGGTGCGGATGGTGGGTGGGGAAGGGTAGGTGTCGGAAGGGACGGGAGGGAGGGCGGAGGTAAGGAGGCAGGTGAGGATGGGCGGAGTGAGCTGGTGAAGGTATGGCTCGACGAAGAGCGTCGGGTTTTCGAGCATCGCGTGGAAGAGGTCGAGTGCGCGCTGGAGTGCTGGCAGGTCGTGGAGGTTGTTGGCGATCTGAGAAGCGAGGACAGGTTAGTCTGCGCCGAGAATTGAGGGAATTGACGGGCAGACTCGCCTGCTCGCCGCCCCAAGCGATGAGGTACGGCACAAGCTGATGCAAACCCGGGTCGTGCCGGACACTTCCCAGCGCCGCCTCCCTGACCTCCGAGCTCGACTCCGTCGCTCCTTGAGTGCCCGCGCCGAGTGCGTCGACAAGCCGGGTAAAGTAGAGTTGCAGCTCGCGCGACAGGACGTGCTTGACGAGAGGAGTGACGGCGGAGGGGGGTTGGCCGGCGGCTGATGCTGCGGAGGGGATGAGAGCGGTGGATGCGGGTTTCGGTGCGTAGCGTGCGAGTTCTGCAGAAAGGACACGGATCAGCTTTGAGTAAGAGGCGATTTGAGCGGCGGACGACTGGCCTTGCGGCGTCGGGTTCTCCTTGATTAGAGGCTGAACGCCCTCGATAGCGAGCCAGTGGGCTGCATAGGAAAACAGTAAGCTGGGCTGAACCAAGCGGAGAAGGGGAAGCAACGCACCGGTGAAGCTGATGTCCCTCGGTACACTGGGAATCTCCGTCTTGATGACCTTGCTCAGGTCGACCTCCTCGTCCTCCACATGGTACACCGTCCCTGTCGCCGTGACAGTCTTCTTGAACGGCATCTGCGACGACGACGCGAAGCCCCAGAGCGGTTCGAGGTTGCGGACCTTGAGAGCCTGGTCGACGTCCTCCACCTTTAGCCGTGTCCGCCGCGCATGCCGCATAAACTTCATGCTCTCCTGCACGCATGCGAGTCCGGTAAGTACACGAGATGCGCCTTGTGAGCGGGAGGAACGCACCTCGATAATCTCCCACAACCGGTACTCGACATCGCCCGCCAGCGCTCCAGCCACCTCGTCTGGCAGGTTTGCGATACCCACAGACTCGGCCACATCCTGTACCGGGCGAACAAGCGTGAGTTGACAGAGTACAGGTCGGGTCGCCCCGTCGAGTGATGAGGATCGCAACGAGGTGAAGGCGCACCTTGACCGAGTCCTTCTTCCACACTCCGCTCACTGCGGACGTCTGTCGTGCCATTTTGCACCTGACAAGCGCAGTTAGGGCCGATGTGAGCGAGCGGTGCTGGCGAGAGATTGAAACCCCTCCCGCTTCCTCCTCCAGCTCACTGTATCCGGCTCTACGGCTTGTTCTGCTTGCTGGGCGGGCTCTGAGCGCTCGATATGGACACCGGCTACTCGCCGCACGACTCGCACGCGGCAGCCGCTGCTCCAGACACTTCCCGACGTCAAGAGCGCTCCCCACCCCTCGTCCCGCTTCCTGCACAGGCTGGGGGCTACCATCACGAGGAGCGGGAAGCAGAAGTTCAGCGAGGATCGTATGCGGGCGGCGCAGAGCGGGCGAGCTATCCAGGCGATGCATACGGCCGACCTCCTGCTGGACAGCCTTCAGTCGCAGCGTACTATGTCCGTCCGCCTGAGGATCCTTACCGACGGTACCCTCCAGCTCCTTCACCGTACGACTACCCGCCTCGAGCCGACTACTACAGCGCCAGCGCAGCTCCTCCTCCCCCTCCGGCAGATTACTATCGACAGCCCGCCCCTCCTGCACCGTACCGCGACCCATACAGCTACCCTCCTCGAGGTCCCTACGAGCAGTCATACCCGCCACGGCAGGCGAGCTACCCTGCCTATCCGCCTCACACGCCATCTCGCGATTTGTATCCCGGTCGCGACCACTACACACCGTCGACCTCCTCTTCATATCCGCCCCGCGACGCCCTTCCGCCTCGAACCGAGTCTCTCGATGCCTCGAAACCCTACGACCTCGGTCCTCACCCCGACCCGAACGCCCTGTCTATCCCGCTCCTCTACCTCGCCCGCGTCATCTCGCTCAAGACCTTCACCGCCCTTCAGCCCAAGTTCGCCAACCTCGACCTTCGCTTCGTCTACTCGTTGCTCGACTTGTCGTCCGAACTGCACGCAGCATCCACTGAGCCGCCTGATTCGCTCGGCGACAAGCGACGAGTCTGGATCACCGCAGTTGGTGGAACGGACTCGCTCGTCGCTCGCGTCAAGAGCAACACGCCCGAGGTGCTCGACTGGCGAGAGGTGGACGACTTGCAGGAGCTCGAGCGCGAGTTGGCGGAGGAGGACAGGAGGGTTGCGCTTGCGAGGGAGAAGGGCGGGAAAGAGGCGGACGACGAGAGGGAGCGAAGTCGGACGCTCGATGATGAGGAAGTTGAGCGGGAGAAGGGCAGGCGCGAGATTGAGGAGTTCGAGCGGAAGAGGCGTTTCGGCGAGGCCGGCGGAATGAGGAGCGAAGCGGACGAGCTGGACGAGGTTCTCCGTGCCGTGCGCGGGGAGAGCACTGGGACGAGCCCCGCTTCTGGCGCTGCCACTTCGCCCTCTGTCCTGCCCTGGTCGGACGGCGCGCAGATGCCACCTCCGCCGCTGCAAGCCATCGACTTCGCTGCGCCTGTGCACCAGAACAGCACCGCGCGCCATGCATCGGAGGACGCACATTCGACCGATCGCACCGACAGTCAGTCCCCAAAGCGCGCGAGGAAGCGGTCGAGGCATGACAGCGACACGGTGCATGACGACGTGCGCTCTGCTCCCTTGACCCTTTCAAGGCCAGCGACTGACTGCAGTCCACTCGCAGGAGCACGAGAAGCGTCGAGCGCTGCGCAAGAAGCTAGAGGCTGTCTGCAAGACGCCGCGCCGGAGCTGCGCAGCATTCGCGGCCGAGCATGGCATCCCTGTCAACGAGGAAACTCGCCTGGCGGACGACGAGCCTCAGCTGGGCGAGCGTCACAGGGGCAACTGGGACCTCTTTGGCCAGGTGCGCGCGGTCCGCTGGTGGGGTTGTCGCGTGCGGAATTGCTGACCCGCTGGACTTGCAGGAGCTTGACGACGTCTCGCCCCAGATTCAGGTTCTCATGGCCCGAGCGATGCGCGACATCACCTACTCGCCTCGACTGCGCTTGTACGACCACCCAGAAGCGCTCGAAATGCTGCACGCGGCCGTGCCATGGTTTACGACTCTGCTCGACACGGTGCGTGCGGCGATCTCCCATCAGCTTGCCTGGCTCGAGCCTCCCTGACGGCGGTCAAGACGATACTGCAGATCAAGGACCGCTACGAGCTTGCTGGAGCGGCTTCCGTCGCGCCGCAAGATCCGCCTCTTGGCGACACTTTCGCTTTCCTGCCCGAGAGCAGCACTCAAGTTCCGACCCTCGCCTCACTCGCCCTCGCTACAGGCACTGACTCGGTCAGTGCGATGGCAACCGAAGCGCCACCACCTTGACATCAACAACGCTCTCCACGCCGTCCCGCCTGCTTTCGCTTTTCTCTCCAACCAGCCGTGCTATCCTTATCCGCCTCGAGTGCCGTTCAGGGCGACGAAGCCGCGTAATTAACATCTATGGACCTGTCCGCTACGCTTGCACGGTCTTAGCTGGGCTCTTCCGGCGGCAGGACCGCCTAGTGGGTGAGCAAGTGTCCCTCGTCGTTCGCCTCCGTAAGCTCCCTGCTCTCTTCCAACATGGGCCCCTTTCTCTCTCGCCGAGAGGCATCGAGTGGAGACAAACCAGCAAGGAGCGAACAAGCGTCCCAAAGTCGACTTGGTCGACTCGAGTCTCGAGACGGAGTTGGCCTCCCCCTCTCGTTGCAAGTCTGGGCGACGCACTCTGCTTTTTCTTCGTCCTTCACAATCTAGTAGAGTCTGTCGAACTGCAATCCAGACGTGTAGACCGGACGGCACCTTGAGCGCGCCCACGAACGCCTTTCGTTCTTCTTCAGTTTACTCGACGCCTCCCGCTCGACTGTCGCGTTCCAGGGCTCTTCCACAGCACGGCAGCAACACGAGGACGGCGCTCGTCCCACGCGGCGAGGCGCTCAACGGAGGCGTCCAGAACAAACGTTACATACAGCCTTTCGTATCTCCCGTCCTCCGCTGCGCTCGCAAAGGTTGACGGATCGTAAGCATCGGCGATATTCCTCTACGTAGACGGGCATGCATGGCGGACGAGCTAGAGGGGAGGACGAGGGCGTTCCGAGGGGTCGAGCGTGTTGCAATTCTTCCTCACCCACTTCGTCGCGCCCAGAGCGCCCAGAGCGACTCGCTAGCAGCATTATTGACCGACGCGCACTCATTGCAGCGGCCGTACCGTCCGCGGCGCGCCTGTTGCTCTCGTCTCGACCTCCTCACCCCGACCTGAGATGAGCGACCCTACCGCTCTCGCTTCCCTGCTGGCGCTGGGCATACCTCGGCAGAAGGCGATCTATGCGCTCAAGGAGCACGGTGGCGAGGTCGAAGCGGCGGCAGACTGGTGTCTTGGCGTGCGCTGCTTCTCCCTCCCTTGAGCGCCTCACACGAGGCTGACAGGCTGGCTTGCACAACAGGAAGGCGCAGACTGGACGCCCAACTCGCTCTTCGCCGCATCATTCGCTCCCTTACCGAACGCCCGCCGTTCTCCCTCTCCTCCCGGCCAGCGTCACCACCGAAGCCGTTCAGTCGACCACAATCCACCAGGCTGGACGCTCGTTCCGCACCGCCTGTTGACGCCTGGGACGAGCGTCGCCATCACGCTCAAGCAGGATCAGGGAACGGATCGGACGGTCGAGGGGGTTGTTGCGGAGCGACTGACGAGAGGGGACCATCCTCGAGGCGTGAAGGTCAGGCTGCAGGACGGGCGAGTAGGCAGGGTTGTGCGGATACTGTGAGGTCCCTTTCGAGGCGGGGCATAGCGCCGGTCGGTGAGGAAGCGGCTTTGTTGTACAACTACAGCAGTGAGGATGCGCAGACGAGTACTACAGAAACAGTGTCACCTTAGATCTGCGAAGAATAACGAATGTCAGCTCTTGGCATCGCTGTGTGAGGAGAATGAGCGCTTACGCGAACAAGGTAGGAACCGTTGGCCTTCGTCAGGTCTGCGGAGGGTGCAGGTCAGCAAGGCGTGCGAGGGGTGGACAGGTCAGGAAGCGGACGCACACCGGACCCACTGCAGAGGAAAGAAGGGGAAAAGGAGGCCAGCGCGTCAGCGAGCTTTCAAAGCGGGAGCGGAAACGAACGGCGACGCACCTTGACGCTCTGGTAGTTGCTCTTTTCAAACACCTTCAAGAACCGCACCAGGAGACCCGACGCCGTAAACATCAGGACCTGGAAGTCGACCGAGATGGGCGGGCGCGACCAGGCTTTCCGAACCGTCGTTTGCGAGAGCGAGGCTTCGGCTGTGAAGGTCGTGTCCGAGCCTCCTTGGAAGCGCGGGATCCTGCGAAACGTCGCACGCATCAGCTGGAGAAGCGGGATGAGAGCTGAGACTGTGCGACTCACTTCCAGACGATCACGTTTTCTCCCGGGACATACTTCGCCTTGCCCATCCCGACCTTGCACTCGACGCTCGCCGTGTTGAGCGGCGTAGGAATGCGGATGACGACGTTGTTTGCGCTGAGTTTGGCTGGGAACATCGTCTTGACGTGAACGGTGTACTCGACACGCGACTTGCCGATTTCCTCGACGATGGGCTGTACTCGGATCGGGAGATTGATGTTCGACGTTGCGCGATACCTGTACCAGCATCGCCGGTTCAGCACGTTTTTGACGAGCCTTGACGCGCCGACAAAGAGCGGCGGGCGACTTACCGCATCAGCTCGAACTCGCCATCTGGCGGGATGAACGAGATCGTCCGGTCGCTGTCGAACTTGCCGAGCTTGACACATTGGTGGAACTGGCAGTCATCGAGCTCGACTGCGTTGCCGTCGACTCCGCCGAGAGGGTTCTTCGCCGTCGAAGGGTTGCCACTGTTCGTTCGCGCAGTCAGCTGCAGCTCGCTTAGGGTGAGAAAATGCACGAGCACGAACGGCTTGTCGATGACGAGCTTGTCGTTGAGACCGAACTTGCACTCGGGCGTGCCGCTCAAGTATGCCCGCATCAGGATCTGCCCGTCGACATCCGCTCGCAGCACCGTACCTGCAAAGCCGTAGCGTCAGTTCGGGACAGACGCTTGCAGACGTGCACGCAAATGTGGACGCACCCTTCGAGTTCATCGAGAGGTTGACTGTCTCGATCACGTCGACGAATGCCTCGTTCTTGCGATACTTAACGTCGTTTCTTCGCCAGGAGATGGCGCCTGTCGCCTGAATCGTGATCTTCGACGCCTCTTCTCGCTACGAGTGCAGTTCAGTCAGGCTTCGCCGAAGGAGAGGACGAAAGCGGGAGACGCACCACCGCCTGCTCCGACTTGACTCCCTCCGTCGTGATGTACATCTTGAGCGTATCGCTCTCCGAATTCTGTGGGTATCCAAAGTCGAGGATCTCTGCGATGCGGCAGCGGAGTTAGCTCACGGCGGAACGGGGACAACTAGGTGCCTCAAGTACCGTCTAGCAGTTCGTAAATGAGCCTAGGTGCGCAAGACTGGTCAGCCAGCTCGTCGTCTACGCGAAGAGGTCATTTGAACGCACACAAAGTTGTTCTTGACGCTCTCCTCGTCGAGCTTGCCGAAATATGATCGGCCGAGGTTGATGAACCGGTAGGTAAACTCGTAGACGAGCGCGGCATTTGCGTTCTGCGGGTGTAGGGGTCAGCCATCCGTCTCAGCCTCGCTACGAACGCGCTCACATGCTTGCAGACCGCGACGAGCCAGAGACCGCCGTGCTTAACATGAAAGAAGGTCGTGTTGCTGATCGTGATGAGCGGCGAAGTGGGTGGCGTTGAGCTGGCGATAACGTGGATGCGAAAGATGTCGGATATCGAGCGTCTGAGCAAGAGAGCCGCATTCAGTTGAGGGCCACTTGAGGAGGGGCTGTCCAAGACCGGTCCGAGACGCACTTGAGGTCTGGTCGGAACAGTCGCGAGATGAGGACCTCTCCCTTGAGGTTGAGGATGAAGAAGGCGGAGATCATGGTCAAGCAGCGGCGAAGGGTGATGGAGTAAGAGGCGAGGGACGACGGGTGATGCGGTAAAGACGAGCCGACAGCGCGCGTGGTATCGGTCGAGCAGAGGAGGAAGAAGTTTGGGCAGTGCCGCAGCTGTTGACGACAGTCGAGCGCTTGTCAGCAGGGCGCACGAAGGGTCCATCCGATCATGCCGAAGTTCCGAGGTCGACGTCGTGAAGCATTCCTGCGAGTCCCACAGGCAGTCTGTACACCTCTTTCTGCGCCCACAGCATGTTCGCATGTACAAAGCAGCGCCTTCGTCGCCCACAACCCGCACAAGCAGAGACGACGGCCCATCCTCCGAGTCGCTCGCTTCCACCTGAAAGCCCGATTCGCACGCCGGCCCGTCCGAGGCGCCCCAATCATCCGCTACATGCCATCTGCTGTTCCGCCTTCTGCCCGACTGCCTGTGAGGACGCTCGACTGGCCGTGAGGTGGGGGAGGGTCGTGTGTGGGATGGAGGTGGTCGCGAAAGGCGCGGGCGGTATTGGCTGGAAGAGCGCGCAAGCAAGACTCACTCTGCAGCTCTGACAGGTCGAACGAAGCAGCACGAGCCGAAGCGGCGGCAGGAAAGAGCCAGAGGGACTTCGCCTTCGCGCCTTCACCGCTTCGCTCTCGACCACCCGCTCTGCTCGCTTCCACACGCTTGTGATCCTCGTTTGATAGCTTGTACACGATGGCGGATTTCACGAAGCAGCTCGCCGAGCGCGCCAACACGGTACGTCCCTCCTCACTCCGCCTGCTCCCTTCCTCAGACTTCATCAGCTCGCAATCTCAGCTTTCGCTTCCGGGCGTCCTGGAGGGTGGAGAACAGGCTGACCGATCCCTTGATATGCACAGATCAACATGAACGCCGGACCGTCGCCCCTTCCGGACGCAGCACTCCTCACGGCTGCCGCTTCTCTCCTCTCGTACCCTGAAACGCCGGGAATGGGCATTGCAGAGATCTCGCACCGCTCGCCCGCCTTCGACAACGTCGTCGTCAAGGCCAACGACGATTTGCGGAAGCTCCTCGAGATCCCCTCCAACTACCGCATCCTGTGGATGCAGGGCGGAGGCTTGACTCAGTTCGCTGCGACGGCGCTCAACCTCCTCGCCTGGTACCGCATCAAGAACCAGCTCAAGCCCGAAGACGAGGTCGACGCGTGGTACGCTGTGACGGGAAGCTGGTCGAAGAAGGCGGCAGAGGAGGGTGCACGAGTCGGCGTCAACGCCAAGAAGGTATTCGACGGCAAGAAGTACGGCGGCGGCAAGTTCAAGGGCATCCCTCCCGCGAGCGAGTGGGAGATCCCTCAGCTCGAGGAGAACGGTCGCAAGCCGGCATTCGTCTACTACTGCGACAACGAGACGGTCGACGGAATCGAGTTTGGCGGCGTCGGCAGCGAGACGGCCTTCCCCTTCGACAAGTTCGACCCCGAGGTCCCCGTCGCTGCCGACATGTCGTCCAACTTCCTCTCTCGCCCGGTCGACGTCTCGAAGTATGGCATCATCTATGCAGGCGCGCAGAAGAACCTTGGTCCGGCAGGCGTGACGCTCGTCATCATCCGCGAGGACCTGATTGGTGCGTGGCAGACTTGAGTCGAACGATCGTTCTCGCAACTGACCCCGCGTCGTGCAGTCGACCTCGACGAGGCTGTCAAGTACGGCGGCGCGCGAGTTCCTTCTATGCTCAGCTACAAGAACATGGCGGACACGAACTCGATGTACAAGTGAGTCGTGCCGCTCTCCGGGCTCGAGCACTTACACTGACCAGTCATCCCGCAGCACACCTCCCACCTTCACCATCTACGTCTGCTCCCTCGTCCTCCGCTCCCTCCTCGCTTCGCCCCCTCTTCCCCTCTCTTCCCCCGATGCTCGCCCTCTCTCTCCCCTCTCCGACTTCGCCGACCAGAAGTCGTCCCTCATCTACGCCGAGCTCGACGACGGCTCGGGCTTCTACGTTGGGACAGCGGACAAGGCTGTGCGGAGTCGGATGAACCCGACTTTCCGGCTGAAGGGCGGCGAGGAGCTAGAGAAGAAGTTCGTCAAGGCGGCGAGCGACAAGGGCATCAAGGGCGTCAACGGACACCGCAGCGTTGGAGGTGCGAACTGATCCTTGAGTCGCCGCGAGCCTGGCCGCTGACCCCTTGCGTCGCAGGCATCCGCACGTCCATCTACAACGCGGTCACGCTCGAACAGGTCAAGACGCTCGTCGCCTTCATGCGCGAGTTCCGAGAACAGAACCAATAAGACGGGAGCAGAACCGATAGGACGGGCAAGTAGACATCGGTTAACACTTAGACCTCTATCCGCGGAATCTCCGGCACTGCTCGCCATCGCTCCTCTGCTTCGCTCTCCCTCGCTGCAGGCAGGCCTCTCGCTTTCGATGCGCAGGCTCCTGCTGCCTGTGCTGTTCGCGTCGTGCTGCGTTGCTTTGTCTGGGTCTCCTCGCCTCGAACGCCGTGCTTCTCCTCGTCCCGTCTTTGCGCACGTCGGCAAGTCGAGCTTCATTCAAGTCATCTGGCTGATACTCACGGCTTCCACATCTGCAGTCCAGGGCAATTTCCAGAACTACGGCGAGGACGACTATGCCGCCGACTTCAAGCTCGCCAAAGAGGCTGGCATCGATGCCTTCGTTCGTCGGCCCTTCAGCCTGTCTTGTGTCAGCTATTAACCCTAGCCTTCGTACCCGCAGGCCTTGAACGTCGGCCACGATTCTACAGACCCCGCTCAACTCGCCAAGGCGTTCTCCGCCGCCAAATCCAGCTCCTTCAAGCTCTTCTTCTCCTTCGACATGAACTACTTTTCCAAGCCGGCTTCGAGCGATACAATACTCTCAGACTACCTCGGCAAATACGGCGGGAACGACGCGCATCTCTTGTACAACGGAAAGGTCTTTGTCTCGACTTTCTCGGGCGAAGTGCCAGGTGTGTATCCTCCTCCGCCAGCTCTCTGCTCGTGAGTCTGTTGCTTTACGCTCGACCTCTCGCACAGGAACGTTTCTCGACGGAGCAGGCAGCTTCACAGAGTCGAATGCGAAGTGGACGGATCTGCTGGCAAAGGCGAAGAGCGCGATCGGCAAGGACGTGAGCCAATGCCGCTTTCGCCGACTCACTGGACTTGCTGATGTGTTCCTGCGCTCGCAGATCCAGTGCGTTCGCGGCTGACTCGCTCGGGGGACGTGATCAGCGCTGACCTTCGCAGGCTGCCGACGCTCACGATAGCTTCGTGCCCGACTGGAACGACGTCAATCTGGTCGCTCAGAACAAGTGGGGCGGAGGGGTGATGAGCTGGGCAGCTTGGTGCGTTTGGGCGCTTGAGCTTTACCGTAGGTCACTGACCTCGAAATCCGCCAGGGGAGACAAGGGTCGAACGACGGCCATGACGACTGCATCAGATCAAGCCGTGCACCTCAGCGTACCTTCCCTCAACACTCAGCGGTCTACTGACCCGGCTGTAACGCAGTATATCGCCGCCGCTTCGAAAGCAAATCTCGCCTATCTCGCGCCCGTCGCCGCCTTCTTCTTTGTGCATGTGGCAGCTGGGAACAATTACGTACTGAATTCGTGCGTTGAGCGCGCGTCCCGCTAGACAGCGTGCCTCGCTGACTTGCCGGCCGCAGGAATGATTTCTTGCTTCCCGTAAGAGCAGTCCTGCGCGGTCGTCTCCGTGCACGTCTAGCTGACACGGGTGCAGAAACACTATGTGCGCAGAGTTCAGCATCGCTTCACCTCTTCAGCTGACCTCCGTCACGCCAGGCCGACTTGATTGCCCTCAATCCCGGCGTACGCACAGTCGCCGCTGTCTCGCGAAGAAGCCCGCTCACGCTTTCAATTCAGCCGGCCTACGTCGAGCTTCTCTCATGGAACGACTTCGGCGAGTCGCACTACCTCGGGCCCGTTCGAGCGAGCGCAGGCGTACCGAGCGGCGCAACAGCTTACGCCGACACCAAGCACGACCACCTCCCCATGCTCTGGCTCTCCGCCTACTACAACATCTGGTACGCATCGGTTCCTGGCTGCCTGAAGCTCAAGCTCAACGCATCGGTCTTGCAGGTTCAAGTCTGGCTCACCCCCGCCCATCTCGACTGAATGCCTTGTATGGTGGTACAGGCCACATCCTGCCAAAGTGAGCGCTACCAGCGATCCGCTGAGTGCGCCTCAGTACGCCGAGACGCTCGACGACAAGGTCTTCGCGGCGATCTTCGTCCCGCAAGGCTCGAAAGCGAGGAAGGTGGTCATCAATGGTGCGTTGAGTCGATCCGCTTCGGATGTGCTCGATCTTACGAGGAGTGCTTGCTTCCAGCGGGGGGACAGGCGCAGTCGCAAGACGTCAAGGAAGGCGTCAATCTCGTCTCGGTCACCTTCCAAGTGGGCAAGACCAGAATTGTGCGTGCTCAAGCGGCTCCTATGAGCAGTCAGCAGTCTGCTGACGAGTGGATCGCACCAGTCTCTTGTCGACAGCTCAAACAAGGAGCTTCTCTCCGGATCAGGCGCCGACATCGTCGCAACGCCGAGTAGTTTCGACTTCAACTTTCGCAGCTACATCTTCCCCAAAGACGCAACAGCTTCATGCGTCCACATCCTATGCTTGCTTTCACGTCCGGACGCGAATCTCACGCTTGCATTTCCAGGACATGCTTCGGTTCCGGCGCCGTCGCCGGTACCGCCACGGGTGCGCCGCCGTCCTCAGGCATTGCGACGAGCGCTATGTCGTCAAAGATGAGCTCGGCACCTGCGAGCGGCTCCAGTACGTCCAGCAGCGCGCCATCGGACGACACGACCGTCGCCTCTATCCTCCAGCCTTCTCAATCTCAATCGCTCGCTCCCAGCCCGCTCCTGACTTCCGCCGCTCCGTCCGACGACAGCTCGACCTCAAGTTTGCCATCAACCTCGTTTGGCGTGCCCGCCTACGGCTGGATCGTCGCAGGTGTTATCATCCTCGTCCTCCTGCTCCTCATCGTCTTTGCCGCGACACGCTCAAAGCCGGCCGAGCGTGCGCGGAGCGGACAGACCATGGACGAGTCCGACGGCGGGGACGGGGACGGGACCTCTGACAGCGATTCGAGCGATTCGGAGGATGGGCTGATCTCGCGGCGGCGAAACAGCTGACGAGATAAACAGTCTGCGAGCTAGAAATGCAGCTAAGGTACAGGGACTACATGTGGTCGATGGTACAATGCTCGAGAGTGGCAAGGAGAAGAAAGGGTGTCAATCCCGAACGTTTTCGCTCGACGACCGCCGAGAACTGCCGTCCGAGCTGTGCCGCCGATGCGCGAGAACAATGTCGTCCGCCGGTACTCGCACCTTCTTGCCTTCGACTTCAGCCTCGATCATCTGGCCATCTGGCGCAAGCTGGGCGCCAGGGTGCATGGAAGGGCCAAGCGGTTCGCCCGGCGACGTTGCCCGGTCAGCGTCTGGCTGGTCGGGGCCGACAGCGCTCGCGAAGCCCTCGATGCTCGGGAGGTTGGGCGTGTCGCGCGCGGGACTGTTCGGATTTGAGTGCTCGCCGAGGGAGAGGCGGCCGAAACGATCGGATCCATCGTCTTCCTCCGTCGAGTTCTGCTTCGATTGAGCCAGCTTCGTCGCGCCGCCGAACGAGGCCGAGGTGTCGACGCCGCCAGCAAGGCGTCCTTGCTCGCCAAAGTCGAAGTCGTCGAACGAGTCCATCGTGGGTATCTCGATCGACGGGCTTGCGTCGGCAGCCTCGAAGTCGCCAAAGTCGTCGTCTTCTGCTGCGCCAGACTTTCCGTCGGTCGAGCTTGCGGGAGCGACGGTGAAGGAGGACCCGAAGGCTGTAGGCGAAGCGGCAGAGGCCGATGCGATGGTCGGGGTGAAGTCGTCTGACCCGAAAGCGTCCGCTGGCCGAGCCGAGGAAGCGCCTTCGAATGGTGCCCAATCGCTCTCCTGCACGCGCGAAGCAAGTCAGACCGGGCTTCGTAGCATGCTTCATCAGAAAAAACGCACCTCATCGCTGTCGGAAGTGCCGAAGCGTAAGGCCGAAGGTCCCGCAGCGTCGAAGCGGTCGTCGAAGCCAAAGGAGCGAGGCGCCTGGCCATCAGCAGTGTCGAGCTCGAAGTCGACGTCGCCCGGGTCGAAGCGACTGCCGCCGAGCCAGTTGTCGTCCTCGTCGTCCTCGTCCGAGCTGCCGACGGTTCGGTCGCTTGTCAAGGATTGAGCGAGGTAGCGCGAGAACTGCGTGGACGACTAATTCAGACTCATGCGATGGTGAGCCGCAAGTCGACTAGACGCACCTGATCGGTCAAGCTGCTAGATGCTGTGGCGTCCGTGCCGTTCGCCGGCTTGCTGTGACCGCCGAAAGCACCCTCGTCGACTGCCGAGCCGCCTCCAGCCATGCCCGCCGCCTCCAGAGCCCGCATCGCTCGGGCGCTATTCATTGGGAACTCGTCGTCCTCGTCGCTCAGCGAACTGGACGAGGGCGCTTTGTTGAGCGTGAGGCTGATGTTGCCGGCGCCGTGGAAGGGCGTCATGTCGCGTTCGCGCATCTCCCGTAGCGTGGTCGAGACGTAGTTCTCCCAGTCGGGCTGCGGGATCGCCGACTCGACGGCGTTGTGCAGCTTAGGGAAGCGCTGGAAGAGCTTGACAGTTTCCTCGGCGATGAGCGTGACGTGTGCGATGTAGCCAAGCCGCATGTTCGGTCGCTCGGCTGCGGCGGCTTCTTGTCGTCGGTTGGCCTCGAGAATCTGGTGGCAAAGTCGACCGTCGACGAAGACGCTTTCGGCCAGTTGTCGGTCGAGGGATCGGTCGAGGCGACCGTGGAAGATCTGCTGAAGGAGGTCGAAGACGACGTTGTGGAGGAAGTTGTGCCAGGGGAACTCGAAGAAGAGGTTCTGCGAGAGGAAGGAGCTCAGCGGCCGGGAGGGACAAGGCAGACCGCACGCAGCTTACGAGGACCGTGGGTACGACGCCGTGCTCGAGGAACTTCGACTTGAGCATAGGACCAGGAGGGAGGGGGATGGCGGGAAGTTGGCGAGAAGTTTCGGAGTAAACGCTTGGAGTAGGCGGCAGGTCGCGCTCATCGTCCGCCGAGAGCGACTGTCGACTTCTTCGGTGGTCGTCAGGCTTCGGAGTCTCCGCCTTGCCGGGCGCACCTGCCATCGCCTCTCCAGCCTCGTCCTCCTGCCCCTCCTCTCCGCCGTCTTCTGCGGCCGCGATGATCGCTCGCAGCTGATTCGCCTCGAACTTTGTCAAGACGCCGCCAGACTCCTCGTCGAGAGACTCGCGACCAGAAGGCGTGGACTGGCCGGAGTAAGGGCTGTAGGCGTGGTCGTTCGGGCTTGTCGAGAAGTTGGAGGGGAAGGGGTGGACTTCAGGACTAGGAGGTGGCCGTGGCTGGTCCAGATCGTCTTCGTCGTCGTGCTCTGCGGGGCCGGCGAGCGCGGAGGCGAGTTCGTCGGCGGCCTGCCAGCCGCGAGCGAGGTGGCCGTCTTCGTCGTAGAGCAGAGCCGATCCTTGCGACCGATTGAGGAGCGACATGTTGGAGCAGTGCAGAAGCTCCGCGTAGAACTCGCAAATGCGGAAACGCTCGAGGGTGAGGGGAGTGCGCTTTCCGCCAGCGGTCGAGATAGGCGCGGTCTGCGAGAGTACACTTCAGCCTGGCGCGCTTGAAAGGTGGGATCATGACGCACCAAGCTCCGAGGCTCCTTCAGCAGCTTCTGGAAACCGTCTAACCGCTGCGCCACGCTCGAGAGGAGCGCGCTCAGGTCGACAACCGAAGGACCCTTGTCGTCCGGCCTGTCCTGTTCCGCATGTCGGGAGTCGAGGACGACCTGCGCGCCCTCCGCCTCAAGCATCTCGCGCTCGAGGTGATCCGCCTGCTTCCGCCGCGCCCATGCCAGCATGTGCTGCTCGACGAAGTCCGAGTTGTTCTTCCGGATCAGCTCGATGAAGACCGAAAGAGCCGAGACGAGCGACGAGGTGCGCATGTCTCGTCGGACCTGTTCTGGGTCCATCTCGTCGTCCAATCCGTTTGTCGACTCGGGCAGAGGAATCGTTGAAGGCGGTTTAGGTGTCCGGCCCGCATCCTCCTCTTCTTCCTCCACCGCCGATCCTCGCTCGTCCAGTTCGGCCAACATCCAGTCCAGCAGGATCCTCGCGCTTTTCTCGTCCGCCAGCTTCCGTACGAGCGTGGTGTCGCGCCACTGGAAGATCGGCTCGTCGTTGTCGCCCGCCCCGCCCATCCCGCCGAACCCGCCGCCGGGCTGATCGGCTCCGGGCAAGCCGTCTTTGTTTCGCGGCACAGCGAGACAGATTTCGATGATCCCGCGGAGAAGATCTTCGCCTGCTGCATGCCCTGTTCGACCGAGAGCCGAGGACGGGTCGAGCATGCGGATGGCCTGGACCACAACGGAGGGAATGAGGGGCGATGGTGGCCGCGAGACACGGAGAAGGAGGAGAAGGAGATCGTTGATTGGCGAGCAGTAAGGGAGAAGGGAGAGGAGGCGGTGGGGAAGATGCGGAATGGTGAGAATCTGGGCGAGGACCTGCGCAACTTCGGGTCAGTCGCGAGTTTCGAAGACCCTCGAGCGCACGACTCGCCTCGCTGCCGAGCGGGCCTTCGAGCAGAACGCCGTTGACCTTGACCCAGAATCCGACTTGCTGTGTCCGCGATGCGAGCTGTTGCTCCGTGCTGCCGAGGATGCTCTCCCTGTGCACAAATCGGATGGTAAGCAACTCGTAGTGCGTTGCAAGCCAAGTACGACGTACCAGAAGGGCAGGAGGAAATCTGCTGGTGCAGGGCAGGTGTGCGGCTGCGACGAGGCGTCTTCGTGACGGAAGAGAGAGTCGGTCAAGCTTGGCGGGCTCGCAATAAGCACTTCCGTGCAGATTCGGGGGAACCTGGTCGAAAAGAAGAACGTCAGTCTCTTAGAAGTTGAAGGAAGAATCTGGGACGAACTCTGACCGCTTCTTCTTCGCTACGTCGCCCATCTCGAGGTCGTCCTCGCCATCACTGTCCTTCTCCTCGTCTTCGCATCGCCAGGGTACGCCTCCCATGCCCTTGCGTTTCCGCTCATCCGCAGCGAGTACCTCGTCGGGCACCTTTCCTTGCTCGAGCGAGTCTGGCAAGATGCCCGACTCGAGCGACGCGCCATCCGTTCCGTTCGTAGCCTCGCCCTCCTCGTTGTCAATGAACCCTCGTCCCAGTCCCCACACGACCCATCCTCCGAGCCGCAAGACGACCTCCTTGCGAGCGAGAAAGTCGGTCAACCGCTGGTTCGACCCGCTCTTGATCTCCGAGAGAAGCTCTGGCTCTGCAAGGAGCGCATCGAGGGCGTCCTGGTGCGCCTTTACATCTGCAGGCGAGAGTGTGTCGGATCGCGCGGTGGACGAGGTTGGCGAGTCGGGTGCGGGGTCGAGGTGCGAGAGCGGCGCGAGAATGCCTTCGATGCCGTCCGTTGGCGCGACTGCGAGCGTCTTGGCCGCAAGCTTCCAGAAGCTCATCGCCGCACACCGCGACGGGGTGTCGACGCGACGTCGGCGAGGGAGGGGAGGTGGAGCAGGCGACGGGGAAAGTTCGCCTGTCGAAGGCGCGGGTCGCGTCTATAGCAGTCGAATGGAGTCTGCGCTGCTTCCAGCAGTCCCACAAGCAAGCAGCAGGCGAGAGTGGAAGAGCGTTGTTTGGCAGGAGTCTTCGCGGCGGACGATGAACGCGACGTCGACAGGAAGCTCCTCTTCGAACGCGAGAACGACGAAGTGCAATGCAAAGTTATCATGCAGGTGAAAGTGCGAAGAACGAGAAACATGCGGGTGGGCGTGGAAGTCGTGAAGGAGAGCGAGGAGGAGCTACGACCGGGCCGACGAATTGCTGACGATGGTGACGCTGCCAGGCTCGCCATCGTCCTCGTCTTCAGAAGTGTAGTAGCGGCCAGGAAGAGGCGGGTCGTAGACGGATTGCGAGCGATTTTTCGAGTCGGCCTGACGGGCACGCAGGGTGGAGGGCGGGTTCGCCGGCGACGATGCGGATCGGGTCATGTTGGAGGAGGCGGTGGATGGGACGGAAGGGGCAGACGGGACGAGGTCGTCAAGCTCATCGCTTGGCATGTCCTGGGGGAGGGCTGGAGGCGCCCTGTCGTCAGTCGCCTCGGGCTCGTCATCGTCGCCGCCGTACATGTCGAGAACATCTTCAGGTACGAGGTCCTCCGTCTGGGGCACGAACGCGTCGAGCTTGTCGACTGTATCGACCGACTGCTTCTTCGACTTCTGCGAAGAGCGGCGCGAAACGGACAAGAGGTCCAGGGGCGGGTCGTCGAGCGGTTCTTCGGGGACGTCAGGTTCGGGACGATGGGCTGCGACGGCGACAGGGACGGGCGGGAGAGGCGGTTCCTCCGTCTGAGGAGGCGAAGTCGGGGTCGGCCGAGAGCGGCTGGCGGGTGCGCAGGTGTGGTCAGCGAGGCTGCAAGGAGAGAATGCGTTAGTTCAGTAGCCACTCAATCGAAGAAGCCTTCGCGCAACGCACTCAACGAGCTCGACTTCGGCGCCGCAGTCCGAGCACTTGACGCCGGGAATTGGCGACCCGCTGCCCTTCGCACGCGGCGTCTCCGGCCTCTCCACCATGTCGTCCATCAAGATCGGCGGTTCCTTCGGCTCGCCATCGTCTCCTCCGCTCGAGACCGGCTCGTCCTGATACGGTCCCGGTGCAGGGGGGTCCCGCGCATCGCGCTCGTACTGCTCCAACTCCTCCTTGACCCGCGCCGCACGCTCAGCCTCACTCGCCTCGTACTCTTCGCGGGACATATCCTGCGTTGAGTTGTTCGCGCCCTCGAACCCGAGTCCGACGACTTCCCTTGTTGGCGTGCCAGTGCTGCCGTCGACTGAAACGGCTGAGCCTTCTGCCTCGTCGTCCGTCGAAGCTGCCTGTATCATCAGCGACGAGGTGTTGGACGAGACGGAGCCGGCGCGAGAGCTTGACCGGAGCGTCTCGACGGGCCCCTTGGGCGGGAGCGTCGCAGACGGCGTGGTGGCTTCGAGTGGAGTGAGGGAGCCGTTCGAAGGTGCAGGTATGACTACGGCCGCAATGATAGGCGACGAGAGGGGCGAGTTTTCGACGCTGAGAGCGACGACATCGAGGTCCGTCACGCTTCGTCCGCCTTCGCTCGCGATGCTACCCGTCTCGACGCGCATGGACGAGACGGACATGGCGCCTGGCGTGCGTGCGCCCGACGGAACCGCTCCGAGCTGGTCGCCCCGACCCACTTCGACGAAAGAGACGGTCGAGTCTGAGGGTGAAGCGACAGGCGTCGGCTCGCCCTGCGGCGTCGCTGCCCTCACAATCTCCTCTCCATGTCCTGCCGTAGAGCCCTCGCGGCTCATTGCCCGACTCGCAGGCCTCGAACCGCCATTACTGCTTCCCGCCTCGCTCCTCGTCGACGGGCTGCCTCCCGCACTCGAGCTCCTAGGCTTGACGACATTCAGCGGCACCGCAGCCCTTCCACCTCCCAGACTCGCCACTCTGGGCTTGTCCTCGTCCGCAAAACGACTCCCTCCAGCACTTTGGCGAGGTTTCGCGGGCGCAAAGCCAAACGACCCTCCCTCGGGCAAGAGGGGTTTCTGCTCCGCGTTCTGCTGGAAGCGAGAAATCTTGTCGGAGACCCTCACGCGCGCGCCTGTCTGTACAGACTTCCCGTCGCCGCCTGGTGAGCCGGGAGATAAAGAGGTGGGGGGAGTCCCAAGCCCGAGTTTGGCGATGCGGTCCGCGAGCTTGCCCGTCTGGGCGATCCTGTCGGGCGTCGACCTGCGCGCCGAGCTAGTCAGCCTGGCGCTGCGAGCGGTGGAAGGCGAGCGGGACTGACATGACGGAGGCTTGAGCAGGGTCGCGGGAGAGTTGCCAGGCGACTTTCCGTGTGTGCTGGACGGCGGGAGAGATGTCGGACAGGCAGAAGCGTCGGTCGTGTCGCCGAGCGAGGCAGTGAGTGCGAGGTGAAGTGAAAAGAAGCGTGTCGCGGGGAAAGAAAGAAACGGTCGAGTCGCGAGTCTGGTGGCTGCGAGAGTTGGTGGCGTGCGGCTGTACTTGCGGACTGAAGACAACGAGCAAGCAATTACGAGGAAGTGTCGTCGAAAGGATGATGAGAGAACGCAGTAGGAGGAAAGGAAGGAAACAATAAGGAAAGTGGTTGTGGAAGACGACGGAACAGGTTCGCTGATGAGATCACGGATCTCTAGTATGCGTTGCAGAGGGGTATCAACTGAAGAACAGACGGGTTGTTGCGAAGAAAGGGGAATAGCGAAGGGACAGAAGGAGGGAAAGCGAACTCCCGTCGTCTCAGAGGAGAAGTCCAGCGACGCCGAGAACGCCGCCCATCATCGCCAACGACATCATGTTGACGCTCGACCCAGCCGCATTGTCGTGCGCCGCCTGCGTCGCTGAAGCGGAGGAGGCCGAAGAGGAGGATGTGCCCGACGCCGCGTCGACGAGCGAAGCTGGCGAAGCGGCACCACCGACCGCCTTTGACGTCGCAGCGGATGTCTCTGCTGCTGTGGGGGGCGCGTCGGTCGGAAGAGCCGTCTGCACAACGCTCCACGCCGCAGTTGGCGCTCCTTGACCGGCGTTGGCGAGGACCGACGACACCTGCGGGTTTGTTCCCTGAATCTCGACCGACATGTTGCATCCACGAGCGAACGAGACGGCGAGTTGCTGGACCGTGGCGAAAGATTCGGAGGTGGAGAGGTCGACCGCCGATTTGGTCGCGATGCAGTTGCCGCAATCCTCGAGCTGGCTGGCAACAGCTTGGGTGCAGAGGCAGGCGAACGCTTGCGTTTCGGCCGCATCGCCCTCTCCCAGACCGCTGGTACAGGTCTGCCGGAGGAAAGGAGCTGAGCGTGCGCATCCAGGAAGCGAGAAGAGCAGGCGCACCTGGGTGCTCGTTTCAAAAGGCGTGCAGATGCTCATACACTGCTGAGGGAAGTCGGCAAGCATGCCGGACTCGTCACCGCCTGGCAGCTGTGCCAGAGCAAGGGTCGCAGAGGCTGCACACCGACAAAGGCTAGGTCAGCTAGTGAAGGTGGAGGAGAGTCGGAGGTAGAGACTCACCGGCTGCGACGGCCAGTGTGCGCAAAGTGAGCATGTTTGTGGGTATCTCTGTGCGAGCAGGAGCGCGAACGAGGGAGAGAGAGGCGGAGCGTGGACCAGCAGGAAGCGGTGTGAGCGCCGCGCGGCGCGCCAAGCAGCGTGGCATGTTCCGCCGGCGTGCTCAGCCTGTGAGCGAGGCACAGGTCAGTGTGAGCAGCGAGAGCTGAGTGGTTGTCGTCGTCGTTGCGAAGGTCGACAACCACGCCTCCGTCAGCGACGAGACGACGACGGCGGCGACTTCGCAGCTGCGAGTGGAACGTACTGCGCAAATAGATTTACGGCTCGAACACGTCAGCAACGCCCCAGCCGACGGCTGCCGACTTCGAGTGGGGCCTCCTCCACTTGCTCCTCCTCCTCCTCCTCCTCGCTCCCAGCTTCAAAGGGGTTCGCAGAGAACAAACTGAGCGAGTACCGCTTCAGTACTGGCATCTGACCCTGCCTGACCAACTCGAGCCCGCGCCGCAGCCCCGCTCGCTCACTCTGGCTTCCGCTCGCCTCCTCGCAATCGCACGCTCGCTCTCCCCCTCGACGAACACGCGGACCATGTCCAGCTTCTCCACCCACTCTCTCAGCGACGGCAACAAGGTCCCCGGCATCGCTTTCGGCATTGGGACTGCACACTTTGGCAAGGACGACGACGGACTCGTCGAGACGATCAAGACCGCCATTGCCGTGGGCTTCCGTCACCTTGATGGCGCAGAGAGCTACCGCGTAAGCTGGCTGCGTGGCGTGGGAAGGCCTGTGGCTCAACTGACCGTCCACCTTGCAGAACGAGGGCTCGCTCGGAAAGGCGATTGCGCAATCAGGCGTTCCTCGCGAGGAGTTGTTCGGTGCGCACAGCAACTCCTCTCTTCAAAGCGCAGAACTGACGCTCCTCAACTCACGCAGTGACGACTAAGGCCGGCGCTGGGTTGGCCGACATCCCCGTGAGCCAGCCTCTCCCTTTCGTTGCTCTCGCCCCACTGACTGCCCCTCGCAGTCTTCGTTCGACGAGTCCCTCAAGAAGCTGGGTCTCTCACATGTCGACCTCTACTTGATTCACTGGCCGTACGATTTTCCGAAGCCTGGATACCCGAGCATCGCAGCCGCTTGGAAACATATGGAGGCTATCAAGGACTCGGGGCGCGCCAAGTCCATCGGTGTCTCTAACTTCCGCGTCCGCGACCTCGAGAAGATCTACAGCATTCCCGACCTCAAGCATCCGCCGGCCGTCAACCAGGTGCGTCGCCTTTCTCCCTCCTTCTTCCGTCTTTTAGCTCATCGTGCTCCCTCTCCAGATCGAGTTCCACCCCTTCATGTACGAGGCTGGTGAAGAGCTGTACCAGTACAGTACGTTAAGCAAACCTCGATACTTGCAGACAGACATTGACCCTCCTTCCCAACTCCTCCTTGAGCAGTGAAGAAGAAGCAGATCGCTCTCGAGGCATACGGCCCGACTTCGCCTCTCACCAAGCTGTCGAACCCTGGCTTCGAGGAAGCGCTGACCAAGGTCACGAAGGCGGTTTCAGAGCGCGCTGGGAAGGACAAGGTCGAGCCTAGCCAGGTCCTCCTGCGTCTTGCGGCGCAGCGCGGCGCGATCGTCATCACGACGAGCGGAAAGGACTGGCGGATGAAGGAGTGCGTAACTACCTGCTGCTTGGAGGAGAAGAGCTGACATGCCGTCTCCGCAGACAACTCGCCGCCGGCGCTCTTCCCGAACTCACGCAGGACGAGGTCGACTCGCTCGTCATGGCTGCGAAGCCGGCCCCTCAGCGCGTTTTCATGAAGCACATGGACGGAGACGACGAGTACTAGACGAGACGCAGGGAAGACAGGAATAAGAAATCGAGACTCAGTTCGTAGTGGCCTCGCTGAGTGCGTCCGATCGCTGGTCTTCACAATCTGACGTTTCGTGCAGAGATGCCTGAGTATTCGCCATATCGCCAAGCGACTGCCTGCGCTTGGTCTGCGCGACTCCGTCTGCCCTCCTCCTCCTCCTTTCCGCCTCCGCACCGCTTTTCTCGTCGCTCGCTTTTCTTGGCTCGCCCCGCTCGTTCGACATCGTGTCTCGGATTCTCCGACCGCTCCACGGCCTCCGTGGACTTGGACAGGTCCGCGGACCCTCCGGCTGGTGCGCTATAAAGTCGCTCTTTCGCTCGCTCCCTCTCTCCTTCCTTCACTCGCTACCTCTTCGCCACTCGACGAGCTCTTCTCTCTCGCACGTTACGATGTCTGGCCCTGCTGCTCTCAACGACGACCCCTTCTCGGAGTGAGTCGCCTCGAACCTCCTCTCTCTCTCTCTCTCTCATCCCTGCCTGACCTCGCTCGTTCCGCAGGCCCGCTTTCCTCGCTGGCCTCGAGGCCGCTGGCTACCTTCAGCGTCTCGACACCTCCGAGGCTCGCATCACCGCGCGCTTCCAGCACGCTCTCACCAAGATGCAGTTCGCTGCGCACTCCGAGGAATTTTGCGGGCGAGCCGGCATCAAGAAGGTTCACCGCTCGACGGTCCAGTTCTTCAACGAGGACCCTGTCGCCGACCCGTTCATCCATATCCAAGTCGCGACCTTGCCCCGTCCTCGCCAGGCCCTTGTCACCCCGAAGGGTTGCGAGACGTCTGGATGGACGCCGATCGGTAGCGAGGACGAGGCGGATGGTACCGTCCACTACACCGTCTCTCACCCTGGGTGCGTCCTCCTCCCCCTGTACCTCATCGTCGCCATTGGGCACTGCCCTTCCCTCTCGTTCAGCGTCCTCCACGTCGTTCTCGCGTTGCCCACTACCATCAGCATGCTGACGACGATGCTATGTTCGCAGCTTCTGGCCCGTCACCGTCGTCTTCGACGTCAACCAGTCGCACCTCTTCGACGAGGACAAGGTCAGTCTCGACGCCTCTCCTGCTCTTTCTACCGTCTTTCTCTCTTCCGCTGAACGCCTGACTGACGATACGCGTCCCTCCCGCTACGCAGTACGCCTCGATCCGCGCCGCCGACGACTCGGAGGGCTCGGACGCTGAGGACTACCTCGGACGCTACACTAGCGGCCGCGGCTCGACCTCGCGCTCGGGCGGCATGAGCCGCTCGTACTCGGGCTACGAGGGCGGCGCCGGACGCAGCAGCAGCCGTCGCCGTGACGCCGCTGGCTTCTACGCCGACGAGGACGCGGGTTACTCGTCCCGCGGCGGAGGCGCTCGTCGCTCGTCGTCGCGCGCTGGATCGCGCAGGGGCAGCATGTACGCCGACGGTGCCGGCGCTGGCGTCGAGTCGAGCGACTCGGAGGTCGAGGACCGCTACTCGCGTCGCGGCGGCGGAGGCATGGGCTCGTCGAGGAGGGCGAGCATGAGCGCTCGCGAGCTCGACTCGGCCATGGCCGACATGCAGCTCGCTCGCTCGGCGTCGCGCGCCTCGAGGGCTCGCTCGGAGAGGCGCGACTCCTACCGCAGCGGCGCGGGATACTGAGCGTAGCGTTCTCTATCCCTGTTCTGCAACCCACTCGTTCTATCGCTTCTTTGCACCGCCAGCGAGAGCTTCTCAAGCTTGTCGTCATTGCTCCAGAGTCGGTAAGAGAGCGTGTACGGGAGCGCAGTGACGGAGCGCCTCTTCGCATCCTCCTCCGCGCGCTTGGCTCGTCTCCTGCTTCTCGCGCCGTGTTCCCGCTGGGTTGGAGACCTGCCGCTCGTGGCTATCGCATGCTCCGGGCAATCTCCAGCAAGCTTGATGAACAGCTCGCCGTCCTTCCGCTTTTGTCGAGATCAGCTTCGCGGTCGACTCCAGGAGGAGAGGGCGACGTCGAGGGAGGCAGCTGCTGCTGGGAGTGATCTGGGTGCATGGCTGGTGCTCGTCCTGCGTGGTCCTGTCCTCGTCCTTGCGCTGCTCACCGCGCTTCTCCTCTTCCCGCCCGCCCCATCCGCGCACGACGACGACGAGCGCGTTCCACGGCCAAGGCCTCGACCGTCGCTTGCTTCCTCGGATCGCGTCGAGTTCGCTTTCCCAGCCTGCTGCCGACTACTTCCCAGCTCGCCGTCAACTCCGCCTCGTACGCTCTCTGCGTCTTTTGCGTCTCTTGTCCAGCGACAAGCGACTCGTCTCGCCTTGCAACACCGCCAGCGCCGCATCACTCGCCGCCGCCGCACGAACCGCCTTCCTTCCCGCCGTTCTCAGCCTCTTCGACCAGGTCGCGGCGGATCTCACACGAGTCTTTCGAGGGTGATCTGGCATGGCGGCGGTCCTTCAGCCTCGAGGCGACGTCCTCGTCATGCCTCCATTCACGGCGGAACACCCGACCTCGTCTCGCCTCGTCTTCCCCGCCCAACCCTCTCCTGCGCCCCCGATGGGGAAGTCGACATCCAGCATGAGCTCGACGAGCGTTGCGACGATCGCTGGGTGTAAGGGACAGGCGCGGGAAGTCGTGTGGGAAGAGGACGGCGAGAGGGCGAGGATGCAGGCAGAGATTGAGCGCAGTCTGAGGCAGCTTGAAGGGACGTCACCTTTAGAAGAGGATGAGAGACTGGCGAATGATGCTGCGTCGGTGGAGGACCTGTTGCGGAACCGAGGCGAGACGTCTGCGCCATCTTCGCAAGGTGCGTCCTTCTTTCGTCCTGCGCGACAGGGTCTACAGACTGATGTGTCTCGATGTCTCAGACTCGACAGATCTCCCTGCCGGTTCATCCCGCCGCGACGTACGGCTCTCGAGCGACAACAACCGGCTGAGCGTCGTGACCTTCGACTCAATGCTTACAACGGGCGAGACTGTGTACGAGGACGCTTGGGAGGAGTTCGAGGCAGAGGACGAAGACGCATTTGACGAGCCTGCCCTGCCTCGTAGGTCTCCTCCGCGTCAGCCCGATTCTTCACCAGTTGACACCGTCCACCCTCACGCAGCTCTGCCCGTCAATTTCGCCCGCTCACCCATCTTGCCCGACACGCCGCCCTCCGAGAAAGAGCTTGCAGCAGCGAGTCTCACGCCCAAAGTCGGTTCGCTCGACGTGACGCCGCAAACTTCGCCTCTCGATGCGGTAACTGGCTTTTCGCCTCGATCCGCTTTTGAGGAGCAGGCGACCTTGCTGCAGCAGCGAGCTGCGCTCCAGCTCGAAGCGGCGCGCATTTCGACAGCCCGGCACTCGCTCTCTATCCATCCTTCCGAAGCGGCCGTCAAGCTCCTCACGCGGCGGTACTCGGCTGTCCCGCGCATCTCGACGCAATCTTTTGACGCACCTCAAGCAGCGAGGATCGCTTCTCCGACCTCGCCCAACCGCCCTCGGCACCCCAAGCCGCTCGTCCTCACTCCCGCTCGAACGGTCCACACGCCTCTCACCACCTCGTCTGCCGTCTCTCCCGGTCGACGTCGCGGCTCGCTGACGGGAAGCGAGCAAGGCGGTCGCTCTCGCAGTGGCTCGCTTACAATCGCAACCCCGCCGCGCATCATGTCGCCAACTCGCGCCCACCTCGCACCTTCCGCTCGCTCTCCAGCAGCAATCCGACGACGTTCGATGGGTTACATCGATTCCTCCTCCTCGCTCAACAGCCGTCCGACATCCGTCGTTTCGCCAGTCCTGCCGCCAAAGCGCGACTCGGTCGCATCTTCCGTCTCTTCTCCTCGCCTTCCCTTGTCGCGCAACCGGTCCGCGAGCGAAGACACGACCAGCAGTCAGACCACAAGGACTACAGCTTCGTCTCGCGCTCGTCTGAGCGGCTCGACAGACGAGAGTCCCGTCTCGAGCGTTTGGAGCGACGAGAAGGACGGCTTGCGAATCGACAGTGATGGCAGCCCGCTTGGCAACAACGGCGTCGAGTTCGACAGGACGTGGTCTCGGCGAGGCAGCGCGCCTCTTCCGGCTGTCAGCGAGACGGACGGCCTCGAGACGGCGAAGCCGACCTCGCCCGAACGCGACAAGCCGCTGCCCAGCTCGCCACGCATGGTCCCGGTCCCGCTCTCTCGTCCGACGACTGCACAAGAAGCGAGCACCATCGGCTTGTCGCCCGTCTCGCAAGCGCCCATCGTCTCAATCATCGCCTCTTCGCCCTCAACCATCCGCAGTCCTGCTTCGCGCAAGTCGTCCGGCGTTTCCCGTCGCGAGACCTTCCAAGCTTCGACGAAGCGTACGAAGTACGACGAGCACTGGACAGGCGGGTTCGCTAGCGACTCGGCGGCGGAAGAGTCGGACTTTGGTCGACCTTCGCTTGACGTCGCGGCCGCACATGCCGCTTCTGGCTACCTGACGGAAACGTCCTCGCGGAGCGATTCGCCTGCTTCGCCGGCATTCGGCTCGAGCGATGGAGAAAAGAGACACTCGATGGCGACGAGGCGCAAGCCTATTGTGATTAGGAGTGGCGCAGCTCGCTCGTCTGCCGCCTTCGCTCGACGGAGCCAACGTCTATCGCAACTCGACCCGACTGTTGGGGACAGCTCGCATCGCCTTTCGCGAGTTGTGCGCCGTTTGTCTGGCGTCGGCAAAGACGACTCGCCGCCTCTTCCGTCAAGGTTGCACATGGCGGGAGCGCCTTCAGTGGCTGCTCATCGCCAGTCAACGCACTCGTCCAAAGTGCGTTTTGATGAGCGGCGACTCTCGACGGCCCGCTCGCCTCCCTCAGGCGCAGCTGCCGTTTGGCCACCACCGGAAGAGACCAAGACGATTTCGTTTGCTCCGACCCTCAGCTACAACAGCGAGTCGGAGTCGTCGGCAGGACTCTCGGGACGCGACAGCGAGACGGACGACGAGATGGCTCGCTACCGCAAGCCGTTTCGGTCTCTCGGCAGTCGTCCTCGCCGCGCCTTCGAGCCTCGCGACCCTCGCTCTCGCTTCGAAGAATCCGACTTCGGCCCCGAATCGTTCCTCGAGGTTTTGCTCAACGAAGAGCCTCCTGCACGCCCTCGAGCAGGCAGCTACGACTCGCGGTGGAGTGGCTACTCGACCGGGATGCTCGACAGCGACACGAAGGGTTCGTCGTCGTCCAGCAAAGCGTTCGGAACCGTTAAGCCAGCCAAAGGCCTGGCGAACAAGCTCTTCGGAGCGCTCGCCAAGTCGCCCAAGCTGTCGTCGAGCGAGGACCGTCCTCGGCGGCCCGTCTCAATCACGCCTCGCGGTTCTCCTGCCGCCGACAAGCGACGCCCGTCGAACAAGCCTCGTCCCGTCGTCTCAGGACCGCTCGAACTTGAAGCAGCAAGCTCGGCCATGCGCCAGCAGGATTCGCACGGCTCGACGGGCTCGTCGACGTCGTTCAGCTCGCGAGAGTACAGCAGCGTACGCTCCGGCTTCGGCGCCTACAGCAAGGTGAGCCTGTACCAGCCCCTTCCGACGATCAAGCGCGGCGGCATGGACGACGAGACGGCGGAAGAACTCGCCTCGTTCGACTTCACGAAGCAGGCGAACCCCTCGCGCAACTCGCCGCGCAGACTCACCTCGCCTGCGACCCGTCAAACTCGCATCGGCAGCGCCGGCTCCGTCTCGCCAAGCACGACGCAGCTCCCACTCCTCCGTTCGCCGCGGCGGTCGTCGGAAGGAAGCGTCGCGGCATTTCCTACTGCTTTCAAGGTCGTCCCGCTGTCGCCGGCGCTGAAGTGAGCGATCAACCCACTCTTGTAGCCTTATCTCGCACATGTAGCTAGGTCCGCAACGAAGTCTATGCAATCGTTCTCTCCAGTCTTTGCGGTTCAACGAGGCGCCTCGTCGCGATAGCCAACTCGCGATTCAGATTGCGCTAACTCGGCGGACGCCGTACAGTAACTTAGTACAACACGACTTCGACTGCCCACTTCTCAAGCCGCCTCCTTCTCGAACCCGTTCGCCTTGACCTCCGCTGGCGCTGATGCCTCGTCGACCTCCATCGCGTCCATTCCTACTTCCGCCTTGACCTCGCCCGGCGCAAGCGACGCCTGCTGCTCCTCCTGCTTCGGCAAGACATGCGCATCGCCGGTCGGCGCGGGTACTGCTGGCGTACCCATGGCATCGGAGGAGGCGGGAAGGCCGAAGGGAAGGGAAGACTCGGACGGCGTCGCGGGCGTGTCGGCATTCTCTGGCTCTGCGGGCGCAGGCGCGCTCGTTGCAGGTGCAGCAAAGGTAGGCGCGGCGTCGGCGGCAGAAGCTGGGGGAGTCGATACAGGTGCGATTGCCGAGGCGGTAGGAACAGGCGCTGCAGTTGAGAGAGGGTCGCGCTGAGTCGCAGCATTGGCGGCGGGAGAAGGGAAAGGCGAAAAGGAAGGCGACCCTGCGTGACCAGGCTTCTTCTGCCCGGGTCCGCCGGCACCACCTTGCTCCCAAGGTCGCCGCCAAGGTGTCGAGTCGGCCTTCAGGAACTCGAGCTTCGGCTGCAAGTCAAGAAAGCCGAGTCAATCGTTACTCTTGAGGAAGCGTGAGAGCAAGCACTCACCAAGATCGGCTCGCCGTCCAAGAACCCGAACAACGCCGCCTTCCAGCCATCCGTGTCCGACCCTTCCTTCGCCTTGCTCAACTTCCGCACCCGCATCAGCGCCTGCAAGTCTTCCTTCGATGTGACGACGAGCTCGGTTGCTTTCGGTGCAGGTGACAGGCTGGGTGAGCCGCCTCGCGAGCGGGACGGGCCGCTGGGCGTACCGCCGGGTGCAGCTGCTGCTGGACGCTTGGAAGTCGATGCGGCGGTAGTGGAAACAGGAGCCGAAGGACGAGGACCGCGACGCTGGGTCGAGTTGGGGAGAGGGGAGGGGACATCGCGCGCAACCGCCTTGCCCTTGTCCTTGCCGGGCGAGCCGTTCGTCGTTGACTGCTGCTGGTTGAGCAAGTCGATATAGCGGACTTCGGCGAGGAGAGCGAGGTTGTCGAGCGGGTTCGGCGAGGCAGACGAGACCTTCTTCCTGCGCGCGTCGCCCTCAGACTCCGAGTCGTCGTCGGACGAAGTGAGGTCGCTGAGAGGGGACAAGTCGCCGCTATCGTACCCCGAGACTGCCGACCGTTTTCGAGGCGCCTTGCCGGCCTTCTTCGACGAGGAAGGCGCGACTTTCTGACCCGTCAAGCGTCCCCAGAAATCGAGGATGACGTGTCGCTCGGGAATCTGATACCGCACGCGGTTGAGCGTCATCTCCTCGATCTCTTCGCGCGGCGCAGGATCGCGTGAGGGCATGACGATGATGTCGCCGTTGTTCGAGCGGTACGGCTGGTCGACCGTGATCGTCTGCGTCGTCTTCGTCTGCCGCCGCTTCGGAACAATGTGGTCGGTGTGGAGCGGGCACATCCACTTGCGAGTAGGCGGAGGCATGCCCGTCATCGGCGGGTCGAGACAGTCGAGATGCCAACTCTGGTCGCAGAAGTCGCACGAGATGATCCGCCGCCGCTTGACTGCCGAAGCCGCCTCGTCGCAGTTGTAGCAGATGATGGGCCGGCCGTTCTTGTCCTTGAGGCGGTAGCCGTCGCGGTCTTCCTGGCCAATCGCGCGGCCCCTGCTCGATTCGGCGAGTCAGCAACTCTTTCCTCGTCGCCGGCTTCGAGCTGCGAGAGAAACGTACGTGATCTTGGAAGGCGGGCGATGCTCGACCGAGTCGATGAATTCCCCATTCGTGCCCGTCGCGACTGGCTCAAAGCGTAAGTACCCGAGCTGAGCAGCGGGATAGCTTGGCAGCGCAACATACCATTCCTGAGGAAGTTCTTGATCTCGTTCGGCAGCGAGAACTGCTTCGGGTTCTTCGTCTCGACCTCATAGATCAGGTCGGTGAAAAAGCCGGCGCGAGGCTTCGGAGGCGGGTGCTGACAGAGGGGAGCTTCGTCAGTCACGTCATGGAATTTCGCGCACTGCCCGGTACGAGTCCTGCAAAAGACGTCTCGGGTAACGCAGGGAGGGAAAGCAGCGACTCACCGCTGCCGCGCGACACGCCTTGCAGAACCAGCTCTCGTCCGGCACCTCGTCAATCTCGAGAGGCGGCTCCAAGCACGAGAAGTGGAAGGAGCGGAGGCAGCCGCCCTCGCAGCACAAGAAGTGGCCCTTGCCGCCGCACGAATCGCAGAAGTCGTTGTTGGGCTGGACGGCAATCGAGGGTCGTGTCAGTCTTCTCGCTCGAAGCTGCACACCTCACGACGTGCGCGAGGACAGTGAGAGTACGTACAAGCTGAACGTCGCCCTGCGTCGAGCCTGGTGCGGCCGCACGGCGAGCGAGTTGCTTGCCCGTCTTTGCAGGGCTGTCAGGGCAAGGCGCGGTCAGCCTGGTTCGTTCGCGCTTCGTCCAGCCCTCGAGACACACCTGAACTTGACGTTCTTGGGCCTCTTTGCGCGCGCGAGGGGTTCCGCCGCGCCGAGCGACCTCTTCGTCCCTGCACCCCCGTCCTGTCCGACCGCCGCTCCGGGCTGCAACACGCTGTGGTCCTTTGGGGGCGCGGGCAATGAGTCGTCTAGAGCATCAGTCCCGAAAGCTTCGAGCTCTTGCTGCGCGAGCGGGTCGAGGTCGTCGAGGTCGGGCGTGGGAGTTCCCGAGGGGTTGTTGCTCGTGTCTGGCTCGCCAGCGGCTGCTTCGGCGGGCTGCGACGAGATGGACGAGGCCCTGGGCATCTGTGCAGCCAAGCGCAAGCCAGAGAACGCAGCGAGAAGCGGTCGAAGCGAGCGAGTGAGGGTCAGGAGGGAGAGGAGCGAACTGGCCTCGCTCGCTCAGTCGCACCGCTCACAGCGCTAACCGCTCGCTCTACGGGCGCGTCGCAAATTGGACAGGCTCAATGACAGGCTGAAGAAGGCCGTGCAGGCGCAATCGAGCCGAAAGGAGAGCTTGCAGCGACGGAAAACATGCTGCGCCCTGCTGGACCTCGTGTCACAAGCGTATCTCGTCGCTTCCAGCCCGCTCGTCGCCCTCCGCACCCGACTACGCGACCGCAATATGTTCTTGAGCGTCGTCTCCTGCTTGTGCCGTCCTGCGCGCGCGAGGAGCAGCGTCAGTGGCTGCGAAAAAGCGAGGGGGAGGAGGACGTGGCGGGACGCACCGACGCTTCAGAACCACCGCGCGATGTCATGCAACTCAGAGTGGCTGGTAGCAGACAACTGTGAGAGTGTATAGATGAGCGCATGCGGCCGGCCGAGCCATGTAGCCGCACGAAAGCCAGTCTGACAAGTAGCGCCGAATCGGACGAGGTGCCGATGGTCAATCTTGCTGTAGACAGCGCCAGCAGCTCGTCAGTAGGTCCTCTAGCAGCTCCGATCGGGCATCCGAATTGCCAGCGCAGCGAGAGCGAGCGTCTGGATTGTCCGAGGCGCAATGGCGAGGTCGGAAGGGCGTTTTGAGCGGCGGCTTCATTGGCGCCGCGGGCAGGTGCGACTGGCGTGGACGGGCGCAGATGGTCTCAGGCAGCACGGTGGGCGAACGAATGCTCCTCAGGCAGGTCTTGCCGTGACGAGCCAGCTCGGTCGAGGCTATCGGGGCGGGATAAGCCATCATCTCGACGCAAGGACAAGCTTCGAGGAAGCAGAGGCACGGAGAGCTGCTCGACGTGTACGCCTGTATCCGTAGCATGCGGAAATGAGGGCTTCCGCGCGAGAACGCTGCCATGGGAAGAACGAGTGTCAGCCAGAAGCGACGTTGGCGGTATCTGCGAGGCGTGCGAAGAACGCACCTTGTCCTCAGCCCGTTTTTGAGCCCGCCTGATGTACTAGCAACCCTCCACACGGCCCCGGGAGTCGAGTCGAGACGATCCAGCAGAGAGAGGCAGGTCGAGGAGGCGAGAAGGACTCCTCCTGCGGTGGGAGGAGACTAGGACGAGAGCTGCGCGGCTGCACAAGCGTCTAGAGTGTCCCAGTAAGCTGTACGCCCCTTCTCTAGCTGTGCAGGAGGGTGAGCGAGCGAGAGTCCTTGCCTCCGCCTGCCACGCTCCTCACACACCCTCAAACCCCACTCGTTCTCTTGTTTGTAGGGCTGCTGCTCGGTGGGCACTGGCTGAGATGGCTTCGCAACCGCCAGAAACCCCGCGACCGCGCTCGTCGTCGAGTACGACGAGCTTCACCTCCCCACCTCCCTCGTCCCGACGACGACCGCCTCCCTCGGTCCTCTCGCCTCTGAGCGGCCTGTCCAACGCCAGTCCAGCCGCGTCACTCCGATCCTCAACCTATCAGAGCTCCGCGCGGTCCCCAGAGTCGGTCAGCGGGTACTCACTCGCCCCATCCCGCTTTCGCACCTTCTCGGCTACAGCGAGCCAGGCTGGCTCAATCGCGACGACAGCGAGTCCAGGTGGACCGGCGAGGTTCAAGCGCGGTCATGCGAGGAAGAGGCCGGGACAGCCGCCGCTCCCGCCGCCTGTCAGGACCAACAATCCGGACGAGGTCGACTTGATGGCACTCGAGGAGCCGGACGAGGTGTTTCGCATGTTCGGCGTGCGAGATGTGCGCAAGATTGAGCAGCGGGCGAGGTGTGTAGAGCCGCCTTCCTCATTGAAGGACGCGATTGACCTGTTCTCCTGCAGCGATGCCGCGAATGCCAAGGTGGCAGAGCTACGGACGATGGTCGGCGAGCGCTATCGCGACCTCCTTGCTGCCGCCGACTCGATTGTGCGCATGCGAAGCGCGGCCGAGAAGCTCGTCGACAAGCTCGACACGGTTCAGGCGGCTGTGAGCGCAGCGGATTCAGCTGTTGCTGGTGAGTCCGCTTCATCGAGGCGGGCGGAGATCGTTGCTGACTTTCAAGGCCTCGCAGACACGCCAACTAAGCCGCGGCCAACACTTCAGAACAAGCGACAACGGTCCGACTCGCCTACCGAAGAACGGACACTCGCTTCCTCCGCCACCCTCTCTTTCACCATCCACCTGCTCCTCACCATCCCTTCCCTCGTTCACTCGCTCGTCGATTCTTCCGACTTCCTCCTCGCCGCACGACTCGAAGACCTCGGCCGACTGGTCTACCGCGAGTTGTCGGAGTTTTCGCCTCCCGCTGCGGAAGGAGACGATGAGGATGAAGAACCGCCGCGGCTTCAGGAGAGCTTTCCCATCATTGAGAAGCAGTGGGAGATACTGTCGGCTCTGAGACCAGTCGTGCTGAGGAACGCGCTGGGCGATCTGAAGGTCTGGGACGCGCCTGCTTCGGTGCGTCGTCTTCCTTCACAGGTCCCAGCCGCGGCTTCTGACTCGTTATCTTTGCAGCGGACGGCACAAACGGTTGCCGCCATCGTCATGCTGCAAGAAACGACCACCTCCTCCGCCCTTTCTACCTTCCTCAACGCCCGTTCCCGCACCCTCGACGAACTCCTCCGCGCGCCGTCTACCTCGTCGAACACCCTCACGCCTGCCGTCGTCACCGAAAGGCTGGAACAGGTCCTTGGCCTGATCCTTCGCACGGTTGAAGCGGTGTCGACCATCTTTGGCGGCGAATCGAGCGACGGTATGCTCGCGCAACTCCCTCAGCAGGTCGAGCAGCCTGGCGATGCGGCATCTCCAGTCCCGCCCATCTTCAGCGCCTTCCCGAACTACTCGACTCTCCAGCGGCACCTCCCGGACTCGATCCTGCGCTACTCGCCGACTCTCACAGCCTCGCAGACTGGTTCACCGGATGCAGTGCAAGCCGTCACGAGCCAACTCGATGCGTGGCTCTCGCACGAGGTGGAAAGGGTCGTCTCGGGGATCAGTTCCTGGATCTCGACGCTCTGCTCGCCTGCGCCCGGTTCGCCATCGTCTTCCTCAGCCGGCGCCAAGCCCCTCTCGCACATCCGCCTCGCCGTCCGCCGCAACCTCACGACAGCCGAGCCATCCTCAACCTCCGTCGCCAAATCCCTGCAGTCCCGCCTCGAAGGCACGATCGAGACCCTCTTCGCCGACGTCTACCGCTCGCGTCTTTCGGCCCTCGTCTCCCGCGTCCAGCCATCCCTCCAGACGCTCCTCCTTGCACTGCCAGACTCGGAAGCCGACCGCGACACCGCCAAATTCCTCTTCGATGCGCCTCTCGCCTTCCCCAACGCCGGGATGTACGCCTCCCGCTCGTCCTCGGCCAAGACGGCTGGCACGGATCCGTTCGAGGCGTTCTTGAGCAAAGTTGGGAAGCGCGTTGAGGGGCGGAGTCCACTACTTGATACGGGTTTGACGGAGCTGGAGGAGGCGGCGAGGGATCTCCGGACGGACCTTGAGGACTGGCTTGGCGAGAAAGAGGATGTGAAGGGCGCGGAGGACGACCGTGAGATGCGGGCGAGGTTGCGGAGGGAGTACTTGTCTGCGGCAGAGGAGACGCTCAAGGGCGTGGCGGATGCGCTCGACGCAGTGTTGGCCGAGGTTGCGGACGGTGCGTACCGATTCATCAGCAGATTCCGCAGTTTGCTGACAGACTTGCCGTACAGATGTCAGCAACTCGCTCTTCGTCGGCAACTTTGCCTTCCTTCTTTCGTCCAGCCGAACCTTCACGCGCGACTTGTTGCTCTCGGGTACCTCGTCACAAGGTGAGCTGAAGCGGTTGCGTGACCCGTCAACTGTACGCTGATACACTCCACTCAGATCTACCTTTCCTTTCGAGCTGGCGGGACCGGCTGTCGGCCATTCAGGACGCATCCCTCGAGACATGGCGTTTGCAAGCGGTCGCACGGGCAGTTGGCAAGGTGCAAGAGTCGATGAACGCGGTCGCTGCTGCAGCGCCTGGCGCGACTTTGTGGGCTTGGGATGGTGCGTTCGTTCCCTCACGCAGGTGGCTCGCCACCCGCTGACGTTGCGTTACCAACAGCTTCGCGAAGTGCGGGCGAAAACGATGCGCTTCTCCCTTCGTCGCCCTCCTCAGCCCTCCTGTCGGCACTTCGCTCCCTCTCCTCTTCGATCCACCGCGTCGGCCTGCACCGCACCCAGTCTGACTCGTCAATCGCCGTCTCCCTCCTCGCCGCCTTTGCCGAACAGGCCCGCGATGTTGCGGGTCACTTCGCCGAGGCGCTCGAGAAGGGCGAGGTGCCGGACGAGCGGGTCAAGCGCGAGGTTGCGGCACAAGTCGCGTGGGATCTCGCACTCGTCGGAAGGCTCGTGTCGGCGCACAAAGGCGCGGCTAGCTCGAAAGGGGAGTGGGAGGACGCGAAGGGACGCTTTTTGCAACTCGTGCGTACCACTGCCTTCCTTCGGTATCGTAGCTTGAGCTAACTAGCCGAATCCGCCTACAGGTTTCGTCCAACGCGGGTTCTCTCGCATCTCGGGTTGACGACTCGGCGCTCCAGTACCTCCAGCGGACGCAGTCCATCCTCGCCGCTCTCCTTCCTTACGACCGGACGCTTGCGGCTCAAGCAGGTTCGACAGGAGCTGCCGGCAAAGCGAAAGCCATCGGTGCAACCGCCCGACTTCTCCCGCTCGGACAGACGGTCAGCGGTGCAGGCTCGCTCGGCGACTTCAAGAGCACGTCGGCAGGTCTCGTCAAGCCTGGACCGAGGTTGGGCCTGCTGCCTACTCGTGGATGAGCGTATCAGACGCAATGCACGCGGCTCTCTCACAGCGTTTCTGGCGTGGGAATACGAAGCGGCGTTGAGATGGCGAGAGGATGCGAGCGTGCGCGGTACGGATCCGGTCTAGGGTATATGCGAGTGTCCGTGAGTGCGGCAGAGACTAGTCAGAGAACTCCTCCCTCGCTCGCCTCTCCTGCTCGGCTGCCGTTAAAGGGGTACCGGCCTGGAGGAAGAGCGTGGTCAGCGGAGTCGGAGAAGGCGGAGAAGAATCGTTGGGGACGCACCGGCTCGTCCTGGAACCGCACATGCCCTCGCTCGGCATGCTCTATCTCCTCCGCCGACCGCCTCGCCTCCCGCTTGTGCTGCACCAGCTCTTGTCCCTCGTCGCCCGAATCGTCCTCCTCATCCGAGTTGAGGGCGAACGCGTTGAAGAGGTCCCGCGTCCTTGCGCCGCCAGTCCTGCTCACGCCGCCCCGCTCCATCGCGCTCATCGGCACGAGATCCTCGTCGTCTTCGTCAAAGTCTTCAAAGTCGGTCGCGGGAGCGAAGGCGTACCCGCCGCGTCCGCCTCCTCCTCGTTGCACCGAGCGACGGCGGAGGAATAGGTATGCCGTGGCGCCGGCGATGAAGATGACAATCGTGCCGGCTGCGACGAAGAGCCAGGTCGTCGACCCGACGAGAGAGGAGAGGCCGGCGAGGTAGCCGGGCGTCTGGTCGTACAGCGAACCGGAAATCGACGTCGCTGATGATGAAGGCGGAAGCGAGTAGTCGATCTCGTCGAGCTCATCGCCCTTGCCGGCTGCTGGCTGAGCGGTCGGAGTCGGCTGGTGGTAGCCATCGCCGAACGAAGAGTGCGCCTCGCCCGTCGCCTCGGCGTGGTCGTCCGGCAAGTGCGCCGTCGGCTTGATGTAGGTCTTGGTCGGCGCCGAAGGGTTCGTCGCTGTTGTTCCGACAGCAACGGCAGGGACAGAAGTCGAAGCGACCGGCTCCGGCTCGACCTCGTTGCCCTCTTCGTCCTCGAACGCCAGCTGGTACGGCTTCGCAAGCGTGGCATCGATGGCCGAGCCCCAGAGCTGGATCGCGAAGCGGTAGAAGGTGCCCGACTTCTGGTTGTCCTGGCGATCCCGGACGCGCAAAGTCCAGGTCCCGACCGGGTCCTCGTCCCTGCATCACGAGCAGGTCAGCCAGCTATCGAGAGAAGCGCAAAATCGGGACGCACCAGTGCTTGACGCTCATGAAGACCCAGCCCATCATTCCCTCCGCACTCTCGTCGAACCGCCGCGGGCGGGCAAGAATGCTCTTCATGCCCTTTGGCGAAACGAGCTCAACTTCGACGTCTCCGCGGCGCTGATGCTCGATGAAGACGGTGATGGTGACGTGCTCGAGCTTCTCGAGGTTAGCCGCCTTGAGGTCCTGGGTGGTGACGGCGAGTTCTGCGGTCACGCCGTCCGCCGTGATGGGCATGCCGAGGTGCGTGTTGATCTTGTCCGCGTAGGCCAGCGGAGACTGCCACCACGCTTGCGGCTTGACAAGCTTCCACGACTTGGCGGCCTCGACGATGGCGTACGCGTCCAGCTTGCCGAACCCGTACTTGTGGTTGTAAGGTCGTCCGGAAGCCGTCATCTGCCAGTCGGGGTCGTTCGGGTTGATCTGGACGGCCGTGCGGACGCAGAGGTGTTGCATGTCGCGCCAGGTCAAGTCGGGGCGGACTTCAAGGACGAGAGCGAAGATGCCGGCGGCGATGGGGGCGGCAGCGGAAGTACCGCCGTGGCGGTCGGTGCAGGTCTGCTTGCCGACGTCGGTCGTGTGCTGCGGTGAGGACGAGGATCAGCCGGTAGCCTGCGGAAAGCGAGCGGGACGGCGCTTACAATGTTGTCGCCGCTGCCCGACGAGTAGGTGACGACCATGTTGGCGCTGCACGCCTCCGAGTAGAACGGATGCAGGCCCTTGCGGTCGATCGCGCCAACCGTGATGCTCATCAAGCTGTTCGTGTAGCCGTCGAAGTTGCACTGATCGTCGACCGCTCCGCCGTTGCCGCTCGCAAAGACGAAGATCGACCCTTTGCCCTGTCGACCGTTCTGGACGCCGTTCAGCATCGCCTGGACGATCAGCCGGCCAGGCGCCTCCATCGAACGACCGTCGTCAGGCGGTCCCCACGAGCACGAGTAGATGTCATTGGTTTGGTAGCCGTAGTTAAGCGACGAGGCTTCATCGGCGTCCGAGATGGATGCAGAAAGGATGCGGATGCCGGCGATGCCGGCGCCGTGAGCGACGCCAACTCCGCAGACGTCGTTCTTGACGGCGGCGATCTCGCCTGCGCAGCGGGTGCCGTGCTGGTCGTCGGCGAGGCGAGGTTGGGGCAAGGCGGTGTTGTCGTTGTAGTCCCACGAGCCATCGGCGTGCTGCAGAAGCAAAGGTCAGTCTCGAGCAGGCGAATCGCTTCGAGCGGAAGACGCACGAAGTTGGCGGCCAGGTCGTCCGAATGCATGTCGAGTCCATCGTCGACGATTGCGACGTTGACGCCCTTCCCGACGATTCCCTGCTCCCACACGCCCGTCACGTTGATCGAGTTCTCCGGCATGACTCCGTTGACGAGGTGCCACTGCTTCGACCACAGCGGGTCGAAGATCTTGAACTTGGACGCCATGGCTGCGATCAGGCCTGTGCCGAGAGTCGCATCGACGATGCCGACACCAGGTTGTTGCGGGTCTCGTTCGCCGAGGAGAGGGAGAAAGGCTCGTCGGCGGAGTTTAGTCGACCAGGGTTGGGAAGGGGGAAGGACGGGAAGGTCGCGCTTGACTCGCTGACGGGGGTGTTGGCGCTCGAGTGACCGAACGAGGCGGGAAGAGGAGGAGAGGGAGCGTTTGGCGTGAAGGTGCGAAGCCGGGCCCGGCAGACGTCTCCGCAGCAGCTCGTACCGCTCGAGTACCTTGTCCCGCTTGCCCTCCTCGACACCCTTAACTGTCCGTCGCCGCACGTCGTTCCCATTCACCGCCTGCGCCGTCGCCGCAAGTTCCCACTGCTCCTCGCCTCGGTCGACCTCTCCCGCCTCCGCCCGGATCAAGTAGTGACCCTTGAGCTCTCCCACCTGCTCGACGTGCTCCGCCCCAAGCGCCTCTGCAATCTCATGCGGCGTCCGCCCTCCCATCGCAAGCTGCGCCTCGTCGACCTCGAGAACATAGTACACGTGCGAGTCGTAGTCCCGCTTGGCTGGCTGGAGCTTCGCTGCGAATGCTGGTGGTGCGCTCGTGCATACGAACAATGCAACGAGGGCGAGCGCTGCTGCGAACGAGGCGGCGAGGGTGGTGCCGCTTCGTGGCGAGGACGCGAGGGGCGCCATGGCTGCGCTTGGGGCGGGTCGACACGCTACGAAGGCGATAGAACGCAGTCCAAGCAGCAGATCGAGCCAGTAAACAAGCCAAAAGACGAGAGTTGCGGAAGCGTGTGAACGAGAGCCAACTCCCAAGCGAGGAGGAGAAGGACAACCTGGCAACCGCTGTCGTGAGGCGCTCTTTCTGCTGCAAGTGGACGAGAAGGAGCTCGCCAGGCTTTCCGTCGTCTGGCCGAGGCGAAAGAGGGCGGCGCTCCTCGAGAAACCGCTGCGAACGGCTGGAGGACAACTGCCTTGCAAGCGGACGACGCATGTTGGTACAGGAAAACGACGACGTAAGATACAACGAGAAGGGACGAGTGGGAAACAAGCGAAGGGATGCGGCGCGATGGAATCACCACTTCTCAATCTGTTCGGCGAGCGTCTTCGCGGCCTGCGCCCAGTCGACCCTCGCAATCTTCTGAATCTGGTACCGGACGCGCGTCTGGTCCCCAAACGAGTCGGCCTTGGCCTTGATGTTGAGGTTGTAGCACTTGCCGATCGCGTTGGCGATGGTCGACTGGAACGCCGGGTCGTCGTCCTCCTTGAGCGCCTGCATCTCGTCCGCCGTCTTGCCAAACAGGTCCTGCCCGACCTCGTTGAAGCCCGACACCCAGATCTGCGACGTGTAGTCGTTGACGCACATCGAGATGATGTACCTGTGCGCGGCCTTCCCCGTCAGCGTCTCTTTGGGAAAGGGGATGGAGTAGGCGCACCTGTACTGCGGCTGCTCGTACGTCATCTCGCACTTGTCGCACCTCCACTGCCTCTCCCCCTCCTGCGCCATCTTCTTGTTGCACCGGTCGGTCGGGCAAGCAGGGTACGACAAGTTGTCGCCCTTGACGTACGTGACCGTCGCGCGCGTCGCAAAGTAATCGGGCTTCTCGCCCATCCCGAGGTTCTCGTCGACGACGTCCTTGAGAGGCTTGAACGCGTCGGGCTTGAAGGCGTTGGCGGAACCGGCGCCGGCGCCCATCGCGTTCGAGTGCGAGTGGAACGACTGGTTCTGCCCCTGCGTGTCGTACCTGCGCGGCGAGGGCGTCGTGAGCGTCACTTCACTTGAGCGCCGAGAACAAGGGGCGACTCACCATCCGCGAAGAGCGTGCGCCTCCTCGATATCGGGGTCAACGACGACGGTCGACTGCCCAGACACGCTCAGACTCCTGCCTCCAAAGTCCCCGACCTTGGCCGCCTTGATCGCGACAATCCCATTATCGACCTCGTTCCAGCTCTCCGCCTGCTTTCCCCAGAGCGTGACGCGGCACGCATACTGCGACCGGTCGACGAGGGTGAGTTCGCGCTTCTTGATCTGCTTCTGTGTCGCCTTGGCCGTGATTTCGGAAACGACGCCGTTGTCTTGCACGATGCCGATCACGTCGCAGGTCGCGTCTTTGTCGACCGACGTCAGGTCGGCGAGCTGGACAAAGTTGAACTGGACCTTCGGGACTGAACTGTCCTCCGACTGCGCATCGCCACCGTCACCAACTCATCAGTCTCTCCCCTTCCCAACTAACGAGACATCACCGCGTAAACGCACCTCATCCACCGCCTCGACCTCTGTATTGTTCTCAAACGTGATCTCGTACTCGTTGTTGAGGTTCGAGAACTGCTTCTTGGCGATATTGACCCTCGCGCGCGAGATGCGGTACACTTTGTGTTCCTCGAGGATCGGGTAGAGGCGGTCGCAGGCTTCGTTGAACCCTGTCGCGCGAATCTCGCCCTGCCCGCGTAGCGGTGTCAGCGAGAGCGGGAGGAGAGGGAATGGGAGGAAGGGGGACGCACAGACTCGTCGAGGAGGTTGACGCTGAAGAGCTTGCCCTCGCCGCGCTGGTTCGTCCAGTGACGGATCTCCGACTTGCTCGTCACGCGGGCCTTGATCGTCCACCTTCGCGCACCAAACCCCTCATCAGCTTCCTCGCATCGTGCGAGAGCGAACGAAGACTCACTTGTTCTGATACGGACTCAGACTCTCGATAGGGTAAATCGGCGCATCGCTCAAGCTCCCTCCGCCCCTCGCCCCTCCAGGCCCAGTCCTCTGCGCAGCCCCCCTCCTCGCCGCCGCAGCAGGCGTCTTACTCGCGTTACTGCCCGCCATCGGGCGCGCAGGCGCAGCGGGAGCAGGAGCAGAGTCGGCCATCGAAGTGTCGGCTTGGGGTTGTTGTCCTTGGAGGGCGGTTTCGATCGAGCTGGGCTGGCCGATCTTTTCGGGGTGGTGGGAGACGGGTTCGACGGAGAGGATGATGACGATGCTGTGCGCCCCATCTCTTCGCATCAGCCTCACTTCCTCGAAGACAGGGAGGGAAGCGAGTGACGGTTCGGCGAACGCACCGGCGGTTCTGGACGACATTGACTGCGTAGGTGGGCAGCTTGACGATCGTGTTCTTGACGATTTCGGGCGAGTCGCCCGAGACGTAGTGGTTGAGGGTCGTCGTGAGCATGGCCTGGGCAAAGTGTTCGCCGTCCGAGAGGATCAGGCTGCGGGCAGTGCGACACCGTGTCAGCTCACTGAACCCCTTCGCCAGCTCGTGTCGCCCAGCCCGCCCAGCTGAAGCGACAGCAGCTTCGAAGATGAGATGTGTGCGAGACTGACCGGTACCTGTCGGTGGCCACTGCGCCGGACGCGTTGACCTTTTTGACGCTGAGTACCTGCAAGACGGGTTCCACGCTTGCGGGGTCGTCGAGCGACTCGTACATTGCGCTGCGAGCCGAGGGAAGCGAGATGTCAGCGGACGCGTCGAGGGGAGGTGGGGTGGCGAGCGAGCGCAACTGGATTGCGTTGTGAGTGAGTGCCATTGCGAGAGTGGCTCGTGCGAGTCGAGTCGAGTTGGACGGTGCACGAGTCCAGCGAGAGCGAGAGAGCGTGGAAGTCAACGATGAAGAGCGAGCGCGCCGACGACGCGTGCGAGGCGAGCGAGTGAGAGAGAGTCAAGGACCGAGTATTGGACTGTGTAGACTGGCTGGTACTGCACATTACACTCTATTACACTCACTAATACACCCTGTGGAATTACTCGAGCAGAGATGTCAACCCTCTCTCCTCCTCATCACTCGACGTCGTCCACTCGCTCGCCATGGCTCCGCTCAAGGTGCTCGTCACAGGGCCAGCGCATTCACTCGACGCCTACTTCACGAAACTCGCAACCCTCCAGGCGAAACACGCCTTCGACCTCGTCCTCTCCCTCGACCTCTTCTCCCATCTCGAACCCGCATCCCGCGACAGCCAGCTCGAGCGACTCGTCAGGGGAGAGTACAGCGTACCCGTGCAGGTCTACGCAGCACATGGCAGGGACCCGCTCCCGCCTCAGGTCAAGCAGCGCGTGGACAAGGGCGACGAGGTCTGCGCCAACCTCAACTTCCTCCGTGCGTACACACGAGCTCAACTCGGCCGGGATGCTCCTCAAACGACGACGCTGTGACTGATACGGTGTGAACCGCGATGCGCACAGCCAAGGCCGGGTTGCTCACCCTCGCCTCGGGTCTCCGCATCGCAACCCTCTCTGGCACCTCCCCCTCCTCCGACTCTGGCTCTCCCATCACAGACGCCGAGCTCTCCTCCCTCATCGCCTCTCTCACGCCCCCTTCCTCCGCACCCGGCTCGTCTCTCCCCCCTCCTCCCCCAAAGCCCATAGACCTCCTCCTCACACACCTCTGCCCCTCCTCCCTCCCCCTCCTCTCCTCCAAACCCCTCACCCCATCCGACCCATCCACCCCCTTCGCTCCCGAACTGGACGACCTCGCCAAGCGCGCTCGAGCGAGGTACCACTTCTTTGATGCGCCCGGCGTCTTTTGGGAGCGCGAGGCGCTCGAGTGGCCCGTCGAGGAGGGCGTGAGCGCGGAGAAGAGTTATTGTAGGGCGCTGGGGCTGGGAGCGATGGGCAACAAGACGAAGGAGAGGGTGAGTTCTGCGTGCGGGACTCCGACTTGCGCTCGACCTGTTCTGGCTTACAGGACGGGTCGAGCTACAGCTGGGTGTGGGAGTCGCACTGACTCAGATCCCTAATGCTCGCAGTGGTTCTACGCCTTCTCCATCACCCCCTCCATCTCCCCATCCCCTCCCACCTCCTCCACCCCCTCTCCGTTCCACACCTCCCTCCGCTCCGGCACCCTCTCACTCGCCTCCTCTCTCTCAGGCTCGAACGGTCCGCGCGGACTGAAGAGACCTGCGGGCGTGACGGAGGAAGATGTGAATGAGATGGGCGTGCCGAATTGGATTTTTGAGGGCGTTGGTGGGAAGAATGGAGCGGGAGGGGAGGGGAGGGAGAGGAAGAAGGGAAAGGGACCGCCGCCGTTAGTCTGCGTTCGTACCCTGCATGAATCGGAGCGGTTGCTGCCCTTCGCGCAGGGGACCGCTTCCGTTCTAGCGCCTCGAACCTGGGCAGAACTGACGCCCTCTCGCGCTTTTTTGCAGCGACCACTACACCTGCCGCATCTGCGACCAGAAAGGTCACTGGATCCAAGACTGCCCCGAGAAGGAAGCGAGGGACGCCGAGCGCGCCGCGAGTCGCGCGCACAAAGGTCCCGCCAAGCCGATTTCGCGTGTGTCCCTCCCTCCTCTTTCCCGGCTTGCAGACGTTTAGCTGACCGGGATTCTTGTTGGTGGTCGGGCACGCACAGCCGATGAATGCTGGTTCTGCCTCTCGAACCCGAAGGTTACGAAGCACCTCATCGCCAGCATCGGGAACGAGGTCTACCTCACGCTCCCCAAGGGTCAGGTCACCTCGACCGACTCGAGTCCGGTCCCGGGAGGCGGGCACGTCTTGTTGATCCCGGTGAGTTTGCGGGAAAGGGTTTCGCTCGTTCCGTCAGACTTCCGCGAAGTACGGTGCTCGCCCTCTTAATCCCGCTGACGCACTCGCGCTCACACGGCCGCAGATCGCGCACTACCCCACCCTCCGCTCAATCCCCGCCGACCTCGCCCCTCCGATCCTCGAAGAAATCGAGCTGTACAAGCAGGCGCTCAAGAAGTGCTACAAGTCGTTCGGGGCCGAGATGGTTGCGTTTGAGGTTGCGAGGAGTGCGGGGAAGGGAGGGCATGCGCATGTGCAGGTGAGTGAGGGGTTATTTGAGGCGTCGCCTGTGGGGAGCTGCAGGGTTCCGCCTTGTGCAGCTCGCTCGCATTTACGCAGACCTCCAATGCCCCCACTAACGCTCCCCTCGCGCCCGCAGATCTGTCCCATCCCCTCCTCTCTCGCCTCCGAAGCCGAATCGACCTTCCTCACGCAAGGCGCCAAATTCAACTACGACTTTGAAGAGATCGCCGAGCCTTCGACCTTCCACGCGCGCGCCGAACAGGACGGCAAGGGCACCGAGTACTTCAAGGTCGACTTGCCGGATGGGAAGAGTCTGGTGCATTGGTTGAAGCCCGGGACGCCGTTCTCGTTGCAATTCGGTCGGTGCGTCTCAACTTCCTCTGTGCTTCCCTTCACGCACTCCGCGATGAACGAAACTGATGGCTTGCGTTGTTGATTCGCAGCGAGACCCTCGCCCTCCTCCTTCACGCGCCCGACCGCGCCGATTGGAAACGCTGCGCCAAGCCCGACGACGAGGAGAAGAAGGACGGGCAGAGGTTCAAGAACTTGGCTTTCAAGGCGTTCGACCCGAGCACTTGAGCCCGCATGCGGAGGACGGAAGCTTGAAATGGACGTTTGAGTTGGATGGTGCTGAGGGAGGGTGAGGGCGAGGTGAGTAGGCTCTCCTGCGCACTTCATGCTGCTCCGTGCTTCTCGCCCTCAGCTGGCTTCGACGATTATTTGCCGCATCGTATCGGCCCTCGTTCCCATCTTCGTATCCTCCTGACCTCCGCCACACGCTCCGCGGAATGTCCGGCTCGCTGTTCTCGCTCGCCCTTCTCCTTCTCTCCCTCCTGCTCACTCTTGCTCCACTACCGCTCAATGCCACTCACGTCAGATCGCTGGACGGCGGATCGCTTCCCCGTCCCTCGAATCTACGACGATGCCTCGCCGTCAAGCGTCTCTCCTCTCGTCGCTCCACCCGCTTTGATGCCGCGCTACTCCAGCTCGCCTCAGTCCAGCCATCCAGAATCGCCAACGTCTCCCGCTGCGCCAACCTCGCCCTTCTCGCCCATCGCTCGCACCGACAACCGCCCCTTTCACCTCAGCGCCGCCCCTCACCCTCGATGGTTCACCTCGCACCTGCACCAACTCGAGCGCGACGTCTCCCACTCACGCTCCCGACTCGCCGAGGTCGAAGCGGAGGAGACCTATCACTTTCCCGACGCGAGTGAGGCAACACACTCGAAACCTCTCATCCCGAACCAGATCAAGGGTTTTGACATGCCCGGCGCTGATACGGCCGAGGTCAAGGTTTGTGGAGATCTGGCGGCGCTTGGAGCGGGCGCGGGTGTGGCGGTTTGGAGCGCGAGTTGCGATTTGGCGAGTTGTGCGTCGTTGGACGTTGGATTCCCTCGAGTTGGCCCGACGAAACTGACGGCGTTCTTGTGTAGCCATCGTGAGGGGGACAGTCTTGGGAGATATGGCGAACACAATGTGCTGGTCGCAGAGCGGAAGGTACGCTCTCGTCTTCTTCACCTTGAAGAAGCAGGCTGAATCCTCTTTACAGGTATCTCTGGGTCGGCACCTGGTTTGGGCACCTGCGCGAGTTCGACACCGCCGCTTTTGCCGCTCACCCGACGTTGCTCGCAACCTTTCCGCTCGAAGCGCACCGCGCCGACGCCCATCCTTCCGGCTCGCCTATCATCCTCGTCTCGCGCATCTTCGGCGATCAGATGCTCACGCTCGACTCGACGGGTCGAATCGTCGTCTGGCTGCCGGACGAGAAGCACGGCAAGCTCGCCTCGCTCCACTCGCACTCGAAGGTGCTCGAGATCCCGCCCGAACCGCTGCGAGTGAAGGTCGTCAACGACCTCGTATGGGCTGATTGGAAGGTCTCTGCATCCGATGCGCTTGGCGGGCTGGAGAGACGAGTGGTGCGGGTCTACGACGTGAGCGGCACGCGGGCAATGTTGCGATGTGAGAAGGGCTGGGATGTGCAGGCGCTTGGCGGGATCTTCACGTTCTGCAGTGTGCCGTCGCACCCGCAGTTCGTCTTTGCAGGTCATGCGTGTGTATCGCGTCCTTACTGATCTTGTTCGAGGATGAGTGACCCTGCTTTGACAGATCCGGGCACATTTCGATGTGGAAGTTCGACGGTACCAGTATGCTCGGGGTGAAGCGGGTCTCAAAGGAGGCTGTCACGTCTCTCTGCGGTCCATCTCGTTTTCTATGGGTCGGCTACGCAAAGTGCGTGTCTTCGACGCCGAGCTTCGCTCGCGAGATGAAAGTTCACCTTCTCTCTACTTCGCAGCGGAACCATCGACGTTATCGACCTCGGTTCGTCCGACCGCTGGAAAGTCGTCAAGCGCTGGCGAGCGCATCGGGGACCGGTGCTTACCCTCAGCGTTGACGCTTCGTCGCTTTGGACGGTACGCAGAGCGCTTCGCCTCCTGCGAGTCCCGCTGACCGTTTCGCTCGACAGGCCTCGAGTTTGCGCGTATACAGCGGAGGAGCAGACTACAAGGTTCGCTTCTGGGATGGCTTACTGCGTGACGACTGGATCTGTACGTTCCGCGCCGCTGTTTCCCCTCGACCTTCCTAACCTTCCTCCATGGCCAGCCCGACGGATGCAGGAGACGGTCGAGATGTACTGCGACTTCTCGCCGCTGCGCATGGCCATCCTCACCTGGAACTGCGACGGGCAGGACCCCGCTCTTCTGCAGCGAACGGAGGCGAGCCGCAATCTGTTCGCTTCTTTCCTCCAGCGGCTCGACAGGCCAGATCTCGTTGTCTTCAACTTTCAGGAGGTGCGTTATCCGCCTACCCGTCTGCTAGAGCCGCTGGCTGACCAGTAAAAAAGTGAACAGCTGGTCGACCTGTCGGACTTGACCCTCGCCGCCCGTTCGTCATCCCATTCTGTTGTGCTCACAGTGCGCTGACAGCTCCCGGAAGGCACTGTCCTATTTGCGACTGCGACGCACGACGTTACGGGTCGCTACAGGCATTGGCGGACGTTGCTGTCGGACGCGGTCGAGCGCTTCCTCGGTCCCGACTACGCCCTCGTACACGAAGACAAGCTTGTCGGAGTGAGTAGCAGAGGGCCTCGTCGAGTAATCACCGTGACTGACGTCTCTACGGACTTCAGCTATTCACCGTCGTCTTCGCACGACGTACCATCGCTTCGCAGATGAAGGACCTCGCTTCCTGCCACATCAAAAGCGGGTTCGACGAGACGTACGGCAACAAGGTGCAAAGCTCAGAAGCGGTTTCAATCGTCCCATCACTGACGCCTCGCTTCGCAGGGCTCAATTCTGCTTCGCTTCGTCCTGCAGGACTCTTCCTTCTGCCTCATCAACGCGCATCTCGCGGCCGGCAAGACCCACCCTGCCGAACGTCAGCGGGACCTCATCCAGATACTTGACTCGGCGAGCCGCTTTCCGCGACCAGAACAGGCGACGCACGGTGCGTATGTTGGCGGCGGAGACGGGACCGAAGTGCTGGATTGCGAGACTGTCTTCTTCGCTGGTGAGTCGGCCTCTTGCTTCCTCCTCGAGTCGTATCTCACGCCTCGTTTGCAGGCGACCTGAACTTCCGCATCCAGCTACCTCGCGAGGAGGTCCTCCGAACACTCGCGCAGCCAGATCCCTACTCCCGTCTTCTTCCGCACGACGAGCTCACGATGCTCAAGCACGACGACCCCGCCTTCCGCCTGCGCGCTTTCGACGAGGCGCCTATCGACTTCCCGCCGACTTACAAGTACGATCACTTCTCCTCGCAATACGACACCTCGGCGAAGCAGCGGACGCCGAGCTGGTGCGACAGGATTCTGTGGAGGGCGCAGCGGGAGGGAACCGTCGAGTGTTTGCGATATGAGCGATTCGAGGCGGACATGAGCGATCACAGGGTGAGTTCGTCGCCCTTCGACGACAATTCTCGCTGACACCGTCACTCGTAGCCCGTCGCCGCCACTTTCCAGGTCATGGTTCGCACGATCGACCCTGTGCGAGCGGACTCGGCGTGCAGACGGACGGTGCACGACTGGGCGAAAGTCGAGGAGGAGTTGCTTCAGACCGCGCGGCAGCATCACCCGGTCGGGCAGTAGATCGTTCGAGGGAATGTATTGAACACAACAACAATCGGCAGTGTCTGTCATTCGTGCTCCTTGACTCCCTTTTACACTACTCTCCCTCCGCAAGTTGGCTCGCGAAGTACCGAATCGTCTCCTCCAGCCCAGCCATGACCGTCCACCTTGGCTCCCAAGCCAGCACCTCCTTTGCAAGCGTGATGTCCGGCTTGCGGCGAGGCGGATCGTCAACGACAGCCGGGACAAACTCGATCTCGCTTTCCTTCTGGCCGGCGGCGAGAGGCGGGATCGAGCCGGTCGCGCGGAGGTCCTTGACGAGTGCGAGGATCGTCGACGCCCAGGACAGGACGGTGCCTTCGTCAGGAGAACCAATGTTGACGGGTCCTTCGGAGTAGTCGGATTCCATCAAGGCGATCAAGCCGGAGATCAGGTCGTGGACGAACTGCGTAGAGCAGCAGAGTCAGTCCAGAGCCTTGGAGGACGCTTAGATAGCTAAGACGCACCATAAGCGAACGCGTAGCCTCGCCGTCGCCGTAGACCTGCAAAGGTTCGCCCTTGAGAGCCGCGACGACAAAATTGCTGACGAGTCGCCCATCGTCGGCGCTCATTCGAGGACCTGTACGGAGAACCGCACCGTACAGCGCTTGTCAGCCGCCCGAGCAAGACAGACAGCGCCGAACGAAATCTTTCACGCACCGAAGCAGTTGAAGATCCTCGCAACCCGCACATCAACGCCGTCTTGCCTCGCATACCCGTACGTGAGCGCCTCGGCAACTCGCTTTCCCTCGTCATAGCAGGAGCGAGGACCATTGGGGTTCACGTTGCCCCAATAGGTCTCTGGTTGAGGATGGACGCTCGGCGAGCCGTAGACCTCTGCGGGTGCGGATCAATCAGCCTCGCCTCGCTTCAAAGGACTACGACAGTGAGCTACGCACCGGAAGTACTGCTCAGCAAGAAGCGCGCCTTGGTTCGCTTCGCCAGCCCGAGCATGTTCAGCGTGCCCATGAAGCTGGTCTTGAGCGTCTTGACCGCGTTGATCTGGTACGCTTTAGGCGAAGCAGGGCAGGCGAGGTGATAGATCTGCGATCAAATGCGTGAGTGACTGCAGGAGAAGAAGGAGGGAGAGGGCGGACCTGGTCGACTTCGATGAGGAGCGGCTCGACGACGTCGCCGCGCACGAGCTCGAAGTTCGGGTGACCGCTGTACAGGGATCCGAAAGAGTAACGTCAGCTTCTACAGTCTGCTGAAGAGCCGGCGACAAGCTCTAAAGAACCCGTACGCACACCCAGTGCGAAAGCGTCGACTTGCTCCCGCTGAAGAAGTTGTCAAGCACGACAACATCGTGCCCGAGGAACATAAGCCTGTCGACGAGGTGCGAACCAACGAACCCCGCTCCGCCCGTGACGAGTACCCTCCGTTTCTGCGCCTTGGGAAGCTTCTTGACCGGCGGGAATGTCGTACGGCTCGTGAACGAGACGGCGGATGGCCAGTCAGGAACGTTGTGCGGGGAGTAGCGGTCTGAGGAGAAGGATTCGGTGCGTTGATGAGCTGTGCCGCTCCAAGTCATGCCCGAGGAAGAGGGGAAGGAGCCAGTGTCGGGCGAAGGTGAGTTCGGGCTGAGGTAAATTGACTGGAGCTGCGTGTGGATTGATGATTAGAGGTGACAGCAACCTGATGAACGGCTGTGCGCACCAGCTCAAGCGGTACAGACTCGCCCGGAGACCCAACCTCCTCGATAACCCTGCCATCCCTGTCCACTGTACTCCCGACTGATCTAACCGACGGCGCCCTCGAATGTTCCCTCGCTCGCTGCAGGGGCGCAGGAATCCTGTTCGGGTCGTGCGCGAGAGGCGGAGAGGTCATGGTTGTTGATGCGGTCACGGAGGAGTCGGGTCGTGTGCTCGCGGGAAGGCGGTCGGGCGGGGTCGCGGCGGATGTAGAGCAGAGGTCAAGGGTATGCAGCAGCGTCAGATCCGTCTCTAGCTTGAGCAGAGGAATGTCAAGCTGATGAGTTTGGGAGAACGGACCTTTGTCAACGACGACGCTCTGCTCTCGCTCGCTGTGGCTTGTTCGCCTGCTAGACTTCCTCCTTGAACTCGAAAATGGGCAGTGACTGGGGTGCGCTTCCCTCCCACTGTCGTCGCCTCCTTCCCGCACCGCTCGCTCACACTCTCGCTTCTCCTGCTCACAGACGCCTCCTCCTCCGAAGAGGACACGAAGAAGCCTCTCCCTCCCCCCGTACCAGCAGTCAAGAAAGGCCGGTTCGCAGACGAAGACGCCGATGACGAGGTCAAGGACGACTGGGATGTCAGCGACGAGGAGGACAAGCCGAAGCCCCAGGTTGTGGTTGGGTCGCTGAGGAACAAGGGCGCTACGAAGCAGAAGATTGCGCAGAAGGAGGCGGAGGAGCGGAAGAAGGCTGAGGAGGCGGAGCGATTGGTGAGTCTGCCTTCACGGCGAGGAGGATCCGAGAGTTGTCCTGCTGGGCGACGCTTTCCGGATTCTGCTCATTCGTGCGGAGACAGCTGACAGTACTTGCTCTGCAGGCCCGCGAAAACGACCCGGCTGCGTTGCGAGCAAAGGCACGGGCGGCGCAACTGCGGTCCGACATGGACAGCGCGGCGTCTCTCTTTGGCGAGGCGAGCTTGAACGGTGCGTCGCACTTCACTCAGATGATCAAGAAGATCTGCAGCTGACGGTACTCGTTTCGCAGACAACCCGCTCGAGATGAACTGCCGGACAAAGGAGGACTTTTCGGCTCTCGCCGTCGCCCTGTCCGATTCTCTGATCCAGAAGCACGCCGGCTCGAAGCTGTTCGGCAATTTTGTCGACGAGCTCGCCCGCCTGCTCGCCGCGCCGCTCAAGTCGGACGAGGTGGGCAAGGTGCGCGCGAGTATGGCCAACCTCGCGATGGACAAGCAGAAGCTCGAGAAGGCTGGCGCGAAGGGCGGCGCAGTCGGTGGGAAGCCCCCTGCGAGGATGGTCGCGAGGGGCAGGGAGGACTTGTCGTCGTTCGGAGAGGTGCTCGACGACGATGTCGCCGCGGCCCAGTTCGACGAGGACGAGGATTTCGTGCGTCGCTTTCGCTCGCTCGCTGGTTGCTCCTGTCTCTTCTGCTTCTCACGCTGACTCTCATCGTGCCCGTCTCACTGCAGATGTAGATGTAGACGCACCTCCTCCAGCTTCACCTGCTTCCAACCTTTTCCACCGCCTGCAACCGCACTTTCGCCTCGTTCCTTCGGACTCTTGCGGCTGCGATGTTGTCCAGCATCGACAGGAGCTGCTTTACTTTCGCTTGACCTGCTTGCCACCTGGTGCTCGCACGATGCCATATATCGCGAGGGAGGCGAGAGAGCGGAGTTGGCTGGATGACGCTCGCTCCGGCTTGCAGCTGGTTGTTACGGTGTTGCAAGAATTTCTGTGCAGTTTGTACGAGTGGCCCCGCGTTGTGGATGATGTCGGTTCGGTTGGCACGGCCTTGCTCGCTCGCTCTCTCGTTGCTCCTCGCTCTTCACCACTTCACTTCTAACACTAACTAGCTACAATGGGTGTCCTCGATGTTGTCCCCGTAAGCATCACACGCTCCCACTGCAGCACCCGCACCCGCTCACCTTGCTCCCGCAGGCGTACGTCCCCTCCGCCCCGTCATACCCCTCCCGGCTTCTCTCGAGTCGCGCTCGCCCACAACACCGCGCGGACGGCTGGGAACAGAATGGCAGGATCGGGGAATAGCATGCTCACATTGAGCGAACCCGCAGCGGCGTCCTCACCGGCAAGAACCTCGTCAAGTTGATGGACTACGCTCGCGAGAACCACGTCCGTCTTCTTCCGACTCGCTCACGAGTGACTGTGCGCTGACCTGCAGCCTCGCGTTTGAGACAGTTCGCCATCCCTGTGCGTTACCAGTCCTCGCGAACGGGCGCCGCGCTCTCGCCGTCGCACGCTTGACGTCGCGAGGGTCGGTCGCTGATGAGATGGATGAGATCAAGCTGACCCCGCCTTTTCCACTCCGCTTTTCTCCCTTCTCCAGGCCTTCGTGAGTCCCTCTCACACCGTTTGACGCCGGGAGCGAGCGACGGGCTGACCCGGGACGTTGCGCGCAAACCAGAACTGCACCTCGTCGTCGACCGTCGTCGCCGCCCTCGAGGCCGCCCGCGACTCCAAGTCGCCCGTCATCATCCAGGTCTCGCAGGGTGGTGCCGCCTTCTTCGCCGGGAAGGGTGTCGCCAACGACAAGCAGCAGGCTTCCATCGCCGGTGCCGTCGCCGCCGCCCACTACGTCCGCTCCATCGCTCCCACCTATGGCGTCCCCGTCGTGCTGCACAGCGACCACTGTGCGAAGAAGCTCCTCCAATGGTTCGACGGCATGCTCGAGGCCGACGAGGCTTACTACAAGGAGAAGGGCGAGCCTCTCTTCTCGTAAAGACGCGCTTCCTCTTCCTCGCCTTGGACTGGGCTAACGGGCATATCACAGGTCGCACATGCTCGACCTTTCGGAGGAGTCAAAGGAGGAGAACATCGAGACTTGCGTCAAGTACTTTGAGCGCATGGCCAAGGTCGACCTCTGGCTCGAGATGGAGATTGGCATCACCGGTGGTGAGGAGGACGGTGTCGACAACACTGGTGAGTGCGCGTGCCTTTCGAGTGTCTATTGACGAGACTGACGATCAGGGGACAGGCGTCGACAACAACTCGCTCTACACCCAGCCCGAGGACATCCTCGACATCCACAACGCCCTCTCCAAGATCTCGCCCATGTTCTCGATCGCTGCCGGCTTCGGCAACGTCCACGGCGTCTACAAGCCTGGCAACGTCAAGCTCCGTCCCGAGCTCCTCGAGAAGCACCAGAAGTACTGCCACGAGCAGCTCAAGTCGAAGAACCCCCTCCCCATCTACCTCGTCTTCCACGGCGGTTCGGGATCGTCCAAGGACGAGATCACTACCGCTGTCAAGAACGGTGTCGTCAAGATGAACGGTGCGCGACGACTTTTCGCGGACTTGCGACTCCCGAGTGCTGACTTGGCTTCTGCCTTCTCCGCTTTTTCACTTGGCTTCTGCCTTCTCCGCTTCTCTTCTTGTCCCTACAGTCGACACCGACACCCAGTGGGCATACATGATCGGCTTCCGCGACTACTTCAAGTCCAAGGCCGCGTACCTCGAGACCCAGGTCGGTAACCCCGAGGGCGCCGACAAGCCCAACAAGAAGCAGTACGACCCGTAAGTCGATACCCTCTTCTCTTCTCGCCCGGCCTCTGACGAGACTCTTTGTTGTCCAGGCGCGTCTGGGTCCGTGAGGGTGAGAAGACGATGAAGGAGCGCTGCCAGGTCGCCTTCAAGGACCTCCGCTCCGAGGGAACCCTCTAAGCATTTCCTACGCCATGCCTGAACCGAGTCTGAAGACCGTACAGAATCACTAAAAGTCGTGAAACGAATACCTCTTTGTGCGTCTACCTTGAGCGAGCGAGAGGAGCGGGTCTTTTCGGCGGCAGTGAGCCTCTGGCACAGGCTCCCCGGCGACATGGGGCCGTGGAACCAGAGCTTCCAGCGATGACAGCGACTTCTTCACCCTCGAGGACGAGGAGGTCTCTGCCGTTTGTCTCTTCCCTCAGCCACCCTCACACTCGCTGGGCTCGATGAGGGTGCAAAGCTTGTCTTCCCCGCTCTTGTGGTCCTGGCGTCAAGCTCCCAGCACTCACGACGCCTCCCTCTCGCTCTCCTCCTCTTCATCGGCTCCTCAGCAACTCTCGCTCTCCCAGCATGTGGACGGCTTCCGACCTGTCGCGCACTTTCCGAGCGTCATTCACGAGGAGCTACTGGCGGTGGGAGAGATCTCTGATCCGTTTTTGAGGCGTAATGAGGAGGTACGCTTCCTCGCCCCCACATCTCAACCGTCGAGGAGGAGGTGGGAGCCAGAACGAGCTGACTAGCGAGTACGTGTACCGTCGCAGGCCGTGCAATGGGTCGGCGAAGCAGACTGGATCTACCGCTGCGACTTCGAGGTCGAGCGGCTGCCGAAGAAGCGCTCGAAAGAGGGCGAGGGCGAGGAGGAGAGGGCTGACTTGGTGTTCGAGGGTCTCGATACGTTCGCGACGGTGTACTGTGAGTCGAGATCGAGCGGGCAGACGGATTGATCGCTAATACGGAAGTGATCTCGCAGTGAACGGCGACAAGATCCTCGAGGCCGACAACATGTTCCGTGAATGGCGGTGAGTCGTCGCTTGAGGCTTCACACTTCGTATGCACCATGTGAGTCTGCTGCAGACGTTGATGTGGCAGCCCGTGGACCATCCACAGTGTCCCGCTTCGATGCTCGCAACTCCGCCACGGCCGCAACTTGCTGTACATCGTCTTTCACTCAGCGTTCCGTCGCGGTCGCGAGCTGCAGATGCAGATCCTCGGCCGGAACAAGTCATGGCCGGCTTGGAACGGCGATCCTAGTCGGCTGTTCGTGCGAAAGGCGCAGTATCACTATGGCTGGGATTGGGGACCGACGCTCATGACGGGTGCGAGGCGCCAAGTCGAGCACACAGATCTGCTTAGACGCTGACACACTGCACCCGCGCAGCTGGACCTTGGCGACCTGTGCGGCTCGAGATCTACCGTTCCCGCATCGTCGACTTGTCGGTCTCCTCCCTTGCTTTCCGCTGAGCGAAGCTGATCTCCACCTCTCAGCTACCCTCGAGCGAGCGTCTCAGCCACCCTCGAGCCCACTCTCTCGCTCAGCTGGCAAGTCGCCGACGCGAACGACAACCTCGTCTGCGTGACTCGCCTGCTTTCTCCCAGCGGCGACATCCTCCGCAAGACCGATCATTCAGCGAATCTTTGCCCCGACGAGCAGCGCGAATGGCGGTTCGCGGAAGGCGAGGTGGAGCTGTGGTGGCCTGCTGGACTGGGCGAGCAGCCTTTGTATGAGGTCGGTGTCGATTTGGTCGACTTGGTGCGTTCTTCTCATCCCTTCCAGATAGAGAGACTGATATTCTCGCGAAAGACGACCGGCGAGGTCCTCGATTCGGTCACGCGCCATGTCGGCTTCCGTCGACTCCGCGTCGTTCGCAAATCTCTCCACCCTCCTCAGCCCGGTCACACCTTCCTCTTCGAAGTCAACAACGTCCCCTTCTTCGTCGGCGGCAGCAACTGGATCCCCATTGACTCGATCTTAACGCGGGCGACGAAGGATCGGTACCGGAAATGGCTCGACTTGGCGAGGGCGGGCAACCAGAAGATGGTGCGAGTGTGGGGTGGAGGCATCTACGAGGACGAGGCGTTCTACAAGCTCTGCGTGCGTTTCTCGACTCGTCGTGTACGGCTTGAGCCGAACGCAGCACTGATCCCGACGCGTTCACCAGGACGAGCTTGGCTTGCTCGTCTGGCAGGACTTTATGTTCGCCTGCGGAGCGTATCCGGCGCAGGTCGACGATTTTCGCGCGAACGTCGAAGCGGAAGTCGAGGCTGTCGTCAAGCGTCTGCGGGCGCACCCTTCGCTCGCCATCTTTGCCGGCAATAACGAGGACTAGTGCGCTGATTTCACTCGCTCGTGCTGTATGCTGCCAACGAGGGCTCCGCTAACAGGACACCGTTGCGGTCTCGCAGCCAGATCGCAGAAGCGGAAAAGCTCGAGTATGACCCGAAGGACGAGAAGGGTACGTCTCGTTCCGGTCACCGCCTAAGCATACTGCTGACGGTGTATCATACGCTCTTCTTCCACCTTCGTCACCTACAGGGAACTGGTTGGTGCGCTCGACTTTCAGCAAGCTTGAGAAGGTCGACTCACCTGCTCTTCGCTTGTCCTTCGCTGCCGCAGCGCACCAACTTTCCCGCTCGCGAGCTGTACGAACGGGTTTTCCCGCGCATCGTCAAGGAGCACAGCGAGACGTTCTACTGGCCAGGCAGTCCTTGGGGCGGCAACTCGACCCGGGATCAAACGGAAGGTGATGTGCAGTGCGTCTCCTCCTTCTCTCAAGGCTCAAAAGCCTCCTTGCTAAACTTACTCGCCGCAGCGTCTGGGACGTCTGGCACGGCAGCCAGCTCCCCTACCAGGAGTACGGCCAGCTAAGCGGTCGCTTCGTCTCCGAGTTCGGTAAGCACTGTCCTTTCGCCTCCGCTTCACCACGGGCTGATTCGCTGGGGAGTGCAGGCATGCAAGGCGCGCCCGACATTCGTACAGTCGACGCCTTCCTCGCCAGCGACACCTCGGAACGCTTCGCGCAGTCGAGGACGATGGACGCGCATAACAAAGGTGCGCTCGCTCGAGTGCCGTTGCAGACTAGGCAGCTCAATATCTTCGTACTGCAGCCGCTGGTCACGAGCGTCGTCTCGCAACCTACATCACGGAGAACATCCGGGCCGGCACCTCGCTCGAAGACTACGTCTACGCTACGCAGTTCGTCCAAGCCGAGGCCGTCTACGACGCGTTCAGTTCGTGGCGTCGCAAGTTCCGCGGCGGCGTCGAAGGTGCCGACTGCGCAGGAGCGCTGGTGTGGCAGCTGAACGATGTCGTGAGTTTGCAGCTTCTCCCGCCTGCAAAGCATCATGCTGATCTGGGCTTCTTGCAGTGGCCTTGCACGAGCTGGTCGATTGTCGACTACTACTTACGACCGAAACCTGCCGTGCGTTCTCTCTTCCAGTAGCGGCTCTCCTTCCGACTTGACCTGTCTCAACGTTGCAGTACTTCACGATGAAGCGCGCTCTCGCACCGCTCGCCCTCGGCGGACGCCGCTTCACTAGCAAGACCTTCCCTGACCCGACGTCCGCCGACGACTTTGTCGAGAAAACCCATGTCGAGTTCTGGGTCACCAGCTCCGAACTCGAGCCTCGCGAGGTGGAGATCAAGGTCGCCGGATACGAGCTCTCGACCGGGAAACGACTCGCATCAGGTCGGATGCTCTACGAGCGGTGGACGCAGGTCATCGGCCCGAACAAGGCGACCGAGTTGAGGCGCTTCACCATTTCGAACGACTGGAACGACGCGAAGTCCGCGGTGGTCGTTTTCGGCTGGCTGTGTGACGTTGAGACGGGAGAGACGCTGTCGAGGTTGTCTCTGTGGCCGGAACCGTGCGAACCGAGTTTACTCTGAACTGGACTTCGGCTGACTCGCGATCCCGCAGGTTCAAGTACCTCACTTTCCCCTCAAAAGCCAACGTCGATATCAAGATCTCCCTCGTCCGGCACGGTCTGGACACCGGCGAGATCCGCATCAGCGCCCAGCGGCCGGTCAAAGGCCTCGTCCTCACGCTCGACCCCGAAGCTCAGCTCGACGACAACTTCCTCGACCTGGCGCCAGGAGACGAGCAGGTGGTGAAGGTCAAGGGCCTAGCAAAAGGGACGAAGGTGTCGTGGAGGCGTGAGTTGCACGGCTGTCGACTGGACGAGGCGGGACTGACGCTTGCTTTCTCGCAGACCTCGGCGATTGAAGCATCCCTTTGCATCGAAACTCTTGTGACGTAGACACTCAAAGCGCATCTAGCATTGCGAGAACGATTCGTGAAGCCCATGCACGCCCTAGAGCAGCTCCGCCGCGAGAGTCTTGATCCTCGGCTCCGACAGACGCTGCGCCGCCTCCTTCGCTGCCGCCTTGTACCGCGACGTCGCAGGCTCCGGAAGAACGGCGGCCGTGTCGAAGGAAACGAGCTGCACAGGTCTCGATCAGCAAGGAGCGAAGCGCTGCTTGGGGAGAAAGAGGCGCACCAAGTTGCCGAGCGCCATCATCGCGCGGTAAACCGCCTCACCATCCGTCTCCCTCAACATCTGAGCGTCGAGAGCGGGTCAGGAAGCGCAGGACGGGAATAAAGCCGAGCAACGCACCTCGACCGCAAGCTCCGCAATATCTTCCGCCGCCTTCGTATCGAGCTGCTTGTGCGTTGCAAGGACGGAAAAGCTGTCGACAAAGCCCGTCAGCGATGTTGCGAAGCATGTAAGATGGAAGCTCCACTCACTTGAGCAGTACCGTCGCGAACGCGACCTTGCCATTCTTGTTGAGCGCCTTCTGCCCGCCACGCCGCCTCAAGCCCGCAACGACATCCCTCGCCTCGCTCTGCATCGTCGCCTTGCCGACCATGGGCACGAAGACGTTCGCGAGCGCCCTGAGCGCAAGCATCGCGTTCGTCTCGCTCTCGGAGGGATCGGAGGCGGTCGAGAGGATGACGGGGAAGGAGCCGGGCGTAGGAGCGAAGAGGGAGAGTAGGCGCGCGAGGTCGAGAGCGGGGAAGCGCTGTTCGGGCGGCCAGGACGAGAGGAGCTTGTCGACGAGGGCGGTATCTGTCTCGGAGGGCGCCGCACCGGACGGAGAGGATGGGTTGGTCAATGCGACGAGGAGGTAGGCGATAAGGCGATCGAGTGCGGCAAAGTCGTCGGCTGACAGGGCGAGAGAGGCGGTGGAAGGGTTGGCGGCGAACTGCTCCGACAGCTGGGAGAGCTTGTTCCGCAAAGCGGGCAGGTTGGCTTGGGCAAAGGTGAGGAAGGAGCGCTGCAAACGCGTGGCGAATCAGCATCGTTCTGGAAATGGAGCTCCGGCTAGAACGTACATGAGGAAGGATGCCGCCGGCGCGAGGCATTGACGGAGCTGGCGCCGAGCTGCGACCGCCGCCTGAGGAAGAAAGCGTCAGCGATAGTCGTCGAGAGAGGCGAGAAAGGGGCGGCTCACCAGTGAACGGATCGCCGGAGAATCCGCTCGCCGAGGGTGCGGGAGCCGAAGACGGTCCCTGCGAGCGATAGCTGCTCGCGCCGGTGTACGGGTCCACGTTGCCGGTCGCTCCAAGTTTGACGCCGCCCGTGTTCTTCTCGATAAAGCTCGCAACCTCATCGAGGTAGCCGAGCGGAAGGTCGTTGGCGAAGAGGAAGCGCTGAGCGGCGGCGTAGGGGTTCTCTGCGGCGTTATAGGGGAGCTTGAGGATAGGCGCACCACCGCCGAGGTCGACGTCGAAGACGTAGTCGTACTCTTGGCCCTGGTACAGCTGCTTGCGGGACGAGCCGACGGCGTCCGTCACCTCGCCGACCTTCTGCCACGAGCGCGAGCCGGCCGACCACTGCGAGCGCAACGCGTTAGCAGTGTTCGCGGACGAACGACGACCGCACACGCACTTGATACGCCTCGACCGTTCCTCCAACCGTCTTGACCATCTTGACGTCGCCCTCCTTTTTGCCGGGCTGGTCGAGCGCTTCGGGCCCAGGCAAATCGCTCTTCTTCAGGTCGCCAATCTGCGAGCTGTGGAGCAGCATCGTCAGCACAAAGGTACGCTCCGAAAAGCCATCGCGGCGAACGACGAGCGGGACTTACGAATTCAGCGATGTCTTCGCAACCTGCTCCTCATAGTTCTGCGCGATTCCGAGGAGTCGGCAGATGCATCAGCACCAGCTCTCAAGCCAGGAGCGACAAGACTGCGAAGCCGCCGAACGCACCGCCAGCTCCTCCTGACTCGCAACTCGCTCCTCATTCCGCGTGTAGACGCGCACGAGCCCGTCCGAAGCGCCAGCAGCGATGTCACCGTTCGCCAGCACGCTCACGCACCACACTGCGTTACACAGCTCGTCAGCTTCGGCGCACAGGGACTGTGCGAGAAAGAGACTCACCCGAAACGGCCGGCACGACAATAGTTTGCTGGCACTCCCCGTCGCTCGCACGCCACACCCGCACCGTACGGTCCTCGCCGCCCGAGATGAGGCCGCCGCCGAGGTGGTCCGGGATGGCGGAGAGCGAGTAGACGAAGGAATCGTGGCCTGAGACGGTGTGGACGCATTCGCCCGTGAGGAGGGACCAGAGGCGGATCGAGCTGTGGAGAGAGAATTGTCAGTTGGTTCGAAGAGTACGAGCTGCGCAGACCCCGCAAAGAGGTCCGCCGAGCTAGCAGAGTTCGCACGACTCACCCATCGTTACTCCCGCTCGCGAACCAATCGCCTCCCTCTCCGCCACCCGCACTCTTGTCGAGCTTGGCGAGCGCGCGAACAGCCTGCGTGTGGCCCTTGAACGTCTTGACGAGCTTGTCGGCTTTGAAAAGACGGATCAGGTTGTCGGCGGCGCCTGTTTCCGCGCAAACTCGCTGTCAGCTTCGGGAAGAGAGACAACGAGGGCTAGAGAGCGCACCGGTGAGAACGAGGTCGTCTTCGGGCTCGTCGAGGGCAAGGACGGCCCAGACGCTCTGCTCGTGGCCTTTCAAGGTGTACGCGAGTTGCCAGTCCTTCCAGACTCGGGCGGTCCTGCATGGCGAGGATTAGATATCGTCAGCGGATATGGGCCGTAACAGGAGATAGGTTCAAACGCTACAGGGGCGTTGAGACCGCTCAGACGCCAGAACCGGACGACTCACTTGTCCCAACTCCCACTCACGATTCTCCTCCCGTCTTCACTGACATGCAACGCACAGACGTTTCCCTCGTGGCCAATTAGCGTGTGACTGGGCGAGTTGGACGAGTCGGAGGCGGAAGAAGGAGTGGAAGGGGAGGGAAGCGGCCAGGCGTGGACGAGCTTGTCTTGCCCGCCTGTGAGGAGGTAGCCTGTGCATCGAGGGAGCGTTAGCTTCCGATTCAGAGCCTAGCACGCCCTTGGGAGGCCATCAAGACCGTCCGCCAGCTTCGTGCAGCCCCACCTCGTCTCGCCAACGCTGAAGAACGAGCTCGTACGCACCTCCTTCAGCCCCGTCCATGCCAGGGATCCACTCGACAGCATTCACGAAGCCCTCGTGTCCCGCCGCGCTGTCCTGCCCTCCAAACACACTTCCCTCGCTCCATCCTCCTCCGACGCCCTTCATCCCCTCTGCCACGCCCTTCCGGATCCAACTCCTCGCAGTCCCATCGCGCGAAGAAGAGAACAGCACAGGGTTTAAAGCGTCGTAGCTCCCTGAGCTGGGAGCGCGAGATGGCGATGAGGCGTGTGGTCGTGGGGCGGACGAGAGCGCGCGCACGTCGGCGCCGTGGCCTGCGAGAGTCGATGAGAGGCGGTACTGCGGTGCTGGAGAGTCGTGTGAGGAAGCCATAGCTGGCTTGCGAGGCGTACGAGTGAGCAGTCAAGGCGAGAGAGCCTCGTCATCGGCCAAGTCCGCTCGCTTGCTTGGGCACAGCTGCTCACACTCGCTCGTAAGGGTTCTGACAGGGCACATCTTGGAGTTTTGCAGTGTCACTACATCACGGACGAAATCACATAGGGCGGGCGGGACCGGTCGAGGGAGAGCCGGGAAGACGAGGAGGGGAGAATGCACAGGCAAGTCTTGGGAGGCAGTCGGCGAGAGCGATCGATCACTTGAAGTACTTGAGGACGTCTTCGACGTCTTCCTTCGAGCCCATGAAAACGGGAGTACGCTGGTGGATGCTCGTCGGGACAATGTCGAGGATGCGCTCCTTGCCGGTTGTGGCCATGCCGCCCGCCTGTTCGAAGAGGAAAGCCATCTGCACACGCAATCAAGAGAAGCGTCAGGAACCATCCGAACAGAGGCGGTAGATGGGCACGCACCGGGAACGCCTCGTACAGCATGCGAAGCTTGCCGTCGCGCGACTTCTTGTCCGACGGGTACCCAAAGATGCCTCCGTAGAGCAAAGTCCGGTGGCAATCAGCCACCATCGAACCGATGTAACGAGCGCTGTAAGGCTTCCCGTTCGTCTGAAGTTGGGGGAAGAGAACCGTCGTCAGATGTCGTCTTGTCGTTCCGACGCGAGCGAATACTGACGCACCGGGTACTTGATGCTCTCCAGGTACTTGACGACCGGCTCGTCCCACCAGAGCGAGTTGCCCTCGTTGAAGGAGTAGATCTTGCCGCGGTCGGGAATGCGGATGTTGGGGTGCGTGAGGATGAACTCGCCGATGCCCTGCGGGTCTCGTCGCTCTCATCAATGACTTGTACATGACCGAGTAGGAGAGGCGCGGACTCACGTTGTCGAGGGTGTAGCCGTTGACGCCCTGGCCGGTCGAGATGACCAAGTTGGCGGAACTGCCGTACATGCAGTAGCCGGCGACCTGGAGCTCGGAGCCGGGACGGAGAACGTCCTCGACCTTGCCTTCGGAGTCGTCCGCCTGCGAGTGAAGCGAGGGATCAGTCTCAGTACCGTAGGAAGACGAAAGAACTGGGAGGAGAGCCCGAACGCACGCATTTGTAGACACCAAAGATGGTGCCGATGTTGACGCCGGCATCAATGTTGGACGATCCATCGAGCGGGTCAAACACGACGCAGTAGCGCCCGCGGTGCGCGGCGTCGATGATGATGGGGTCGTCGATTTCCTCCGAGACGAGGACGGCCGTCTTGCCCGAGGCGCGGAGCGAGTTGACCATGATGTCGTTCGAGAGGATGTCGAGCTTCTTCTGGTCCTCGCCCTGGACATTGGCGGATCCCGCGGCGCCGATCCTGCGGGCGGGTGAGGACGGACGGAGGTCAGAGAGCGCTCTTACAGCCTCGCTCTCGACGCTGCAAGCTCGAGAGCGTCGAGATGAATGAGCGAACGCACAGGTTGAGGAGTCCTGCGCGGCGGACGTTGGTCGAGATGAACTTGCAGGTCGTCTGGATGGCGGTGAGGAGCAGGGTCAAGTCGCCGGTGGCAATGGGGTGGCGCTGTTGTTGCGAGAGGACATGCTGTGTACAGTACGAGTATCCCGCGAGTCGAGCGAGGTGTCAGCGGGTTGAAACGAAGCGAGCGCAGGGCAGACTCGGGACGGAGCGCCAGTCCGGATGATGTCGATGGATGTGGGTTGGTTTGATGGGATGAGCTTACGGAGGTGAGGGTGATGATCTCAGTCTTGGGAGCGCCCTCGTCGAAGCCGGTGTGGGACATGGTGGGCTGTGTGTGGTGGGTGTCGGGTGTCGGGACAGGTGCGGGTGTGGAGCGGGTGGATGTTCGCTGCCGCTTCGAGGGGGGAGGCTGGGCAGTGAGGTGAGAGTGTGTGTGTACTGCGGTTGCCAGGGCTGTTCTGTATCGAGCGCAAGTGCAAGCAAGTGTGCGGGAGTTGAAGAGCGAAGGCGAGATGAAGCGGGCGTCGTCGGGTAACGACTCCGCTAATGGCACACCGTTGTAATCCAGATTACAACTCGGTTGTATTCATTACTGACGCAATAGCCTGGTGGGCCCCGGGTTAACTTAACTAGTCCACGCGCCCTCTTCTCGCGAGTCGCGGTCAACGTCAGCTGCTGTGCAAGGGTCGGTGTCGCCCACGAGCCAACTTCAAGCAACGAGCGAGCGAGCCAATCTCCGTGGACTTGAGCGGACTTGAACCGTCGGCAGCATCCCGCGGACCACTCCTCCCCTTGCGCGTCCCGCTACTCTCGCTGTGACTGTCAGCTTTGTACAGCTACGCCAGCATGTCCTCCATCGCAGCACAGTTCGCAACACGCGGCAAGAAGGCGCGTCCACTCGCTTGCCCCGTCCACCTCGCTCGCTCACCCTGGCTTCTCGTCGCTCAACTGCGCAGTGCGTCGCCATCGGGCGCAACTACGCAGCCCACATCAAAGAGCTCAACAACACCACTCCGAGCGAACCCTTCTTCTTCCTCAAGCCTACCACGTCCTACGCGCTGTCGGACGACGGAAAGGTCGAGATTCCCAAGGGCGTCGTCGTGCACCATGAGGGTGCGTTTGCGGCGAGTCTGTATGTGCCAGTGTGCCTGCTGACGTTAAAGCGATCCGTGCAGTCGAGTTGGGCGTCATCATTGGCAAGCGAGGACGTGACATTCCCGCCTCCAAGGCGCTCGACTACGTCGCAGGCTACGTACGCCGGCTCATCCCGCTCGTAAAGCCCTTCGTGACGCTGAATGTATCCTTGCAGACCCTCGCAATCGACTACACGGCCCGCAACGTCCAGGACGCGGTGAAAGCCAAGGGTCTCCCCTGGAGCGCGGCAAAGGTGCGGCGTTCATCTCTCGTCTCTTCTGCTCACGCTCGTTACCCGCAAGCAAGGCTGATCGAGAGTATCTTTCTTGCCGCGCAGGGCTTCGACACGTTCTGCCCCGTCGGACAGTTCATTCCCAAGGACAAGGTGCAGGACCCGCACAACCTGCGGCTGTGGTACAAGGTACGTTCCGCCAGTCTCACCTTTTCTTACTTTCTTGCATTACTGATGTTCTCCTGCCTTCCTTCCCTCTCTCTCCATCCACTTTCCGCTCCTGAACCTCCATCCACCCTCAACACGCCCAAACTATCACATTCGCAGATTAATGACTCAACGAAGCAAGACGACTCGACCAGCCTGATGCTTTACCGCATTCCCGACTTGATCGCCCACGTCTCGGGCATCATGACCCTCGAAGAAGGCGACTTGCTCCTCACCGGTCCGTCCCCTCCTTCCCTTTCCCCCTCCTCCTGCCTGCCTCTCTTCGGCGCTGACGCAGGGTGAAACAGGTACGCCCAAAGGTGTTGGACCCGTCGTGGCGGGAGACAAGATCACCGCGGGCTTGGAGACGCAGGAGGGAACGGTGCTCGATAGGTTGGAACACCTCGTCAAGGCCCGAGAGGGGGGTTACGAGTTCAAGGGGAATTTGTAGAGGGTGCGAGGGAGGATATGTGATGCATCTTGGGGCTTTTGGACGATGTGCGGGACTGTGAGGTTGCGGTTCGCAGGACGATCGAGGTTCGCCGTCGGAGCGAGGAACGAGCGTAGTCGGCGCACAAGTTCAGTCGCGCGCAAGTCCTCGGCCCCACCTCGTCGCCATCGACCTCTCACTCTCGCTCCTCTCGCATTCAGCAGGCGCCGCGAACGACGGAGCATGGACAGGAGCAGTGACAGGGACGGTGTGCCTGTACGTTCGCTCTCCTGTTCGAGAGGGAGGAGGAGACGGTCGCTCCGTCTCCGCTCGCACTCCTTCGCCTCGAGCTCGCTTGACGACTCGTTGTACCGTGCAGCACCAGTACTCGTCGCTCGGTACGTAGCCCACTCGAGCACTCCCCGGAGTCTGGGCTAACCTGGTGCCTTCTCTCCCGCAGAGTCGTCGCACTCCTCCTCCCTCGTCCTCCAGGGTCGCTCGCTCCGGCAGCCGATTCCTCTGGTGCGCCACGAGTTCTCTACTTGCTTCCGAGCATATTCTCACACGCACACTCGCGCTTCGCAGTCGAACGATCTGGTGCCAGCCAGTCGTCTCCTCAGACTAGACTGCAACGGTCTGCTCGCTTCCAGGTGAGCACGACTCGCATCGTGCTCAGCATCTACACCGTTCTGACGGTCTGCTCGCTTCCAGCGAACCCGCTTTCGAGGACCCACCATCCTTCCCCTGGCTCCGGCCTTGTAACACTTCCTTCTCGCTCTCGCCATGTACCACTTGGGATCATTCCCGTCGGCTCTCAAATAGACCCTCTACTCTCTTTCGTAGTATACCCGGCTCGCGCAATCTCAGGTCCCAGTTTCTCGCTATCTCTCTCGTTTCGAAGGATGAGCGGTTCCGCGACTGGAGGTCTGCGACACTGCTTGATTGGTTCTTCCAGCTCGTCCTTGAAAACGAGAAGAGCCTCATGCGCACTGCGACGCTTCAGAGCTTGCACAGGAAGCTATTACTCACGCCGCTCTCCGCCAACCCATACCTCCGCAGTCCGCACCGCCCCTCCCGCTCTTTCCGCCCGACTGCTCATTCGCTTCTTCTTCCGAGGCTCGTATAGACCGCTAGACCGCGCTAGAAGATGGCTAGAAAGACCGTCGTGACCATCATCGTGCGTCCGCTTCTCCATACCCTGCTGGCGGATCATCATCGCTCGCTGGTTCTGGGGGACTGACACACACTCTTGTCCGTTCAGCGACACGGCGAAACAGTGCGTACACACTCTCCTACCTTCCTCCCACGCGCGCACGCTAACCGCGTGCCCGTGCAGGACTACAACAAAGCCGGCATAGTCCAAGGGCACCTCGACGTCCCCCTCAACGCGGAAGGACTCGCCCAAGCATCCGTAACAGGTCGGTGGTTCGCGCAACAGCGGGTTAGGTTTGAGGAGGGGTGGTCGAGCGATCTTGCGAGGGCGAGGAAGGTGCGTAAATGAGGAGTGAGTGTGTGAGGGAGAGTGGAAGCTGATTGGATTGGGGTGCGGAAAGACGGCGGAGTTGATACTTGAGCAGCAGAGGGAGAAGGGGGTACAGCTGAGGCTGGACGAGCGGATACGCGAGCGGGTGAGTCTGCTTTCCTTCGCTGGAGCGGGAGGATGGAATTGACCTCGGAGTCTCCTTCGCAGCATCTCGGAAACTTGCAGGTGCGCTACTCGCTCGATTTCTCAGCCAACTCACGCTGATTCGCATTCACGCCGCGCAGGGCAAGCGGAGAGGCGAGCCCGGCACCGACCGCTCGACCGTCGAGCCTATACACACGCTTCGAGCGCGCCTATGGTCCTTCTGGGACTCGCTCTTCCCTCCCACCGGCCCTTCCGATTCTTCAGCTCCCTCATCGCTCTCTTCATCCGTCTCCTCCCTCGCCCCGCCCGCCCCGCCCTC